TTTTACACTTAGAAGGCCAAGCTATCATTTAGTAGACTCGGATTTTGCGACTTTTGTAAAGATTTCGATTGCGACTATGATGTAGATCTTGCTGGGTGCCTCTTACACTTTGATGTGTCTCTTGGTCCGGTTGAATATCTTCGATGAGTGTTGAAGACAGTGAAGTCCAGAGACAAGTGATATCTTAAGATTAGTGGTATCTTAAGATAAGCGGTATCTTAAGATAAGAAGGTTTACGTCCCATTTTAGAACCAGCAATCTAGTCTTGGTCCGTGTGAATTTAAGATCAACTTCATCAATGCTGTCTCAGCTAGGGCCGTCTTTGTTAACTTTTTATCGAGATACTTTCTTGTCGTTAGCACAACTCGGTGCTCAGAAAACTCCAGCTCTGGAACTTTAAGTATCGGGCCGAGATGACAGACTGTACCGTTAGCTGTTGGAATGCAAGGACCAACCCTAATCTAGACTCGTACACTGGAGTCTGGTGAGATTGGATTGGCTAGAAAGAATTACTCCGCATCGGCTATCGATAAGCAGTAACTACTCCACAATGTGTCAATACCAAACAAATCAAAACAAGCAATCCTCTCCAATCTCAACTCAACTCAAATGCAGTGGCCATGTCTAGCGCGGCGGTAACGCCGGCCATGCGCCAGTCCGGCTGGAACGTCCGTCTTGTCGCCTCGCCAGACGTGTATTGCTTCGGCGGCCTGTACCAACATCATGAGGCTCAACTCTTGACCTTTCTCGACGTCGTGAATGAGTTGCGCCTTTGTTTCGACATTCCCAAAGTCCCCAAGTATTTGTCAGCCTTGTTAAAGTGTAGGTGGCTGGAAGCTGGCGTTTTTACTTCTCTATTGAGCACGTAAGATAACATAACGAACTGATTTTTGATGGATTAGGGTAAGTAAACCCATGGGCCACAGATACAGTCGACTGTAATTGTAGCCCGTGCGTAGTGTGTCAGTTTAAGGTAGGTTGAGTTGAAATCCAAGAGCATTGGATGAAGTTGCGTGTGGGCAATTCAGCTCTAAATTGGAACCAGGAGTACCGAAAACGCCTGAAATTATAGTAAATTTATATCTCCTAATGGTAGATACAGTGCTTACCTCACAGCCTTCTACGTTGATGTTACCTGCACCAGAGTCAGGCAGAGTCAATGAACGTTCTTCAAGTGTGCCGGGTGCTTCAAATCACTTTTCGAAGAGGTTTGACAGGTTTTCCAACTCCAAGGATAGACAGCCAGTAACTGGGAAGGTTAGCGACCCTTAAGTTGTGTTTCCTTTACGTGCCATTGTGCGAAGCCATGGAGCTACCGCTCGACCTTGACGATGTGGGGTTTTTGGTCGTCGAATGTGTGCCTGCTCTTTGAGTGCAGTGCAGTATTGTGATGGAAATTGGTCTTCTGCCTATCGTCCTCTTGAATCGACCGATTCTTGGCCATTGATCCATTGGATAGTTCATACTAACACATTGAGAAAGATTCGCTGTTACTACCAAAGGCTGGACTTGTTGCCCTTGAATCTGCTATGTTTGTGCTTAATGCAGTTGAAATTGAGCTGCTGCATGCTATGCTTGTGCTTGAATTGCCATATATACTTATATCACTCATAGAGAAGGTGCATAAAAGCAGTTATGGATCGTTAAAATGATAGGGAAATGGCTGAGGAATACCCTGAGAATCAATTCGACCAGCAGGACCAAGAGAACTTTAGCTAAGATACAAGAAGCAACTCGTGAATGGTTTGAGATCTTCCCTCTTCTCCAAATTGGTAGCAGTCTAATTACAGCCAAAAGAAGCTTTAAATGAGTAAACTCTTCGAACTTGTCGTTCCTTCCAGCTGGTTGAGGCTAAATCGATGAGTGAAAGCATATCAGTTTATTATTAACAGCCAGGTAAAGCCTTTTCTTACCACGTGTACAGTTTTGCTCTTCAAAGAGGCGGAGACCTCACTTCGTCACACTCATCATGACTTGAGCGTTTGTTTTGCAGAACTTACATACCAGTCTGTCAAAATAAGTTACAATTGCGAGAACGGCGACGGGAAAAAAGTCCCAGACTAGACAGAGAAGCTTGTTGGCATGGGATATAATATCGGTTTCGTTACATCCAGGTACTTGCATTTTGCTTGGGACGGATGCCCTCTAGCGGCACATACTCTGTAGGAGAGCTCTAGACTGATGACGTGCTATCTCGCCAGGACCTACGACAGCTCATCGCCTCTTTCGAGCCCCAATCGACGACGTTTCGTTCCGCAAGGACATGGCACATCACACCTGACTTACCGCCAACACTTCCTTCAAGTCAGTACCGAATAGAGATAGCTACATCCGTCATCACACCAGCTTCAAGCCACACTTCAACGGTTCAAGATGGCGCCGCAGATAACGGTCCGTCGGGACATGGACTAGCCACGTTAAACCGTTGATTCCTTCCAAGATGGCCGCTAATCGAACCTGTCCCGTTCCGTCAGGACTCAGACTAACTTAGTCACCTCCTTCTAGCCCTAGTCTACCACCGCTAACACCCAAGTCCACCTGTACATATTCATCAAATCCGTATCAACCATCGTCGTGACTTTACACAAGATCAATACTCGACCAGTAACACTTTCATTAATGCTACCCGACATGGTGTCTGACAATGTGAGTGTAGATTTACAGACCTGCAACTCCAATTGGAAGCTTCCAGTGCGATTAAATCTCGTGCCATAAACCTTTGCTGCCTCTGAATAGTCACATTTATCGCGAATGTATATTTCCCGCTAGGTGTTGATGCCTGGGAGATTGAAATCATATACTCCAGTCACCGCCGTGAGGAACCATTTCTTATCTGTCTATATAATAGCAAACAACATTTGTGGTGAAGAGGGATCGTAATCGTAAAACCACTATTTTTCAAATCAAATCTTGCCGTGGAGGCCAGAAGCACTATTACTGAGGGTTGTATTCTTAAGCATATCGAAGACATGACGCCTAGTGTACGAATGAGATAATTAATGGAGACAAGTTACGGTTCCGACGTCGTGTTCTTTGTAGCGACATTGAACAGACCAAAGAGGCTACGGCAACAATGATCCCAGTCCATGACCAAGCGATGGTGGTCAAGACAAGGTGAGAGAAGCGGCGAGACTATGCCTTTGCTGCATTGACATTCAATCTTTTAAGCAAAACAAGCATTAAGAAGATTGGTTATGTGGCCGAGAAACGATGTGCCTCGAACAGGTAGCGCATTTTAATCGAGCAGATAGAACTGTGCCAGAAATATCTAGCAGGACTTGGATGAGAACAGAGTAAACCAATTAACATTCGACAAGCTAGATTCATTGCTTTTCTAGGCTGGCTCGATAGTGCAGGTTATTAACGCCGGCATCAATGGAGCACTTCTGGGTCCACTTGAGATCACGAATAAGGAAGGGTTATAAGTAACTGAGCAAAAGATCACAGCATGCAGGCTGGTCAAAGATACCGGGCCAGTGGCTGTATTGCCGAGACCTTTAATGAGGTGGGTCGAATGCCACTAAGCTATTGCAGGGCTGCAAACCCTCGGAGAGTCCATATCTATTAATCTTGTGGGAGGAATCTTGCTACTCCTGGTTGACCTCTGCCTGGCATCATGGCTGATTTTGGGCTAGGTTGAGGACTGTGTTGTAAGCAAGGCAAAGTGTCTAGTTTAAGGAACTTTAGCATGGTCGTATGTTACTGTTAACACAATAGATAGAATGACATTGCTTGGTGTCGTCTAATGGCTAAGGTATAAACCGTACACGGCTTCTTGACTTGATCTGTCACTTTTTAACGCCCGTTTGTCAATATCCAAGTTTTTGGCGCGTATCGAATAAAAGTTAAGGTTGATACTAAATGTCACTTGACAATTTGTCAGGGGAACCAAAGCCAGGCTAGATTTGGGTGACCATGATTCAATTCAGTTAGCTGGGGATTAATAAGGACATGGGTTAAATGCCCACTGTTGACAAGCATGGCCCAATGCAGCCGCTTGTATTCCTGTCAACAGCATGCGTTCGTCCTCCAAAACTCACAACACCGACAGTGCATCTCCCATTATAAATGAAATTGAGATGGTCTCTTTTAACATCGTGCTGTAGTATCAAGTCATATTCACTCAATTCAGAGCAAAAATGTAGTCATAGAGCGGCGAGTTCGCTGTCCTGTCACGCTTGTAAGCGCCTCAATTCAAAACTTTGCATGTTGTCTTGACACTCAATAATGCGATACTTTTATTAAAGTTCAAATGCCCCAAGATTACGCGATGGTTTCAATGTAATAGTTAGTGTCTTTAGTGGACGATCCTCTCACTCGCCTGCACATTCAATGGCACCCAATGGCATTCGTTTCCACCTATTTGCTTCCACAACACTTTCAATCTTCAACCTCCATCTCACATCACACAACACGCTGCGTACAATACACAGGCTGTTCTCGCTTTTAGTTCTCCCTCGCCGCCCTTTACACCTTGAGCCTTCGCTGCCTCACTGTCGTTTCCGCTTCACCGCCCTCGTTAACAGCTCAGATCCCCCGCCATCATTGTTCGTCGACAAGCCATTACCCGCTGCCCTTTTAGATCTTGGAAGTCCACAATGGTCTATCTGCGTCGGTAAAGTGACACCTTGTGTTACAGACCCTCCCCAACTGCCTACATTTGCACGGTTCTTTCCGCTTTATTCTGCATGCATCTTCACACCTGCACTCATTATCAAGCCACTGTGACTCTGTCAGTTATTACCAATCCCTTTTGAAAGTTACCAGGCTTACTTGGAATATCTCAAAACACTCATCGAGCATCTCGGCAGGAGGCCAGGTATACAACGGCTCCTTACTCGGATCTGAGACATCCTTCTCCCATTGATTACGCAGCTATTTCATTTTTGGAAGAAATTATCGCGCCATTGCTTCATTGGCTAGCTCAGGCTGTAGAACCTGAGCTTTTGTATGGCCTAGGATTTCGCCGAGATGAGAGCTGTACCAGTGTATTGTTCCAGTCATAAGAGTGCATGGAGCATATTCGGAGGCTGGATCAGCATGTCGCCCTGATCGACCAAAACTGCTATGCCGCCGTCATGGACATGCATGCTTTGAAGATCCTCTAGAGTTAATCCAGGCCATATTAGCCAAAGCTGCTTTTCCTCTTCGGTAAGCGCAGTGGTGTAAACGCCATGACGATCGACATGCAGGAGATGCGCAGCGCCCTTGGACGCCAGAAGTTGAAAGGCAGAACAATCATGGCCGTGCCACTCGCGCTTCTCAGATTTGCCATTGTTGATACACGTATGCATGAGGGAGTAGTCGTTTCTGTTAGAGAAGCACGCCGGTGTAGCATTGTCCTTCAAACAGCCCAAGTTAAGTAGATTGCATGGTGGACCGCCACTGTTACTTCGTTGACTGAACAATTCGACAGCTTGCGAAGAAGACAGTCTCTCAGGTGCGTAGATCAAACGTCCCTCGCCATCTGTTTTGAACGGCTTCTCGAAATTATGCACATCGACATGATCCCCTGAGCTAAGAATATCAAGGACCTTTGAGATTCTCATTAGGCGCTCGGTGGCTTAAATGACGAGGATTGATATGCGTGGGGGTCCCTGGTCGAACAACCACTCGGCGTCTCTCATGATACAACAACTGCATCTCTTGGGTGGCCGGGTTGTAGTGCGTCCTCGGCCGAGATGGGTTGTCTAATCGTGATCTATTAGAGGAGACCTGTTACGGCGGGGGCGTCTCTCTTGAAACGAGAGCCGACAGGTGCCTTGTCGTGTTGCATGGAAAACTCCCGCTTGGCGGCTCCAAGGGCTTGGGTGGCTCTCTGGCGGTAGTGTCGAGTATATCCAAGGATCTGGGTCGTAGGGCTGAGACATGTCTACTTTCTTGACCGGGGTCGTCAACCCCGTTGACCAAAGCCGTAGACGGAGACATCTCCTGTTACTGCGTCAATTGCTGGAGAGTGAGATAATTACTGGCATGATGGGCTTTGCTATGCCATTGGGGTAGTACTGACCACAGCCGTACGAACAAAGTTGGCACACGTTATTCATGACACGCGCTCTCAAATTCCCTGCAGTTGCATATGTATTGCCGCATCGGTCGCATTTGTGCTTCTTCCTGCATTTCTTCAGGTACTCTGGCTGATTGGTGTAGAACTTGTTGCATTCCCGGCACTGCGTACATTTCTGATAATGTAGGTACCAATATGTCAGGTAGCAGTTCTCTCTACATACTGGACATTGCTTCTTAGAAGGCATTTTCTACTGTTGATGAGAAAAAGGACAATTATGTTTCGAACGGAGAAGAGAGTGAGGTGGGAACGAGGTGTGAAGAGTGTCATTCCATTACTACATTGTTCACCGTGATGTGCAGTTTCATATATTTGACGCCGCTTGTATCCGTTTGACCCTGATAGCGAGAAAGGAATCAAACAGCAAACGATTCCAGGGCTTCTTATGCTATTGGGCAGCGATTGGCAGCTTTCATGGTAACGCGGGATGATGCAAATTAACAGGCAGCGCAATTTGATCCGGTCTACGCATACAAGGCAGTCCAATGCTGGAAGGAAACCAGGCATGATGAATTTATTTTTTATTTGGCCAATATTTGGTGGCGAGGAACTATGTGTTTTTGATGTATCTAGGGAATTACTTTGCCGTTTTGGACATGTCCCTGGCTGTGTTGTGTTGACAATGGTTTCTCTTCTGGCGGTCTGTTGGACTGGTTCCTCCCAACAGCGCATACATGCAAGCATCTACAGTACTTGTCCGTACCTAACGTTTGAATAAGCTTACAGGGTGGTAGTTTGGACAAACAGCGGCTTAGAACGGTGTCTGTCCCGTCCGCTTGGACGTTCCACAGCGCGCGTCTTGTGAACAGACCTCCAATTACTTTGAACAGCGCACGTTATGAAGCGGTAATTCTTTTGAACAGCTCCAATCTGCCCAACTGCTGTTGGCGTCGACTCAGTGCAAACAGGAGGTCAAGTTGGGCCAACGGGGTGCCTGAAACATGTGCTGTGCAACCAAATTCCTCCAAACATGCTGTTCGGTACTACCTTTTTGTGCCAACAGTGGAAATAATTGAGAGAACCGCTCTTAGTTCCCAATGGCGAATCGGCTTACTCAAGATTGTACCTGCTGAACTAACGGGTGAAACTCAATGTCAACATTAATTCAACATCATCCAGAATCATTAAAGACGTGCCTGTTAGTTTAAGAAATATACATAATTGCATTCTTAACGGTGCTTTCTCGAGGCAGGCGGTGACTACAAAACTATAAGACCTGTACATCTTGGCATGAGCCAGAATAACGCTGTGGTTATGGATATTGAAATTGGCCGGTAGGAGAAATTGAACAAATCACTACTTTACAAGACTTGAGTGTTAGTCGCAGCGCGCCTCTGCGTTTTGGGGGCCGCAGTGATCGCTGTTGGCAAGAACAAAATGCGCTGGCCACAGATCAATCTCTGGACAGAGGCATGGCTCACTATGATCAATAGCTGTCCTCTAACTTTCTCTCTAACGACATCGCCTATAACATAGCTGTACCATAATATACTAATAAACTCCGGCTTTTAGAGTTTCGTTTCACTGGTCACAATTAGCGAATTCTTTCTTCTGCCATCACGCGTCCCCCCATACAAAAGGGCAGCTAAAGCAGGGCCTTCTCTGAGATGATCAAGAGATCATCCATCAGCACATGGCTGTTTGCTGTTTAACACCGATTTCAATACGCGTCAATTGATTGATACTAACACAGGACCCAATGTTTGCCACGGCACCGGTCGATGCTTACAGGTAAAAGCCAAACACTCTTGACGGCCATTTTGCCGAGTCCGCGTCCCAGGCCCCTCGCCAAAAGCAAGAACCAACGCAGTACAATAATAACCCTACCAGCCAGCCCAATGCACCAATACCAATGACATGCTTCGAAGTTACCTAAAACATTGTTCTTCTTCAGACTCGGTCTCTGCTTGCCAAACGTATCGGCTTATAGTATACAATCGCAAATGCCACCTGGAACCTACGTATCTGGATGAGGAGCAATGTGGTAAGCACCTCACTTCGGACGATTCGCACCTTGGCGTGATGGCCAATGACATATCTCTAGCCCATGCCACCAGCCTGAATCATGAACCGTCAACTAGAGTGTAAAGACCATCCATCGCCCTTTCAAGTGTGAGCAGCAACGGAATGTCACGTGAGAAAACCATCCCTACGACCATGAGGTTCTATGTTGAGCGACAGCGAGTGTTGAAAATACCTCAAAGGAGCAATTGTTTCAGCGACGCAACTCGAAGCCTCGACAAGAATACCACAAGATAAGGCAAGGTGAACTCCACCGTGTCTCACCGAGTCGCGTGTGACATCTCGAAGGTATCTATGATGGAATGACTTAGACATAATACCCACAGCAAAATGGAAATTGCAAAATATTTGTGCAAATGTCTTACTCGACCCTCAGCTCAAAGCCCGTCAGACCGACTGATCCGCCTAAAATATAGCTCAAGAACAGAAGTTAGAGATGGTTTGTATATCCTAGCACGCTTCGGATGACGAGCCCGACTATGAAGAAGAAGTCAAGAGTCAACCCTGATTATTACTCAGCCCAGATCGGAAAGTTGTCCCAATCGTTGACAACACAGAAAGCTACCTACAAATCTTGGCCCACCGTCATCCGATCTAAACCGCTGCACTACCGAAGCAAAGGACAATTTGAGGATACAACAACAGCAATGCTCAGCTGGTCTGCAGACAAAATAATTGTTTCTAAGTCAGACAAGGCATTGTTGTTCTTGCGTCTGAGGAGGAGGAGTAAGAAGTGCGGAATATAATGTCAAGAGCGATCGTGAGAACATTCTAAGCTTTGAAATCACTGTTTGGGATCGCCATAGACGGTGTGATATCCTGAGATTCTTAGTAGAGAGTGAGGACGTTTGTGAGATATTTGGCCTAATGATGACGAAGTTTCACTTGAACAGCTTCAGTTTGATCTTGGAACGCGGAATGAGGTTTTGTATTTCACTAAGCAAACACAAGTAAACATTAAATATTCCATTTATCTAGTTCACCTTCTTTTATCTTGACTGTCTATTCCTCCAAAGCGTAACAACCTGGCCATTGTATCGCTTCATATCCCTAAAGACATCATCCAAATAACTCAACATAAACGTATTGAATGAATGACTAACTTCCTCCTACTTGCTTCTATCCTGAGCATCACTAAAAGACCGCTGGTGACTGTTGATATCCGTCTCTGTGTTCTGAATCGCATTCACCTGGCTCTCTAAAAGCATACCCTTTCTTTTAAGAAGCCCCCGCCCTTCATTGAGAATTAAAGACGACACCCCTAGCTGCTGTTCCACTTCCTGCCTATGGTCATGGGCGAAAACATCCTCCTTGGCGTTACTTTTGCTCCTGGTCGCTCCTGAGTCGAGCTGCAGTATCGTACTGTCAAGGTTTGTTACCACCTTTTTAAAGCACGGTATCGGCACATAGAAATTCGGAATGTTGAAGGGAGAGTTTGCTAAGCTCTTTCGCGTGGTTGAATATAGTAGTGACAGTAGTTTTGTGATTTGGGTTGCCAAAATAGGAATTCTTGCGCCGTTGCATGTCTTCCATATTAGAGTGAATAATTCGATCCAACAACGAAAGCCAAGAATAATACAAAATGACCTGGTTACCCCAGTTGCGACGGCAGACGTCGTATTTCTTGATAATAACCGTGAAATGCTCAAGAGCATCTTTCACATTATCTCGGATCCACTCGGTCAGTATGACTGAGTTTGTGCGCTTTATCGAGTCGATTGTCCACACAGCTTGACGGATGGTGAATTGTTGCCTGTACAGACGCTCAAAAATGTCACCGTGCTTGGGTATTTCAAAGACGAAGGGTTCATCGTTTGGCACGCTTGGACTTAGCGACGAGTTAATGTTGGGCAGTTATGGGAGCCATATCCTTGATGCTGGGAGATGCATTCTCTTAAGATGAACAAAAATTGGATAATGTATCTGTTTACCAAGGTATTGATGAGGAACTACAACAGCATGCCGAGATAATCAATGCATGCCACCAGAACGTTAAAGCCTGTCTAATGTTTCTGTACTGAGTCTGCTTTTCTAGCATCAGTTCTAGGTATCGCTCGTTAACATCGGCATTTGCGAACCTGACATGTTGGAGGACTTTTGCTTCGGCTCTGTACTTCTACCCAGTGGGTGTGATGGCCGGTAGCTATAGCTATCACGGGCACAGCATGACTTATCGATAGGCTTCCGGTCGATTGGCAGTGGTTGTATGTTTATGAATCTTGCATCAGATGTGAGTGTGTTTCCTTGATCTGAATCCCATAAAGGATGGTCAGAAAGAACAGTCTTACGCTCCACCGTCTTCTTTGAACTGGCATTTTGGTGTTGAGGTTCTGGTAGAGGAGGTTGAACCGAGCGAAGATCAGTCTGTTGAGCTTTACTGGTGCGTCTTGGAAGCTCAGGTTGTGGTATCGGCGGTCTTGCCTTGGAAGTAATGTCCCTGTCATTAAGTACAGAGGGTTTCGATAATTGGGCTACTGCGGGCTCAGGTTCTGAGGCTTGAGGCTTGGCCGATGCCAGGTTTGTGGAGTGTTTTCTTGTCGGATTGTTTACGTCTTTCGACGATCATACGCGTTGGATCGATAACCTTCGATGACGTGGCCAAGTTCTGACCTAGTCCTTGTAAGTAACCGTCTTATCGATATTAAACATAAAGACCCTTCCAGCTTCTACCTTTTCAGCCAAATCGACCTGCATACAAGCTTCCCAGTTCGGTGGCCGAAGCCGAGATCTGACGGAGGACTGAGACGTAACCGAACAAAGATGGTCAGATTCAGGCTCAGTGGTCTCGTCCCTTGGGGTTAGTATTGCGCGTTAGCACTCGTGTTGATAGCATGGCGAGACGTGACCTGCTGCCAATTCACGCGACTTTACTGACTTCTCCGCGGCGGAGATGAGGCTAGCGATACGGTGTCACTCGTGCCCGCAGCCCCGGATGAGGTGAGGGCTGCGCGATGCATGGTGTGTTGGTGATGCAATTTCGGTTCGTGGGAGACTGATTGTGTAATGGAGGTTGGTGAATATGCTTTTGAGTACAATGCGTCGTTCTTTAGAAGGTCTTTGCACTGAAGTTTGGATGAATATATTGAATGAATTGCAGGAGGAAGAATAATAGGAGTGACATTATTGACTAATCAACAGGGTGTTTGAATGCGCATTCAATTTTGTGCATGACAAAGCCAAGACACGTCACACAATGATTAAACTGCTCCTTTTATCTCTACTCTTACCTAGCCATTGACGACAACTGCAAGTCTTTATTTCATTCTGCGCCACGAAAATACTTGCTCTTTGTTTAGTTGAAGATGCAGCTGCAGCAACAACACAATTGGTGATGCGAGCAGCCAATACAGACTATATGGTCCTGGCAGTGCGCTGGAACAAACAAATGTCATTAATCTGTTAGCAGCCTTGGATATATGTCCCAGCTTGACCTATCTTCACGTGGATCTTTATTCCATTCCAGAAATATGTCACGAATTCGACTTCAATGTCGTTACTTAACCCTCACCACCTACCAACCACTCTTCGCAATGCCTACTACCACCTAAATACGAAGCAAATCGCTCTCCTACGTACCAGAAATGCGTACCCACACGGTCCCTCTACGCCAACAACAACCGCGAGAACTGACCGATGTATGGAAAAAGAAACTGCGCATGCTGCAACGTTACGCAACATATCTGGGGGAGTTACAAAGCCCAACTGGCGATGAAGCCGAGAATCTTAAGATCCTGGACAATGTGATGATGGTGGATATTGCAAAGCTGGCTCCGTTGGTCGAGACGCAAAATGAGGAGGAAGCGTGGCTCACGACTTGGACGCGTCTAAAGAGTTTTAGAACGTTTGTTCATACGCATGTGAAGAAGAATATGGACGGTTGGGCAGATGCGGCCAAGATTGTGGCAGTTGGCAAGTCAGCTTAGGTAGAATCAGTCACGTTGGTCCTGACCTTTATTTTCTGGGCGTGCAGACTCATACGGTAGCTGGTGGTGATCCCATACAAACAAACGATACGGTAACATTGCGAGAGAACAGCCTGGCTTCACAATAGCAGGATCCAAATGACCCTCTAATACCCCAGACCACCCTCCGAAGGCTCCCCCGCGGCGCCAAAAGCGTCAATGGTGAAAAGGTCGCCACGATAAAAACACAGCAGTGGAACTCATCCAACGACCTCAACATGCCACAACCTCTTTTTTCCAACCGTCAACGCGCATCATCTTCAATACCGCTCACATGCGACGGCTGCAGGTCCGACGGTCACGAGATCCTCGACCGCCCTGTGACATCTTGTCAGTTGTGTTTCACGCCTGGTCACAGTAGTGCTGGTTGTCCCAGGTGGACAAGAAACACTGATGGGTTTGACTTTGGTGGCAACAACGCCGTGTGTGAACCGGCTGAGGGGACTTTTACGCTTCCTTTTCGGAGGAGTCCTGCGAGTGTGGCTGGCGAGACTGTCATGGCGCGAAACCGGATACCTGGTGTTTCTTTATTTTCAGAGATGGGCTCTGAGGATGATGCTGGTGTTGATGCTATGTATGCCAGTTCTGCATATATATATACGTTCTTGTCGTTGAGTAACGCCGGTGTTGCTGGTAGTTCAGGAGTCCCTGAACTAAATAAAACGAGGGCACTCAGGTAGAGACAGCCTGTTTGAACTCCTCCGGCGCCTCGGCTGTGGATATTCTCAAAGCACCCCGCGCACATATTCAACGGTAAAAATACAACCACGCGACCAGCCAAAGCTGCACCAAACCCGACACCATCCCCAGTGCGCAAACCACCCAGCACAGAGCCCCTCCCCACAGCGCGACGAGCCGAGCCTATCTCTAAGCCCCTAATAAGAAGCTGGGCGACGAAAGCACCAAGAGATATTGATCGGGCAGAGAAGAATGAAGAAGCAGCAAATGCTGGGACGCCAAGTTATAGGGCAAACTTCTGATGCTGCAATGCAAAAGAGTATCGATGCAGAGAAGGATGATAACGATGCTGATTTTCGAGGCTTGGTGGACAAAGCTTTGGGTGACCTTGGGGATGCAATGGGCAGGGGAAAGGAGAGGGCGATATACAAGCTTGAGAAATTGTGAGGTGTTTGAGTGTATTTTATTTAGTCTGTATGTAGCTAAGATTCCCTCTTTAGAGGACTTTAACATAAACTTTCGCAATTGGCTAGGCGATCGTGTTAATTGGTGGCGCCTACAAAAGTAGATGTAAACTACCCCTTATGGACAGTGCTTAACTTGTTTCAAATTCAACCATCTTTTTCGGGGGTTTGAGTCAAGGGCATTAACAATCAATTTGCAAGGTGACCAATATCGAGAAAGATCAGTCCAATTCGGTCGTAGCTTTGGTCACCGGTGCAGAATGGACTATTAAAAGGTCAGGAGAAATTTGTGCTCTGCCATAAACTATTAATCGCTGCTTACAGTATTTTACCTATCTTTCCTGCCAACAGCGCCTTTGCTAACTGTGGTGGTGGGCAGCGCATTCTACGTTGGCCAGTAAATCTTGGCTTGGACTGCCACAACGGCGACGGAGACTCTCTGGTTGCAATTCGTACGTTCCTGCGATGTTTGGTGAAAGCGGCCGAAAGCGACAGTCATACTTCTCACCATACTTTGAACAACGTTATATCAATTGCATCTCCTCTAAATACGTCTCTCGACTGGTACTCATGCCATTGGCGATTGAGTTGATAATCCATCTCACACCATTTAGTCATCATGATCGCCAATCATCTGCTCTCACTCTCCTCAACGACTCAAGTGACGAAATACCAGACAATCAGGCGATGTCACCGGCGGATCCGTCGTGGCATTGGCTTTCTGCTGCATGGTATTGCGATCCTTCGAAAACGCAAGCTCGGACCTAGCCAAGTTCCCGAAGGATACTACCCCGTCAGGCAGCGGCATGGCAAGATCTCGAAGCAGCTCCCCAACCTCGGACTTGACGTCCTCAAGCGGCTCAACGCCCTGCTGCCGAACCCAATGGATAAGAGCGAGGAGAAGACGCAGTCTCTTGTCGTAGAGGTTGTAGTGCTCTTCCGCGCCCTGTTGCTGGAAGCCGGCAAGGTCGAATATTGCCTGCCTACCTGAGTACTTCCAGCGAGCAAGTTGTCTCGAGTCGAGACAGACTCCACGTGGCGGCTCAGGCACCACACCTCGACCTCATTGCTTAACGACACTGCCTGGCTCACTCCGGAGACTTCCTTTGCTCTTATTGTCGGAAGAGTGCCAGCTCGGTTGATAGCTGGTAGTAGTCTCAGCGGGGTGGAGGAGTTGGGAGTGATAAACGTGGGTGCTATGTCTGATAGCGGAGGAGTAGGAGGCATAAGTGGCATCACGCGACTGGAGGTTTGAACTGGTGGTGGCCTCTGCTGACAGTTATCACCTTAGTCTGAGCTTGTCGAATGAGTTGCTCAAATCATCATGAGAAAGAGAAGCACCTTCGTCATTCGGGTCCGCCACATTACCATCCCACTCTTTCGTGTATGCAGGCCATGTTAGAGAACAAGAATGGATGTAATCCTAGTGGCTGTTGAGACCTATATCTCAACAGTCCAAGCAACCCCTTCATTCCACTAAACCATAACATCCAGTTGACCAAGTCCGTTAAATAAGCGCACCATGGCTCTTTGGACACGCGGAACCACCCAGGCGATGTAATTCGAGCTTGGGAACACGCAGTTCAGGTTCTTGAGGGGCCCATCGAGGTGGTCATGCTGGCAGGTTCGCTCGTTGACTTGATACTGGGCCGTCTGGCGTAGTATAGCGATCCTTGCGTGCGTGCAGACCTTTTCTAGCGCGAAGCGGCCGTAGTTCCCTTTCCGGAGCATCTCGACGGCGATACACTCGGAGTGTGTTGGGGTGTTGCTGCGGCACATCTGGGGTACTGGATGCTATTAGGAACGACCAAGAAAACGATTCCAGTTCTGGTTCTTGGCTTCTTAGCTCTTTTGCGCAGTCACCGTAGAAGGGATATTTCTATCCCACGTGACATCCACCAGTCGTCACCCCAGACACGTCACTGAAATTGGAAACCTGGGTTGTTCATGGCAGTCTTTGTAGCCCTGCATACAGCAAACAGACAAGGTATATCAACAAGCAGGAAAGAAAATACGCCCAGCCAGACGGTACAATATGTCACTCAGCAAGGATGTGGGGGAAATTCAATTAACACCCCAGCAGCACTAATGCAGGCTCTTAAAGAAGTCAAAGTAGCGCGAAAGCTGAGCCGCGTCACGAACGGCTTCATCGTTGGAAGAATTTTTCCTGCACGTGAACAAAACGTCTTTATGCCAGATGGTGGTTTATTAATGCAGTACATAAGCTTGATGACAATGACTCTTTCGAAATGGGTCTGCGCTGCAGCGGTGTGGCCCGATGGCTTCTGGAATTATTCTGACCTTAGTATGTAAAGATTCTTGAATGCACAGGTTCATGGACGGAGAATGTCAATTTTTAGATGTATAGACTGTTGTTTTCTTCTTCTGATGGGTGTTTATACTTTCTCTTCTTCTGTTTGGTAAGGGAGTCGATCACTGAATGTGACATGTTCTCTTAATAAGAGCTTGACTCTTGATGAGTCTCTCCCTTGATGAGAACCACACCTTGAAGAGACGTCCAACTCTTAATGAGTTCTGTCATCTCTTATGACCCCGTAACGCTGTTGCCCAATCGCTTACTGAGATAAGCTAGCCTAGTTGATCAAAGACTACGTTAGCGGGAGCCAAGTACTGTAGGGCCTCAAGTGCCAATGAGATGGCGAGCTGGGTGGCGGCAGAGTCTCGGTAACAATTTCATTGATAACGTGTGTATTCTACCAAGATACAAACGCAGAGAATTATTTTACAAAGCTGATTTGCTGCGTTTGTTCTATCCTTGAACCCAATGGAGTGAAGCCTTAATATGCCCCTGGGTTACGCCGCAGATCAAAAACGGAACGCTTAGAAAATCGTGCGTCGAATGCCAGGCTTCGGTCCATTATCCCAGCATCACAAAGAGATTCAGCTTAATGTCTCCCGCACAAAGTCCCGCCGCTATTGCACAGCTTAACCAACGTCCTCTCTCGCGACTGCATTAATCCAAAATTGGGAAAATTGTTGCAGACATCAAAGGAGGCAGCAAGCAGCATATTCAGGCAATGCAGTCACTGTAACAAGGCAGAAAAAGACCAGTCAGGAATGGCACACCACAAAAGCACAGTAATAACATCGTTCCTCTTCTCCACTCTCCTCAACCTGACTTTCTCTCCATCTTCAACGCAGAGTCAAAATATGCAAGTCCAACACCGCCAATAAAGTTTGCGGCGTCTCAACAGCATAGTACTACTCCCAACGTCGCCGTCGTCGCCGCCAACCCCGACTTCGCTGGTGTGCAAGCACCAAAGCAACCATCCTATCCTATCTGGCCAGCCTCGCGCTCAATCCCGATACCATCGATATATTTACCGCTGACGAAGAAGCCATGCAAGCTCGAGTAGAGTCTTCGTGCGCATCAAGGTCTCTTGGCGGCACAGTTCAAGGATCTCGTCAAATAATTTGTCGCCGCTTGGCTGTTGTCACAAAGGCGCTTACAGCCCAAGGTGGGGGCTGGATGTGGGATGGGAGGATCAAGATAATGCAGGGGGATGAAGTTGTAGCGTGGCTTGAGGAGCAGAATATGGGCAAGAAGGCTGTCGATGGGCCTGTTCATAGGTGAGAGATGTGTTGGTTTTGGACTGTGCATTGTTGCTGACTGGCTTAGGATGGGTGCGACGAGTGTGGGTGGCAATTCTGAGACAGGTATGTTGGCAGAGCATGCTAAGTAATGGGCAAGTTGAGTCATACTGGAGACTTCCTCTATTATCATTGTCGAAAGAGTGCCAGCTTGGTTGATGAAAGGTGATGAGAGTATACCTACGAAGTTAAGTTGTCGGAAGGGCAGCGACCCAGAGACAAGACGGCTGATATTCCTAACTTCCAGTTTTTTTGGTCTTTTTATACTCTAGTGGTATACATGAAGCGAAGTTATATAACATAATTGCTGAATAACATCTGAATGGTTAACATCTTTAACGTAAATATATTCCCTTGCTTGTCGATCATTCTCATGGATCCTCTGTACCAAATGTGAGCTAAATGACACTGTCCCTTAGCCATAATTAAGAGAAAGAATGTTTTCTTGTCGTCAGCATTTCGTAAGCCTGAATGTGTTGCCGCGTTCTTGTAAACAGCGCCTATAATCGTCCGTTGTCGTCGTGCGTGGGGAGCTCGGCGTGGGCGTTGGTGTCGCAGTATTCGGTGATGGTGAAGAAGAAGATAATAATGGCCAATCCGACGGTGAAAGAAATGAAGGCGCGGAAATGGAACGTCGAGTGTACCGTCTCCGAGACATGATGTTTGTGGCTGGAATAGATGAGGCTGAAGAAGGCTGAATCTGAATGAATGAGGGGGAAGAGCAAGGGCAGAGAGTAATATAAGTAGCAAATTCTCGATCTGTTATTTCATCACTTCAATTTATCTAATGGATTTCTTCTGTAACCAAGTTTGTAACCAGTGGCTTGAACAATTATGTCCAATGTGGTGGATAATAGAGGTTTTGTTGGTTGTGGCGGGCGCTGACAATAGGGAATAGAAATAGAACCACATTAGCTAAATCCCATCGCCGAGCGGGTGATTTATAGTTAATCGGGCGGTGATCAATTGAGTTTATTTTAACAGTTTATTAACCTGACCTAAAATATATAAAGAAATGGCAACAGCCCTCGGTGGATCAATAAAACGTAATCATAATTGGAGCTCGCATAATAGGCCTTATAGCAATCCTTGCCAAAGTCGCATACACCAAGCCTTTTGCCTCACACAACCCTATCGTCAAGTCCGACGCCTCACCAAGTGACGAGTTCAAAAGTGCCATCCTTTACTCATAACCCGACCGTCAAAACAAATTAACCACCACCAGGACACATATGCCACCTCCAAAGAACCATCTACACGCTCGAGAACCGGCACCAGTCACTGTACGACTTCCTCAACGTGCCTTTCAAGTCCACGAGCGAAGACATCGGCATCGTATATCAAAAAAAGCTGCCCTCAAGCCTAGACGAAAGTCGAGATATGGCGCTGATCAACGCTGTCGCGTTGGTTTTGCTAAAGAACAAGGAGAGAAGTCACTACAATAGAGAGTTCTTTGGCCTCGCCAGGTTTACCGATGTGTATGTTGGGGAAAAGAAGTTGAAGTCTGCGACTGAGATGGATGATATGGGGAAGTGGATATTAGATGGGGAGAAACAGAGGGGTTTGCAGGCGGATTTAAAGCGGAGGATAGAAACGATTCGTAAAGGGCTTGTTTGAGGGGGCATTATATGTGAGAGAAGGCTTGGTAGAAATAGCATATGCATTGTATATATTGGTTCAGCAATGACACTGCTGACTATCTTCAATATCTCCGACGAAGCATACACCTGCCGAAATTAAGCCTCCTCTTCATCAATCTGATTCCCCCTGTTCTCCTTGCAAAGCTTCCAAAGCTCATCCAGTCTCCCATCAATCCAATCTCCCTCCCTCTTCAGTTCCTGCAACCTCGTGGTGGAAGATTTGCGGGCTGGAGCCGTTCAAAAAGCTACGGCTGTGTCGGAGGCCATAGGATCGCTACTTGTATCATGTCGTAAAGGAGTTAGCCAAGAATATTCACGAGACAAAGTTGGTAGAGCTTGATGAGAAGTTACGGAATAAGCCGGGCTTGGCTATAACTGGCGGACGAAGAAGAACGAGGAGAGAGCGACGGTATAGGTTAGTAGAACGCAGAGGAGTGATACGTAAGTTTAGTTATTATTATAATATTTTAGGTCCTTGACCTATTCTGGACCTGATCCATACTGCTGTTGCAGGCAATGTAAATTCTTTGCATTTGAATATCGCCATTTGCGAAACAACTCGTTTGCGGAAAATGGTTTCAAAGCCCGCATAGCTTTCGCGAAGAGAAAGTCCTAACTATACCTAGAGAAGATTTGTAGAAAATTCAAAACGTAGATAATAACAATTAAGTCGCCGGTTAATTAATATCCAACCTTAACAAGCATTACCATGTATTCGTGCTTGGGCTATAGGGTAGCCCACTGATGCTATCACGTGCTGGTTGTTGGGCCAATGCCAATCCGCTAACACCAATTAAACTTTGCGGGGCATCAACAAGTAAGGTCGTCAACAACATCAAAGCGAGATTCGATTCCAACATGGCCAGCTCTACAGTAACAGCATCCAGACGAAGCTCAGGATGGAATGTTGTCTTCCTCGCCGGAAAGAGTCAGAGTTATAGCCCTTTTGCTGGCGTTTTTAGCCCGGCTGACTGTTCATTATTGACATTCCAAGATGTTGTTCGCGAAATGAGCCTGTGTTTTGAATTTGACAGTAGTCGAGATACCAGCGTCTGGGACAATATCGCCTTTGAAACCCTCGATGCCGATCTTTGCGATGGATCGTTTCCTTCATTTGTGAAGGATTTGGGTGTTTCTATTCCCAGCCTTGATTCACCCAGCCTCAAGCGCCCAAACATCTTACGATTTCGCATTTTGCGGCATACCCCCTGTCAATTGCCCGACAGTGCACCATTAGATACTCATCTTCTGGGTGAGTCTCAGTAGCTTTTTCTCATGGTTTATGCCGCTGAAACTGTCTAGCCAAGTGCGCCAACTATCTTCCCCAGCCTGTCCGGCGTCACAACCCACGATACCTTCCACCCAAGACGGCGTCATCAGATACACGATACGCCAAGATGCCACATCGATCAATCCTCAAAGGGCGTCGAGCATCTACATCGCCAAAACGGCCACGATCTGGTTCAACGTCACCAAATAAGGACCCAGTCGACCCAGAGGATATCGATGTCAACGATATGGCTATGCCAGCCGACGCGGACGTGGACCTCACTATGGCAAGAAAGTACGCAAGCAATTTCCGAACCTCATGCCTTGATAGCGCAGATGCTTGTGCTGTGAGTGGAAAAGGCGCCTCATGGTATTACAATTCAGATGTTGGCCCTGCTCTTCATGCCTGTCATGTCGTGGAACAGAAGCAGTATCATCTGTATCCCCTGGAAGACGACGACAATGACGACGACGAGACCATGTATAGCACACATCGACTAAGAGAGTTGTGGATACGCACTTGGTCACCAGCGAATAGTATTCTCATGCTGTCACACCTTCACGAGCTTTTCGACGCACGACTCTTCTCGATCCATCCAAAGACACACCAAATACGCGCCTTCGTACCATATGATGTTATCACAGAATACCATGGTAAAAAGGCAGCTTTACCTCGGGACATTGATCTTTTGGCCCTGCAACATCACTACGATATGTGCTGCATTGAGAATATGGCCGCCAAGTTTCCATACGTTGAAGTGACCACCACGCAAGATAGCACCATGACGTCTGGTACCAGGACACCAGCCAGTACGAAAACAGATCTTCCAGCGACCCCACGCTCGGGAGATGTAGGCTTCATGGGCGATCCGTCTAAGAAGCAGCGACTCACCACTCGAGAGCGTGATCGATCATCTGGCGCCCAGGATGCGGTGGATGGAGTGACATGGCCGCTCGAAGGAGAGGAGAACGTTGGGAAAAGGAAGCGATCCGACAGTTTTGACTTGAACGTCAGGTATCTACATAATGCACACGATACTGATAGTTATGTCACACCGCTGAATAGCCGTGGGTTTTTAGCAGATGTTAACTGGGAACTGAAAAGGTTCAAGGCTAATAAGCCATACTAGCAAGTCTTTAATACCAAGGTATTTTGATAAACCAAATAAAAAACATATATTACTCAAAGAGGAGGGGTAAGCTCTTGAAGCCAAGCCACCACAGTTCGGACACAATACAAAGCAATATAGCAAATCATGTCGTGAAAACAGACAAGAGCTACTCTATACAACCTCGGCAGTACTTTAACCCTCAGGCCTACAGTTTATAGCTTAAATAGATAGGAGCACGGCGGTGTTCATTGACTGGTTCCCTCCAAGCTGCCCCACATCTGACAAATGCAAGCACCGGCTCTTCAATCGTCACATCCGCGCGTCACGGAAAACAAAACAAAAGGGAAACCCCTCATAGCGCGATAGCCACGATACACATGATGATTTCGAAATCAATTCGTATTGCAGATAGAGTCCGCTCGTTTCTTTCTTATCGCTTTCATCATCTTTACCTGACTCGTTATTATCACACTGAAATGGAAGGTTTGGCATATCGTTGTAACATCGATGCCGAACCTCTGCATCGGTACAAACCAGGCGGATACCATCCTCTTACATTAGGCGAGGTTCTTAATAACGGGCGATACAAAATCATCCATAAGCTGGGATGGGGAGGCTACTCTACCACATGGGCGGCAAAAGACCAACAGTAATGCTCATTTCTATTACCTTTTTCTAATTCTGACTATTTTAGGACCGGCCGTTATGTTGCGGTAAAGATAGCTATTTCAGAGGCTGAAAAGACTAATGAGTACATGATCTTGAAAGCAATATCCGCTCTACCTAAACACCACGCTGGTTTCTCTCATGTGAACCAGTTGCTGGATAGTTTTACTCTTGTTGGCCCCAATGGCTCACATAATTGCCTGGTCCTTGAAATCGTGGGACCTAGCGCCGCAGATATCGTTGACGGATACTGCAAAGATGATAGACTTTCTTCTAAGCTTGCGAGAGTGTTCTCTAAGCAAGCCTTGCAAGGTCTAGACTTTCTCGTCCAGAACAATATTGGACATGGAGGTGAAACACACACGATCGGATGTCTCTTCGCTAGGCTAACTTGACTTCTAGATCTACACACCCGTAACCTCGCTCTTCAAGTACCTGGCCTGGAGTCTCTAGCAGAATAAGACTTTTTGACCAAGTTACGGGAACCCGAAATGGGATTAGTGACAAGAGCAGATGGCAAACCAGTGGAACATAACTTGCCAACTCATCTTGTTCGACCCGCATTATTCCGAATCAAAGAGCTTCTATCTTCTCCAGTAGTCAAAATTATCGACTTTGGAGAGGCATTTTTTAACAGCGATGCGCCGAGCACGCTTCATACGCCCTTGTCTGTGCGAGCACCAGAGGTCGTGTTTGGAGACTCACTAGATCATCGAGTAGATCTCTGGAGTGCTGGCTGCCTGGTAAGAAAAACCACATATGAATCTTTTTAAGTTTCTATCCTAACAACTATAGATCTTTGAACTCATAACCGGGCAACCTCCATTTGATTCCATGATGACAACTCCCCCAAATCTCGTCTCACAAATGATAGGCATTACTAGTGATGAACTCCCATTAAGGTGGCAGGCCAAATGGAAAGAAATGAATAATGGCAAAATCACTCAACCAGAGGTGTACTCCACACTTAAAAAATGGATGCAGGAGGTTTACTTCGACGATGACCGAGAGGCGGAGTTTACCAAGGAAGACATTTTACGGGCCGCCGAGTTGATTGATCGTATGTTGAAGATGGAGCCTTCCCTTCGAGCTATACCAAGTGAAATTCTTTCCGATACTTGGTTTAACTGAGGGAGTCTACAGACAATGTCAGCTCATATAAAATGTGTAAAAGCTACGAGAGGACTGAAGGACAAATACAGATTACTTAGCAAATGGAACTAGCTTTAAGAACTAGCTTTGACGGCGAATGTCTCTATTTCAGTCGGCAAAACCAATGCCCTATGTGGTAGGCGTATAGCAATGTCCTTTTAATATTCTTCCAGCCTACAAGTCTAATTATTACGTCTATTCTTAGGCGTATCGCTGACGAGAGTATTGAAACAATTTATGGCACTCCTACTTGGGCATTTAAAATATGCCCTGATCTATTATTAGCTCTTTTGATGGGCAGAGTAACTGTCTAGTGCAGCACCCCTGCAAAAGTCGCCAACTTAGGATTAGTACGGAAAAAGCACCGCTTATCATTTCTATCTTCGGCAATTACCCATATTTCTCAATCCAACACTATATCAAGATAGGAATTATTCTTTTTTGCTTTAACCTTCAATTTTATCAAGCCCAGGCTTTCCAAATCTCTCAATGATATTAACAATAATCAAGATAGGATGCTCACTGAATTCTTACCCTATCAGTCCTGTCTTGCTCCTCAAAGAGCTCACATATCACTCTCTTGAGGCTGCACAGCCCAGATATTAGGACTTCAATACTGATTTAAGTTTTTCGTTAGTGTAATCAGCCTTTGAGTAGTGTGGTTCCTCTATTGTCTATTCTCTATTTATTGCAAACAAAGGTTACCTTTGCCTCCGCCTTCAGTGCACTAGTCTACGACAAGACCTTTTTGTCTTGGCTTTCCACTCGTTGTAACGATTAATCAGTCGTCGACTTCTCGAACTCCTTATACTAATACCGCGACCTTCTATATATTTATCATTCCTTCTCGAGTTTTGAAATGGCAAGTGGAAGGGCTGGTCTGTCTTTGGCTTCTCTTGCTCGAGTATCTCTGTCTTTATGCCTTGGTAACTGGGTCGTCCGTCCTCGGATTTTTGTCCTGTTGTCGGCTGCGTTAGAAAACCGCTCAGACGTGACTGATCACGGTTTAATGGTGGTGCATTGGATACGGCTGAGGACTGTGACCTAATCCTGGAAGCCCCCATTAGTAGTGATTGATCTCTAGGAGGTGAGGGGTGATATAATTCTGCCGAATCACTCCTGGTATCATTTTCCTTGACTCCAAACTCTCTTTCAAATAGGCTATAGTCCTCTTGGCTCAGAAGGTTAGTAGCCGACTGAGCCACTGGATTCGGATCGAATCTAACTCTGCCATAGTCCCCGGGCGGCCCAAGAAGACGGGGAAACTCTAGAATCATATATCTAGCTCGCCCCTTGAGGCTAAGAGGCCCGCAGTACGACTCGTCTGTCTTACAAGTGGCCAGGATTTGGGCAAGACGGCTTGCAACATGCATCATGGAGCATCTGTCCTTGGGTTTCACAACCAGCATGCCGTGTGTGATAAAGTCCAAGAAATCGTGCAATGCCTGGGATGAATGCTCAAGGCTTCGCAAGAAACTCATCCACTATGACCAGTCAGCCGACCGTCTTTATCTATCTCGGTGTACTTACCTTCATAACTGAATCCTTGACAACTCCAGCCCCATTTGTATCGTTCCAAAACTTATCGTCTGGATACTTATATGGGTTATCGTCATCTTGTTGTCTCGATGTATAAAAGTCTTCGCACTCTTGGCCATCCGGAGCCTGGAATCCTCGCTTACGTTCGTTCTCATTGGTAGGCTCACGTGAGCGAACAGCATTGAAGCCAAGGAGGTGCCATGTAATGAACTCGAGGAATGCGCACCCCATTGTCCAGATATCGCACTTTTGAGTCACTCGAGAACCATCCCGAGCAGCCTTTTCAGGTGGTCGGTATGTTTGCGAGTAGTTTACATCTTGAATACGAGTGTAAACGGTATTGGGCGAGTGAAATCTCATAAGAGTGAAGTCGGCCACGACTAGCTTCCCATACGAGTCTGCTGTGTCATTGAAGAAGAGGATATTCTTGGGTTTGATGTCCCCATGTCGTCCTTGGTTTTGGGTTTTGTGGTGTCTCGTATGTCGGGCCCAAGAAGAGTGATGGTGGACCTTGGCAAGACCAGAGGCTAATCCATGGCATTGTTGGATCATCCAAATTAATTGGTCCGGTGATGCAGGATCACAGCAGTGATTCTTCCAGTAGTCCTCTAAATCGCCTTCAGCACACGGAAAGATCAGAAATCGGGTTGATCTTAGTTCATATGAGAATAACAATTGAATGAGGTTCTCGTGTCCTAGATTTGGATGGCTGAATCGGGCCAATGCTGCCCTCTCCTGCTCAAAGGTCGCGTCATCAGCAGTAAAGCGTTTGACAGCGTAGTGATCAAAACATCTCTGCATCCAAATTGAGTCTCACGTTATCTATTCTGATCTTAGACAAGTCCTCACCGTTCGTTGTCCCCATTTCTGATACTGTTTATGTATCCTAACCTTCGACACCTGGCCATGTGCGCCCCTCTTCTTTCTATCCAGCAAGTACAGAAATGGCATGCGTATATCAGACCTCAATTTTATATGCTGCATGCAATCGAAATCGATGATGTGGGGATGAAAAAGATATTGCTTGTCAAGAAATCCATCGATAGCCAGTTCCTTCCAGTCGTAGATGTTAAAGATCATGTGCTTCTCTGATAGTGGTAGGTTGTCGTCCCAGACATGAGAATGAACAAAGTAGCGCAGATATTTGATCTTGTCAAGCAGCAGGAGCGTTGCAAGTATCTTATATCGTCCACATTTGCTCTTTGTGCCGTCTATCTGATGTAATAGGATGCGAGTCTTACTCCTGTCCTTTTTATATGCTTCATCAAGTAAATCCTGAATGACTGAAGGGTTGAAGATTTCTATTAGGTCATCTTGAGGTATAAAGGCCACTGGGGATTTGAGAGACTGGTGTTTGGGTAAGAGAGCTCTCACAATCCTGTGGGCAATGGGATGGCCTCGTCGACTTGATGGTCTTTCTGACTCGTGGCTGGTCCGATTGGAAGAGTTCTCAGGCACCCGACTGACGACTCCGGAAGACGATTGAACACTAAGATTCATATTGGCTTTGAAACTGTGACCGACCGTAAGGGCGATGACTGTGAAGTAGGCTGTGAGCAGTAGGTCCAGCGAGTGAATAGCCAGATAGCTAAATTGAGCCAGGCTTTTAAGGTAGGATATTTACTACTGGGAAAAACAGCCTTGTAGATGCGATCGAGACAGGTGCGTAGTTTCAAGACTGGTCCGACATCAGAGCCTCGTCTCAGCGGCGTTCATTGAAAGTGACACATCCCCATAAAAGCTGAAGCAGCCCTATCACTAAAAGCTATTATCTGTTGCTGCGCATCGCAGCCATGGTGTTTGCTGGAGCTATGCGCGATGAAAATGGAGTCCCTTGCGTTTAACTTTTCTAACGGCATACCTTTTCAGATAAGAGCTTTCCTGTACGTGTTGTTGATGACGAGATCTATGCAACCGGCTCAGAAGCTGTTATGAGTTGCTTTTGGAACTGGATCCAAGGATCATGGAGGATTATGCGGAAATGAAGTGGGCTTTCTTAGCCCCGACCTTTTTCGAGTCCGATTTTGAATACGAGTTTCACAAAAATTGTCAAATGCCGTTTGTATACATACCAAATGCCAGAGTGTTCTAAGGCGCCTTTGGTACTGTTCATAAGCTTGGCTTACATATCGATCACCAAGAGCTGACTACGTTCAACCTGGTATTGAAACTGTATATTCGTTATAAATACGTAAGCTGATAGTTCATAGAAACTAACAAGTGACAAAAGATTTTTTGAAGTCGCTATTAAGATCATGAATACCAAGGACACTGGCTCTGCTTTGGATGTAGAGAAGTTCTATACCAAAGAGGGAACGACCCTTCGACAAATGAGGGACATAAACGACACCCATTTAATAAGAGCTATTACTGCGTACAAGAAAGATAGTCTCAGGTGTTTTGTCTTTCCATGGGCCGAAGGTGGGAATCTTGACAGCTTCTGGAAAACCGACCAAAGTGAACTCGACCAAAGTTTGGTTATCTGGGCCATCAATCAGATGGCAGGGATATCGGGAGGTATCTGGAAGCTTCATGAGAAGAACACTCGCCATGGAGATATCAAACCAGCCAACATCCTCTATTTCATGGACTTTCTAGACAAAAGCAGTCGTGGAACCTTGAAGATCGCTAATGTTGGCTTGGCAAAGGTTCACAAACCTCAGTCACTATGTTTACAAATACTACTCACCTAATAACTACCAGATTAGCCTAGATTACTAGTTTTATACCGAATAATTGTCGATCATATGGTCTGGGTGGCTTACTTTCTATGGCCTGTATTGTTTTTAAACAGGACTGTTGTGATTATTAAGAACGAACCTAACTTTATCGTATATGGCCATTACTTTGTTGTATCTAACCTCCTACTAGTAATTCAACGAGAGTGCATTAGCTTGAGATTGCTTGGTAAAATAAAGATGAATATGCTCTAGATCTTGTAGCAAAGGAACATGGAGACTTACTTACATCTCTATGTACGGTATAAGAGCTAGATGTCTGTGGAACTGTAAGTGTGAAGCGTGCCTCTTACATTGTCTAAGATGCCAACACCGTCAACGTCCAAAAGTCAACACTAAAGTTCAATTATCTGCATATTAATGCAAGTCAGCGGTTTTATTAACATTTCTTACATTGAATTCACTTACAATTGACCGCTTATAATTATTCAGGTGCCTCAAAAAGGTTTCGCTGATTGATGGATTGGCTGCGTGGTCATTATCAAAAATGGCGCAAGTGTTGCTGTATGAGAGATTAACAGGACATGTGATTTGTCATTCGCATGCTTCTGTAGCCGGTTTGGAGAATTCAGTCAACGCCAAAATCGTGACAGAATGCAATCAGCGCCTAGGTTGTCTTCAGCTTTTCCAGAGTTCTTAACTACAATGCACAGCCAAAGGTTTAGGCTGCAGTTATGTCAAAGCCATGAGCAAGAAAAGAAAAGCGAGGTGTAGGGTACTGGCTGAAATAGAGTTTGATCTAGTCCGAATGAGGCGATTCTGAGCGGGCCAAATGTCTATCATTGAGTCGCTAACTTAGCGCCACCTTAGTCAGGTACAGAACGTTTTCCATTGGCCTGAAATATTCCCCGCTGCAACACCCACTAGAAGAGTGACAACGTCACGCACGATGAATTGCACTGCACTGATGTAGGTCGGACCATAATGTCACTGCCGGATGAAATGATGCGCTGTTGTGAAAATGAAATGCATAATTGAACAGGATGATTTTGAGTTGCTGCAAGAATTAATTCGGCCATGATAGTATCTTGTAATTTTGCTATTGGGGTCTGTACCTTATGCGCATCTATGCCTTCAAATTACATCGCAACCGAACTGTATCACGCTCAGGCACACGCACACGATGAATCTTATTGATGCTCTCTTTACATGGCCGTTTGTGCTGCGGGGTAATGATGTCATGGTGTCACAATGGTCTGCCAGGCACCAACGCCGAACATCGGAGTCCTCTGTAACTGGCGATAGCTTCACTGCCTGGCACTGCACAGGCACCCAAGCTTAGTCATGCGAATTCACTTCACGCCCTTTTTTCGTTACGCACGCGATTCTCTCTACATTTCACAGCCTTTCCTTCTTCACACACCAACATGTGACGCATCACTCCATGCACAAATTCCTTGCAGACCCCGACAAGAAGCGCCACGACTTCGGCGCGCGAACCACGGCCAAACGAGAGTACCTCGACACTGTGTGGCCTGGCTAGCTGCCGACCGACGTCAACGACGCGTATCGCTCATCAGGCGTGCCCTTAAAAGCCATCGACAACATCGCAGAGATTGTGCAGCTCATTCAGGCTCGCGACGCATATTTCGACCTCGACTCTCTGTGGGCGGCTGGGGGACTCTTTCGACAGGCGCTGCAGGGCAGGACCAACGAGTCTCACTTCACGAGAGACATTGCTTCCAAGGTGAAGAAGAGGATTGCTGCGTTGGTCAAGGACGGTGGTGTTGATGCTTTGCGCACTGCTCAATCTCAATCTGCACCCGACGCTGAGGAACCCCCCGCTGCTGCTGCTTCTCCTTCTCCCTCCGACTTTGACGAGATGAACGTGGACTTCACCCCTGCCTCGGACGCTGCCACTGAGCCAGACCTTGACGACGACAAGAAGCGCAAACGCTCCATATCTCCCATCCACTCCACCAAAGCGCAATGTCTCACCACGACGCCCAGCCTGACAACCACCAAGATTCTGCATCAGTTGCGAAACAACGTGCGCCTCACCGACGATGTGCTTAACGTGCTCTGCCAAGCCGCCAGACTCTTGTACAGCGCCAAGACCGCCCAAGTCAAATACCCTCTCTGGTTCTACGACGACCAGCACTCCGCCGACGTTCCCTCTGCCCTCCGTATCTCTAGCGACACTCGTCTCATCTGCTTCCCCATCCATCACGCTTCTGAGCATTGGTCGCTGGGTGTGCTGGAACCAGTGAGCCATGGCTTCTTCTTCAGCCACTACGACTCCATGCCCGAGGCACAGCGCTCCAAGGCTGTTTCTGAGCGAGTGCGTGCGTGGCTGGATGCGCGTGGATACCAGGACAAGGAGCTTACGAGCAAGGAAAAGGTAAGTCTCATCATGCCCTTCATTTTCTGCCGCCTACTGACGCTTGTAGAAATGCCCTGTCCAAGATAACGGCTGGAGCTACGGGGTCCACGTCGTCTTCTCGTTGATGACAGTCCTCCAAGGCAACTCTTTCCCCGCTGACATCGACATCCACGCCGAGAAAGTCGCCCTTGTCCAACTGCTGCGCACCATCGACTGCAGCAACGGCTTCACCCAGGAAGAAGCCTCAGCGATCAAGGGATTGGACCATGTCCTCGACGAGGAAGCCCGAATTGATCTTGAGCACCGTCTCTCCACCGTCACCGTCCAAGAACTTGAGCGACATCTTGTCACGGCAAAGGTCATCCGGCACCAAGCTCAATTGGACGAACACGCGGCGACAATTGAACTCACCAAGCTTCGCGGCAAGATGGAAGCCAGAAACGAGCTGCGAGACGAGATTGAGAATTCCCTGGCCCGCATGCAACAAACCCTCACCCAGCACGCCAGCGACGTCTCCCGCGCCAGCAGCGGCGTTTTCATCCACGAGCCTCTATCCACATCCGACGGTCCCCACGACATGGGTCTCATGACGCAGCTGGACCAAACCGCCGAGATGCGGCTCAAGCGGGATCAAACCAGCGACCACAGCGGCGTGCGCACGGGCGCCCACTGGATGGCAGAGTCACTGCAGCGCACGACGGATGAACTCGACGCAGCGGTTGCAGCTGCGACAGCGACACTGGCCGAAGCACGGACTGCTCTGTACAAGGCGCAGCGGGGCGTGGAGAGCTGCGAGAATGCAATCGAGGCCAAGGAGAACCAGGACGGGAAGACGACGGCGCTCGAGACGTTGGCCTTGTTGGACGTGGCGATGAAGAAAGATCGGGAGTTGTGGATGGAGGGAAAAGTGTCGCTGCCGAATTGAGATATGGATGGAATGTGTGGCAGAACAACAATGAATAATGCATAAATACTAAAATTCATTTTTCGGTTAAAATAAGAGTTCGTATATCTACGGCATGTCAATCATCGCCGGTTATCTGCTGTCAGGCTGTAAAGTCATCTATTTTATGGTCTTGCACGTTGTTATGTGCTGTTCAGCGGAGTATTACAGGGCGATGCGCTGGAGCTGAGACACGCTAGTCCAAAGGGGGAGATTCTGAGCCGCCCAAAGCTCCGTGAGTGGCTCGCTTCGCTAGCGCGCGCACGGACAATTTGTTGAGCATGACACCTCCACCAAAGGATCAGCAATCGACCACCAAGAATGCCCGGCATATTTTTGTGCCGCCTGCTGACAATCTTGGCTCTTTACTTTGAGGGTGGCTTACGGAGTAGAAATCTTGGAGATCAACGGTGGCAGGGGCAGGGATTTGCACCTCATTGTCGAAGTCAGCACGGTTGATTTGGATGTCAACGGTAGGAATCCCCACGCTGTTGCCGAAGAGCTTGAATGAATCAGGACTCTCTAGCCTTGTAGACAGGTTGCTGTTCGGACTCTAGGTGGACGTTACTCGAATTGGAGGAGGATGAGAATGGCGAAACAGAAGCAGATCAGCATAGAAGATACGTCCTCCACTAAATTTGACAAGCACTGAACTGACAAATGAAACCATTGGCAGAACTGTGAAAGTTGTGAACCGCGACAACATCCTCACCCTCTTGTTACGTCGATCCAAGGGAGGTCGAATGGCCGCCGAAAAAGATAAGCGACGCCGCAGTCAAGAGAAACAAGTAACTCGACAACACGAGGGATGAAGCCGATGGGATCAAATGGCGAATGAACAACGCTTCTCGGAATGTACGGATTTGAGTGTCATACAGTCTAAGCCCTGTGATGGAAGGATTCACGACACAGGCGGTGTCACCAAGACAATTCCAATTTTTTCTTGAGGCTTGCAGGGTCTGATATATAGGACTACTTAGATCTACCTTAAAATATCATCTTAAAGCTTACCTAAAGTTGGCCAAAGCTTTAGGCTTTTTTTTGTTCTGGTCAGTGGAGCCAGCTTCATGTCTTGCCTCAAAGATCGTCACAAGTCTTGATGTACAATCCAGTTCCACTGATTTTATCCTCTTGATAAATCTACTTGACCTTGCCAAGGCACCCAGGCGCAATACATAACTCATGCAGAAGCTATCCCACCTTACACCATGTCCCCAGGTTGAACTCTGACCCAAGAGCTGGTTCCGCGCCGAGGAAGTCTCCCCGAACAAGTCGATGGGAAGAGTGCTCAATCGTAGAAGAGTGGAAACCTCCAAGCTTTGTCTGCCATTCGTCGCTGTTGATATTTTGCTCCCGGGATAAAGTTGGAGGAATACTGGAAGAATCATGCGCCAGCGCATTGTGGTGTTTGGCGCCCTTGGGCGTGTCGTTTGGGACTGAGTTCCCAGGCAGGAACGTTTGCGTCGTTGAATTTGCGCTTGTTGATTCTCGGGGTTGGCGTGGTTGTTGTGGAGATTGCAGTGGGAGTCGCAGTGGGAATCGCAGTTGTAGTCTCAGCGGGAATTGCAGTGGGAGTAGCAGTCGCATCCGTAGTAGCGACATTGACACTCGATTTGTATTGAACACCGACCAGGTGCGTAATGATGCGTTCTGAGAAATTCGTGTACGGTTCGAAGGGGACCTTTGTGTGTTTAATCGAAGGCCACACGGCGTGAATGTTGCTCTTTGGCTCGTGCAGACCTTGGAGAATGTCACTGGGGATGTCGGCTTGGAAAACGTGGGCATGGGTGGTATCGGCTGTGTTGGTAACGAGTAGGCTTGCCTTGGCAGTGTGAGCGAGAGCGGCCTGGGAAAAAAGAGTAGGTAACTTACAGGATAGGTTGTGGACTTTGACCCTTCACCGCGCCATTGCAGCTGCGCCAGGGATAACAAGAGGCAGATCAGGTAAGGATCCTGGGACCACAGATCCGGGGTCACGCCGTGTAGTCTGCGCTGATACAGTCGTGCAACGGGCCAGTTGAAACCGCCGCGAGGATTCAATCGGGGTGTAAGTGCCTTTTCCCGGTCTTTGGTGACATCGTCGTAGTGGAAGTAGCCGATAATGGGCGGTGCTTGGGGTTGAGTGTCGGGGGTATTGGGCGTCGTTACGCGGTAGATGTCGCATTCTGGGAGATGGATCCGGCGGTTGTTGAACTTGAAAGGAGGGGATCCTCTGTTGAAGAAGAAAGTTAGCCCAGCCCGTAGCAAGACGATGATAAGATATCGAGCGAAAAACGACTCACCGAACCTCGTAAAACAGGCTGCCTTGTGGACAGAGCAGCTTCTTGACCGACAGCGCCTTGAGTGAGACCAGTTGGGTGCTTGCCAAGCGTCTGGCATTTCGAGTGAGTTCGTCTTCGTCCTGGCCGGGTCTTGATGCATCATGGCCGTCGCCGTGGTCGTGGATGTTGGTGTTGGAGTCGGAGTCGGAGGTGGCTTCAGGTGGCTGAAGACTGAAGCTGCACTGGAGGAGGCGCAAGTGTCGGGCAGTCCAGAAAAGAGGGTGGACAGCGAACCAAGGGTTCTCAACGCTCAGATCGTGCAGGGATTTGCCGCTTGAGATGGACATGTTGTAGAGGGTGCGCGCATCGCATCACATCTTGCTCGTCTGCGTGGTGTTGTGTTGTGTTGTTTTGTTTTGGTTGGAGATGGTTTGGTTGGTGGGGGCGGGGCAGGAAATATTCCCACACGCGACGCGACTAGGTCAGAACGCGAGGTCACATGATACCCGGGAATAACAGAGTCTGTGTTAATACCGTGCGTGCACAACACAACACAGCATCAATCAAGTGTAACTCGACAAGGCAAAGCATTCTGAATATGATTGCAAAACGAACAAGAAAACAAAACAATTCTCGCTTAAATGTCCATTTCCCTATCGCAAACCTAAAAATGAAGCGAAAGGGCCCGCAGTGTTTGAGTCAACCCTGCTCAGATTGGTTGTGCTTGAAGATTGCCAGATGAAAACGCAAAGACAAAGATCAATCACTGTGATTGACTCTCTGTTGCTTGATCTTTGCTGTCGCTTAGAGTATCAACAGACGAGAACAAATGCAGATAACTGTGATTGACTCACAGTGATTGATCTTTGCTGTCGCTCACAGTATCAACAGACGGGAACAAATACAGATAACCGTAATTGACTCTTAGTTGCTTCACCTTTACTGTCGCTTGGAGTATTAATAAACGAGAACAAATCTAGACTCTCAGTACTTGATCTTTGCTATCGCTTAGAGTATCAACAGACGGGACCAAATGCAGACTCTCAGTGATTGATCTTTACTATCGCTTACAGTATCAACAGACGAGAACAAATGCAGATGACTCAAGTAGCAAGACAAGCAATGGATTGATCTGTAGATAAACACCACTTCCATTCCCTCTCTTGATGTTCCCGTAAGAAACTGCATATTGTCTTGGATACTGGCTGATCACTAAAGGTATTTTGACACAATATGGCACCGTACATCGACACCGTTACATCTGAGAATGCCTATAAACAGGTCCGTCCTCAGAGCCGCCTACTGGGTCTTTCAAGACTCGACATTCACGCCAGTAGCTCGTGGGGTAGAGACCACCTCCTTGCCTGTCACATTGTCTGTGACAAGACTCGCGGCCAGCTCTTGCCCCTGTACAGCCAGTTGAAGAATGGTCGTTTCTTCAACTCTGATGAGGGGGTCTCTGCAAAAGACCAGCAGGAGCTGACCAACTTCGTCCAAGGACCACAGCCGGATGTCAGAGACCAGCTTGAACATTCCCTTGTACGCACCTTGGGAGCCAGCCTGGGCCAAGTCTGGGCCGCCATGAACGACGTGATGGTGCAAGGTAGACAAGAGGCTGCCAAAGACACTACCCCTGATCGGCCTAGGCGACATATCTCTCGGCAAAGCTATGCTCCTCCTCAATCAAGCAGCCCTGCAAGCCAGGACCCTCGCTCCAGCCACCCCCCGTCCAGCCCTTTCTCTGTTTCCTCCGAGTGGGCCGAGTCACAGCCTGTCAGAGATCTGCCGGCTGAGGACTACACAGTACGGCTGGTCACATCTGTCATCCGACACATCTTGAACTATTCTCAGCATCAAGACTCGGACATGGTCCTGGAGGTTCGACAGCGAGAACGTCTTCGTCTGGACCTTCCCAAGCTGGACAAACACATCGTGTCCATCGACGACGGTGGTTTGCGACGAAGGATCTATGGCCGCGACCGAAGTTCGCCAGAGAACAATTTCATCGCTCTGCTAGAAGCGAAAAAGCGGCTCAATGTGTCCAACGATGGAAAGCGCTTCATCTCAGATGAGTGCTTGGCCCAGATGGTCTGCGAGGCCATGGTCGCAAAGGCGAACCATGAGAGCGCATTCCGAGACGATAAGTACCTACGCCTTGCCCAACTGTGGCTTGATTTGATCTATGACTTACCTTTAACCTCAGAGTTGTCGTTATCCACGCTGTGCAGCATTTCGTGTGTTTCCTTGAGTTCCATATCACGCGGGAGTGCATAGCGGAGATTATGGATGGGGAGATTCCTTTTAATCCACTGAAGGTCACCGCCACCGCCTGGTTCAACCTCAGTGAGGCCAGGGGCAGGCAGGGTGTTTACGATAACATCCGTGGTCTGGTAGCGTCTGCGCGATGTGGTTAGACATGGATCGTTAGATTGGGACGAGCACCTATGGCTCTGAACTTGGATATTATCTTGACAGTCTAGACTTAATTAGAGACATTTTCAAACTTGCTTCTGTTATTCTCTTTGGTCGAGTGTTATCTACCTAGTGCAATTTAATATAGTGAATATGATATAACGTATGGGTTAGAAAAGACGGTGATTGTTCTTGTCAGATGAGATTAAGTAACTAGCTCAGTTGAAAAAGGCAAATACTGTTAACGGTACACAGGCACGCAGCCAGAGGCCGTATCGTTCAAGTGAAACATTCCTGCAAGACGGATCGGCACCCCCTTAGTTAACGACAACAACAGTGCTCTACATCGACTACACCGCCGTCATGGTAGGAAGAGCCATTATTGAACATTCCACTTTTTCCTCTGGTGTGCATCCCGAAGTGCCTCCAAGAATGTGACATTGTCTAGCGTGGAAAGCGCGCTCGAAGTCATGAGTTCACTGTCCTGCGTCTAAATTCGAGACCTGTCTTATATTCCCTATTGCTACCGCTCAGGAAGGCTTGGACCGCAAAGAATCTTTATTTTCGATCCGTGGTTGCAACAATATCTAAAGCTGACATGCAAACCTCGACTTCTATCAGTCTACCTACGGCCTTACCTCTGCCTGTGGTGTGTATCCGGGCTTCCAGAGCGCCTGGGCCATGATGGATTGCGCGATGATAGCTTGGAGGATTGATGAAGATGGGATGGTTCTGTAATGTCAATGAGTTGTGGAAGACGATGTTGTGAGTTCGACTATCTTGGGCTTTTAGAACATTACGTCTGGCGATCTGCAAGTCGACGTTATTATAAGCAACTTCGGAATGATAGTCCAGCCTTTAGGGGAGATGGCTAGCATACGGTATTTCTTAGCAGAGGAGCGTAGATGGCACATTGACTCTGTGGATGACTGGCTGCTAGCTGGACCTGACGACGCATCCGTCTCCCAGGGTCAAGGCTGCGCTTTACTCACAATGGTACTGAACGGTTGGCAACTGATGTTGTTCTACGAATCGAGAAAGAATTGGTCTTGCTGTATAACAACGGTCATCAAGACAAATTCTACCTTCGCAGCAATGGGAGGCTTGCAATGGTTCCGTTGTGCAGATCGATCGTCAAATATGGGTATTTGATTTGATATTAATCTCGTACTCATAGTGGCAATGGATTGGCTCGACCCATCTCGGAAAGTGATGCGAAAACGTTTGTCGAGGGGTGTGGCCTACCGCTATCTCTGTGCTGAGCCGAATCGAGAGGTCCTGGGGCGTAAGGTTCTCAACGCAATACTGGAAGTGTGACAGAATCGTGATCGAGAATTGATTCCAGGATGAAAAAGGCAGTCGGCCGTATTGTCTAGCTGCTTTCTGGCATGTGGTTGCGATTAGAGTGTGGAGGGAGAGGCGACGTGATGCTCCGCGGATCACAGCGGGCCTCCGCGATACTTATGGCGACCAGACGCAGGAAGAGATAATCCCCAACCTGTCGATACTGATGTGTCTCCCAAAAGCAAGAAATATTCTCCTTATCTACAACTGATTCTGGCTGGTGGTAGAGCGAAAAGATTAACGTGGACTTTCGTCAATTACAGCAGAGGTCGTCATATAAGCAGAAGGACCGTCATCATTCCCCGAAGCCTAGCCAGGCATTAAAAGACAAAGTGGGCAGTAATATTCAGTAAGAATCAAGACCACTGCTGATACCTTTTTCTTGTTTATCTCCTTAGCCACTGTTCCGATTCTTTTGATGGCCTGCTAGACGAGGTACCAATGGTGTGAGTCCCGCAGGATCTTTTCTCGCTTCCCAGTCTCGATCTGCGAGGCACCTCCGCTCGTTGAATGCTGGCGTTAGAATGGAAGCTTTCAAGACACAAACTGGCGATGCTGACGAGACTATCCATACAGGGGAGGTGATCGCGGTGGTCAACCTTTCTGCGGACCCACTGGGTTATTATTACCCGTAAGGCTCTAAGGTGCCTTAACTGGGAGCTGACATACTGATTTATAGAGATTTATCTATTGATTGGATCAGTGTGTATAGGAAATATCCATGTTGGGGTGCTCAAAATCATTGCTGAGAAGCGCTTCACGATAAGATGGCACCCGATGTATTGTTGGCAGTAAGTGACGTCGGGTTTCTCCATAGAGTCAAATGGCTCTCGTGGGATGTTCTCGCGCTCTCAGTGACGCCCGGAGAAGAGCTGTTCTTCTATCACGATTGACAAAGAAGATATACTCTGTTTGTTTGAACGGATTAATAAATTCTCGCGCTTGCAAAAGGCATAACGCGAAGTTCTTATAGGCGTGTTGAAGGTGTAGGTCCTGGGTCTTATGAAGTGGTCCGCAGGTGCGCGTTAGCTACGAGATTGGATCAAATAGATGGACCACCATATTAGGTTGAGTGGGCTGGAGCCGTTGCTTGGCGTGTTACTTGTTGTACCGACTTGGTGCTTACGGTCGTAGGGGGATATTCTTTCCCGCGCATAGCAGGTTTAAACTCCGGGCCTCTTGTCAAGAGTCCTTGTTCCACTTCCCAAGAGTTACATCGTTCTGAATAGCTACGATCTCTGGTTTCTGGATCTGAGGCTGGGGATAGTATCCCTCGTGCCCCAGTTGTTCCGGAGCTGATCTCCCAAGTGGTACTCCATATCATGAAGTTTAGCTTCCAGGGTATTTTCTTCAGTACTTCGGAGGCTTAACTTTCTTTAAGCGGCGGGACAGGGGAAAAATGCCAGGATATAAGAGCGACCAATAGGTTAATACGGGGATAGTAGGTCAAATTGGTAAGAGAATGTCTTGGTTTCGGGAGGGATAGAGCGAAAAGAAAACTCAAGATCACAATTGGTGAAGAGTGTGTTGAGAGGAACGATGCCATGTGGGTTGGACTGTTGAAATCCGCGCCTGTTGATTGAACACTTAGCGTTCCTGGCTTTTTTGTTGGACGTGGACATGATCGGAATTTAACCAAATTGCACTTGTTGCTGGTGAATGACTAAAGAAATTGGAATCGAGCCTTGACAATGACGCGCACCTCTATGCGTGCTATCTTAGTGATTGGGAAATTGTAACCAAGGCGGGCAACTGCAGACGTGGTAGTCTACATCTTGCAACAGCTTCCTCATCGTGACGAAAGTCGGAACTTAATAGAAAGGATAAAGAATTTAGGTTTTGAGTACCCTACTCCAAGTTCATAACGCTGTTTCAAAGAAAAGAGTATACCTTCTGTGCCTGACTTATGAATAAGTTCTGGTGCTTCACACCAGATGGAACCCCCGTTCGAGTTTCACACTAACTCACTCTCTATTCAGTGTCGCATACAAAATAACACTATTGTCTTAGGCCCGAAACGCTTTCCGGACGTCCAGCTACCCAAGAGCTGTCGACAAATCGCCATGGCAGTCTTCTAAAACGGTGAAAGTACACGAGCAAGGGCGGCAGATGTCAAGTTAACCCTCCCAGTTACTCGGGCAACTTAGTCTGCGGCCTGCCTGGCATCGGTGGACAGTAAGCAGCTTCCCCCTATTCTACCTAGCTAAAGATTACCTGGCAGTATATCGCACCTGGGTTTGATATCGCCTTCTGTTCTGGTTAACGGTAAGACACTCAAGCATTTGCTTTAGACAGAGAGGGAATATCACCAGTATCGAGGCAAGATCTTGCTGGAGTCGACGTCTGAGTCAAGTCCGACTAAGTATAGGGGAGTGGAATAGACAGCAGCATATGCCAGGTAGTTCGCAAGACTCAAATAGACCGGTTGCTCCGGTCACCGCTGTCTCTTATTCTGAGCATCTGCCTCATTTCAGTATGGTCCTTCAACCCTTGAACAAACCGTTATGCCCCGCCCGCGTTCTACGCAGAATCTCCAACAATCTGTGTTAACCATCCGAGAAGTGAAATCTCTCGACTGAGAGTTTCCACCGTAAGCTTTAAAGGCTCTAGTTCCAGCGCCAATCTGGGAGGGGTGAGGCCAACTGTGCAAGGCTGAAGAACTAGGAGGTTGGCAAGGGAAAGAAGCGACATCCATTGACCTACGACGACACCATAGAGCACAGCGGAGATGCTCTCAAAAGAGAGGGCATGTAGGGGCTGTCGTGGAATCGAGGAGTTTGATGAAGGACACCAGAGAGTCTGGCGGAAAGGCTGGTGCGGCAGGTTTGGTTGGGGTGGTGGTGGGAGATTGGAAGAGCGGTCCCATGCAAATTCCAGCAGCACTATGGTATTATCAGCCCATTTAGAACGATATGTCTAAACACAAACTGCGTTACCTGTTATAAAACAAGTCGTTCTACCGCCAGTCACTCGGCAAGATGTGCCACGACACTAACATCCGAGACCGAACTACTCTCGGGGGTTCCAGCATTACCACAAGATGCTTTCAATGAAACACTTAGCATATCGACAAAGAAAATCCCCAGGTACAAGACCCAAAGTCTGCAATGTGACAAATTGATCCAACAACGCCGTCATTTGCTATTATCAAAGAGCTATCCAGCCAGTCGAAATAGGCCCCGCTGCTGAAGAATAGTGGTAAGTCTTCGGTAGACATCTGCGCGTGGTGGCTTTATTGTTATTGTACACCTTGTCCTGGCTGTCGGCGTTACGCTGATAAGACAACAGGTCAGTAGCTATAAGGCATTAGTTCAGAGCGCTGACTCTTGGTGCCAGATCATATGCCACCAAGAAGGCTGGAATCGCCTGGTCTGCTGTACTGAAGTGGTAATTTCAGCATATCATCTAGCCTCTAGTCCTGTTTCTATTTATATTCATCTATGTAGTTTTAGCCAATATAAGGCTTGGTATCGACCTTCAATATCGTACTTTATCGCTCTTGGTACTTCTTCGTACGAAAGAGAGTAACCATTCACAAAAGTTCAGAACACTCATTTCTTAGGTACTTCTCCTTCGACTTGGAGTCTGTAAAATTTACCTTAAATGGGACAGAAACGCCTAAAAAATAGAATCGGGCGTAAGAGTAACCTCCTCTCTTACGTCTCTGAGATATAAAGACTGCAATAAACTCGCAAGTAAAATATGGCGGGTCCTCGGCTCTGGGCTTGATAATGTTGAAGGTTTAATCGAAAAGAGAAATAAAATCTTTTTTTTACTCCGTGACTCTGTGTAGAGAATACGTCGTTTCGAATTTGCCGAACAAATCCACGAGCGCCTTTCTGTGTGTGCTACGGGGTAAATCATTGACTGTACCTCTAGGTACGGACGTTTCCATCGCTTTCCTGTGATGAAGTTTTTCTACAATTTTTACGGCGTATGGGACCTCTGGTCTTGCTAGACATAATCACTGCAGTAGCATGGATTTCTATCTTGCCTACCAGTCTGGTTTAACGAGAATAGCCTTCAACAGTCCTTCTGGTGGTATGTCTGATTCAACAGCCATTCGTCAACGCTGTGGCGCAGCAGGAAGTAAATTATTGCCGTCCAGAGTAGCTTAGAAGATCAATGACTAGTAAGTCCCTACACATTTCTAGAAACCCCTGGCTGATCCTCGTCCATGGTGCTCGCAACTCGGAGGTAGCTCTCATGAAATTACGCAAAGTGAAATATCCCGTCCTTTGGAGACTATGTCTATTTCTGCCCTCATATAGCTCATTGATTATGAAACCAATCCCCTGATAAGGCTTTTCAGTCTGGAAACAATTGCCTAGTGGTGATTGTTGAATAGCTCGACAGAAGCCGTATGGAAGCCTCAGATTCAGTTACAACTCAAAATGGGTACATCCCACATCCCACTGGAGATTGGGCGGTGCGGCTGCTAGTTGCTTCGCTTGTATCTTACTGTGATCAAAAACTGGGTGAACTACATAGTCTTTTTCTTTTTTGCTCTAACCTCCAACTTTATCAAGCCCAGGCTTTCCAAATCTCTCAATCATATTAACGATAAAAACAACCCCTTCCAAGGTCAAAACTCAATATGGAACTATATGTTTGGTCCCGGAGCTTCACGTTGTCATCTCCTCAGCACGTGGAGTGGCACGGCCCTTCACTGGGAGCCCGTGAACCTTTGAGCCAAGCCGCGCAGAGTGAGGTGAAAGTCCATCTTCGTATCGGATCATCAATCAATAAGAGGAGCGGGAGAAGAAGGGCCGGAGATAATATCTGTGACCTAGATACCTTTGCCTGACTCGGTGTATTCGACGCGCACCAAATACGAGGGAGTCTTGCAACAACCACAGGAGCCCCAATGTTTCAGGCTGAGGAGTAGAACGCAGCGGACATGGACCTTCACTTCTCCGACAACAAGCTGATCAAGATCACAAAAGAGTTCACGATCGTCCAGTCCAAGCCGTCCAAGAGTAAGGGCCTCGACAGGTCCGACAGCGCGAACCTGACCAAGCCCGTCGCTTCATGCAATAACAAGGATACACAAAACTCTTCGACCCGGGCCAAGGGCTTGGATGAGAAGTCGGTGAAGGGAACGGGGATTGCTGCGGCTCGGAAGCCCAAGGAGCACGGTATGAAGACCGAGAGCGATATGGACCGCACCGTCCTGAGTAATCAGAAGGAGAACAACTACAACAAGAACGACGGCAGCGGTAACGACGAGGACGGCTAGAGCAAGGAAGAAGAGTATGGGTTTGACGACTTTGAGTGGTCTGACGACAGCTGCCCGGTACGATGTAGAGAGGTACGCTCACTGCAGTGACTGAGAAGATAGAAGCCTACTGATACACGAAGACGACCAAAACAATGAGTTAGGTCAGCATCTGCCAAGATAACTACCACTGGAGACACTAGCGGGATCTGTATCTGGTTTGCGGTAGCGGGCAAGGGCATCGTGGTGAGCTCGAAAGTGTCCTGTTCTATACCGTATGGACTCTTGTACCACTTCGCATTCTTCTACATGCCCCTAAACCGACCCCGATTACAAGCTCGATCAAGAAGGTCTACGTGTGTTTATTGTAGACCACGATCATAGCCTCGACCAGCTCACAGCCGTAGATGTAGCCCCGTCTCTACACGTGTTCGAAATCACCCACACGATAAATACAGCAACACTGAGAATGGCATTCGACTTATGCTTTGGCGCCAGTATGTAAGCTCGAACAGGAGGATGGAGGACAACCGCCATAAATAACGCAGAGAAGTTTGACTGAGAGCACATGGGGACGAACTAGAGACCGAGATAATGAATGGGGCTTTACCTCCGAAGACATACTCGTCGAGGACTAGCACCAATTCTGCTATTTCAATCGTGCAATGATGCGAAGTTGTCCACAAGAAGGGCCCCGGTTTAGTTCGACAGGGACGTAGTCGCGAATTGGGACATGATCGGGATACTAGTCCCTACAGGACAGGCTCAGCGAGATGAGAACGCAGCACGTATAGATGTAAGAACCACTATATGGATATCTGCACTGAGAAAATGAGGTTCATCGAAATATACACAAGGTATCATGAAAAACCTCTTTGGTAATGAGACTTGAAGTGACGGGAGCCAGCATCCATGTCCAGACTTGGCATGCCCTCTCCACAGCGTTTCCGTCAGCAAAGCGCTTCGGCAGACTTTAAGCCGCATACAGAGACTTGTCGGGGTACCTAATGCATCATTGCGAAGCCGACTTGATCTTGGAGGTCGTGGCTACACCCTCTTGACCTTCAATGAGTCTCGCCACTAACTGCTAAGGGTTCATCTCGCCTAAGGCAACTGGGCCGAGATCTCTGTATAGAAACTCATACCTACTAGGCTGAGCAGGCTGAGACTTCCCAAAAAGAGCCTATATCTAGTTGACCAAGATCATCGAAGAAGTAATAAGGCCACGAGACTGTTCACTATCAAAAGCTACGTTACAATTCAGGGCATACTGTAACTTGCAGAATAAACTGGAGCTTCTAAAAACCAACTCCAGATGCAAGCCAAGGTTGACTCGTGGTAACAACATAGATCTACTTCCGATACAAAGCGCTGAGACTGGCAAGACTGCTGCCCAGCTTCCAGCACAGATTGCACCGACAACAGCCCATTCCCATATTCTGAGACAAAGAAGTAGTAAGAGTTAGCGCGTTCCCGCAGACTATGCTCTGTCTTCCCATACTCCACCAGCGTCGTAGCGTTAACGTGATAGAGTACAGACTTGCCTACACTACGAAGCAGAGTAACAATATGCCTTTCCAGCAAAAAGAGCAGCCTGACTCGTTAGTGTACAGCAGATAAGACTTTAGCTATGACGACGATGTACCTTCCGTCCGTACCCAACAACCAATTCACCAAGTTCGCTACCCAACCATGTGGCTATGACTCTACAGTGCTTTCTCCGTAGCCTACTGGGCAAGTCTAACCCTTGGTGCGTCCGCGACGACACTGTTCGGTAAGCCCATTCTTTTCGACGGCCGAACGATCTTGCCACCATTCGACAAGGCTTATACTCACAGGCCTCGTTCGCAGAATCGATCGATCCCGTCAACTACCCAGACCTAGAGGCGCTCTCGTAGCTACTGCAATCACCGGCATCGAATAACAATTTATATCGAGAGCTCAATGCCATTCTTTCTTGAAAAGTCCAATGCGTTGGTGAAGTGACAACCTCAAGTAACTCACCATCTCGAAGCTGCTATCGTCTCCAGTCTCTTGAGGTCTCTGGTCGACTGTTGATACGTTCTTATCATGCCTACCGATCTTTTCCCAATGTTGGCCTTCGCTAGAATTCCAGATTAGTATGTATTTCTGGAAACCATTATATAAGATGATAAGGTTTGATGATGGCGTCTCCTGAGTTAAGAAGTCGAATGGGGAGCGGCCCGCAATCCCACCGCAGTGGCCATCCGCACCGACATTGTCCTGTATCGCCCGCCCCCCTTGTTCTCTATAGCCTCAGTTTGTAGCCACCTGGAACGATTTCATCAGTAACCAGAGAAGGTCGCTCTCAGTAATATGATCTCAACTAATCTATACTATACAGTTCGGTCACAACACCGTAGCAAGATATCTTCATACCTCAGGCAGGATACATCGCTCTCAGAAGTAAGGCCAAGATCACATGGGGATCTATAGGCATCCCAAACCCAAAGTCATTCAGCAAGCCTGGATTCAACCCGAAGCGTGGCACCAAGGTCATAGAGGACTTGGAGATGTTCGCCCTTGACACACCAGTCAATCACCACAGATACATCTCGCACAAAACTTACCATTACGCCCTTATCACCGCCCTTTTCACTTTCTCAAGCGACCTCGGTGCCAATGCTGTCCATTTCCAATGCGCCGACTTTCTTTGGAAGCGGCTGTCAGCTTGGCCACAAGTGACTCAAGGGCATCGTGAGAGCGCAACCTTTCACATCAGCGACCTCTCCCATGAGTTCGACATTCGGAGTTCACTGCTCCCAACGTGTGCACTCCCAACTTACTTGAAGCTGTGTTATAAGAATCGCCGGAGTTATGAAGTTTTGTCTCCCGCCATTGTTATCCATTAGAAAACACCATGGCAATTTACCTCGTTAACTCCGGCCCTTTTAGTTCTGCTCGTCGTCATCATGCTCGGCGTCGGAATCATGCAATGGAGGCATCGGTAAGTCAGGGCCGGCCTGTCTCTATGGAAGCCCAAAGCAAAGCCTACCAACGATGGCCAAGAATATTTATTAAGTGGTTGATTTAAACTAGGCCGTGCAAACTCGGCAGCTAGTTTCATAATAATTGTACAACAACCCGCGTTGGCATTCTTTACCTATGTGGCAGTTCCTTATCGAGAAACTAAATACTAAGAGCCATGAGGATCAGGACGCCTATCAAGACAGGCAACTACCGTAGGCTTCCACTGGCGTGGAGGAGATTGTGATATCTAGGTATTTTTCCAGATCCACAGCCTTGACTGGTTGTTGGTTGAAGCTCGATCTCGGAGAATCTCAACATGGCGCAAACAGACCATGCACCTCGGTAGACTATTCCTTCACAATCAGGTTTCATGTAACAGACGGTTGACAGAATGTCGAGGCCTGACTCCACTCCTCCCGGGCTTGATCGATCTCGGCGCAGAGCCTTAGCATACTTCCATGATCAAGCGGCATAGAATAGTAAGAAAGAAAGTTCACTGTTAGATAAATGAGGAATGCTGTAAAGGAAGATACTAAAGTGTTCCAGTGGGAGATCTCAGGGAATACAGGGTCTGCAAGACAAGAGTCTTATGAGCAAGCAATTGGCGATGACTTGAGAGTGGAAGGTGATTCTTGTAACATGTCATGACAATGAATTGACTCTATTGAGATCATGTTATGCGGACCTCTTAGTTACATGTCATTCCCAACAAGATGACCAGTTATTTTACCTAGACCCAAACCTTCACCGTCTTTTCTCCTTTAGCATGTCTTTACAAATCAGTCTGATCCCCTTGAAATTCCCAGCCCAGGCCCAACAACACTGTGAGTCGCCTCTCGGTTCCTGTCGCCACCATAGTGGCAAAACCCACGGTAATACCCCTCCTCAACCACTGAACACCTGATCCAAGAACCAACTTGTAGAACAAGACAGGGCTCCCTTCGCATCAGATATGGAAAATTATCATTCTAAGTGTTGTTTTCGCCGCTGATACACAGATAACTAAGGACAGAAAACTGGCGGGTACGAGTCTGTCTCCTCCCACCATATCCACGGTCACAATCCCTACAGCCCGCCCGCGCCATTACATGCGGTGGTCGACCTCGACGTAAATAAGGAACTTCAAGCCTCTGCAGCTACCGACTAGCCCTGGGCAGCCGCAGAACAACACTGTCCGCCAGACCATCGCCAATGCGTTTAGTGAAGAGACGCCGCAGCCTTTTAAACGAATGTCAGTGGCGGCGGAGAAGGATAGAAAGGACAAAGGAAATGTTATAACGGATAAGGACTGAGTTCGCTCTTTATTCCTGATGAAGCTCTGTTTGAAGTTCAACTTTTGTCGGATTGACTTCTGGCTATATTGTAAGCAACTGCTGGTCAAACTCGAATTGTCATATGACGAACCTCTGGCCGCATTGCGGCATGCGTCTGTATTCCGACCTCACACTCACTTACACTATTCAGCTCTTCTAGTATATCCTCACTACCATCAGCTTGTCAATCGGACTGCCACGCTGAGACCGGGATGACCTGTCTGACCTTCATTAAACCTGTGCACTTTAGGGACTTCATTTATGCACACGTCACTGGGGAGGAACGCCCTACCCTTTGAGTGAAGATGAAAATAAACTTAACATCGATGAAGGGGACAATCGTGCGTTTCTTGAATATAGTATCTTGTAGCTATGTCAGGGTATGCCTTAATTGGAGATGAGCCATAAGATCTACGGCGGGCTTGGCAGGTCTGGTAACCGCTCGTCAGAGAACAAGGAGGGACAGGGCAATCTCTCCAATATGGAAGTGCTTTTAGGAGACTGGGTTACCAAGATAAGAATGAAATAGATTTGTGGAGAAATGAAACACGGCCAAGTTATCCCTAGCTTGTCATGATCTATTGAGGGGAACAGAATTGAGAACCTTTAAGATTGTCTGTTACGGATGGAAGTGACGAGGTTATCAAGATTGGTAAACTACCCCAGCTAGAGTGTGCATAAGTCTGTTGTGTGTTAGTAACAGGAATTGGACATAGCTGAGATTGGGCCAGCGATGCTCTGTATGGCTGATTTCGTTTTTGCGAGTGGCTTGACATCTGGTGAGAGTGTCCGCGAGTCTGGAGACTCTTCAGAGCGAGATCAGTGGGGATGATGGATGTGTCAGCCTAGTACCGACTCATTGGGTAGGGACAAACCCTTCCGAGGTACCTGCGGCGTTGCGCGAGCAAGTAGAAAGCTTGAGTGTATCGGCATGCTCGTTCAGTAGTATTGGGACTGCGGTTAGCTTGGCGAATGGGATTGTAGCGAGGAATCTTAGCTGCTGGTGCTGACGAGAACCACAAGGCATCGAGGCAAAATCACTCAAGGACTGACAGAGACTTCAATATCACCGACGAGACTTGGAAACGTAGGAACTGAATGCGATTAGACCAGGGCAGGGTTAAGTGGCTAGATCATTAATCGCCTTCGTGAGATTCGTACTGCAAACGCCGAGAGCTACTGGTACCAGGCTAAGTAATGGCCCAACTATACAATTTCGCTGTCGGAGGCAGATTGACATATAGACAGGGCGTGGCGGCAGTTTCTGGTCGTCGATTTTGACAACCTGGTTAGATGAGATATTGCATCGGCGTGCTGAGGTGGGGGTATTTGAAGCTCTTACCATTGCCATTTTGGGAGGTGGGGTTGTGGACCTTAGTGTTGGCGCCGGACAGTGTGGGGACCGGTGCCCGTCGAGACGGCGAAACCTCGGGTAAATAACACTTCGACGCCCAACTTCAAACATCGATATCTCCGTGGATACCCTCCACATCTCAAAAGTAATACCCACACTAGATGGCCCTTGAAGTTATCTATCTTTTGGTTTTGGATGCATAATCGAATCTTTCATCTCCATGTTTTTACCTCCATCCCAAAAGTGAGTATCGATATGCCTACCAACACGCCAGACAAGTTGCACTTTGGTATGAAAGGCAAACCAGGAAGGAGGTGCTGTACAGCCAGTTTTTGCCCTGTTTTGCTCTGTACAGCACGTCCTTCCACTTTCAACCCAGCGAACGCCCAGGTGTGTACTTCCCTTTCTTTCAACGCTCAGCGCCAACGCCCCAAACACGCCACGATCAACGCCACGATCAACGCCACGATCAACGCCACGACCAGCGCCACGACCAGCGCCGCCGCCACCAGCGTTATTGCTTGTCGAAGCAGAAGTTCAAGGCGCCAGACGGACCCATAACAAGCAGTTCCCAAAAGTACAAGTCAGAGCAAGATCCTTAAACCTTACAAGCCTGGTGCATAGATCTTGTTCCTTGGTGGTGGCTTAAGCTGGCGATAGTCCTCCTCGTGATATGTTGGAAAGAGTCTGGTTCGCAGCGACCCTTTTGAGGGTTCAGAAGCACTATGCTAAGCGCGGTCTCCAACAACCATTTCTTCTTGTCTTCCAGTTCGACACACCCGATCACTTTCCCATAGGCTCTACACTAGTCAGGTTTGTCCTCATTTGTGCTGCCAATCACGATTTCTCAGCAACAGCACCATTACCAACCCTTCTCAAACCTACATTTAACTACCACAACTGCCCTACTCGTATTTAACATCGTAACGCCAATCTTTCAGTAAGGTAGCCTTTATAAATCTCTAAACCACTTAACCATCTGCTCTAACGCGGCTCCTCACTCTAGTCTTCAGAAGCCAAGCCGGCCCTTAAACCATACAATTCACCACACCACCGTTACCACCCTTCCCTCTGTCATGTTTCCATACACACTGCTACGATCGGCGGTTCAACAGTTACCAGACTCAGAAGTTGCAAACTCTTGCCACCGAGCGGTGACTTCCTGACAAATCTTACGCATCTCTCATAACAGAGACGACAAGGAAGCTCTGTGTTCGAGAATCGCGAAAGCGGTTCGTCGTAATACTTCCCCCAATTTCACGAACACGACTGAAGAGTCTTCGAACGAGATGCGCCTTCTTTTGTGAGAGGAGTAAGACTCTGGCAGTGGCATACGACGGCTATGGTTGTTGAATTGCCGTGAGCAATTGCCGGTGTCAATCGCCACCACGTCCCGTTTCGCCTACAGCGGAATACGGATAGAGCCGGCATCAAGAAGGAAAGATATAAATATTGTTCATTGAAGGCTTTGAGCCTGACGGATATAGTACAACTGGTTGGCAGGGAACCGGCGACGTAGAGGAACTTCCGCAATTACCACTCACCAAAGTCAACCAAGCTGAGACTGAAGAAGTCATGGGACAGGAAGACAAGCCTGAGGGAATGGCGATAGTTGATGGGGGATAGCTTGATAGGAAATCAAGCGCACCAATAGAGGAAATGGCTAGCTTGGGAGTTGAGTTGAGGGGATAAGGACTGGCGACTAACGTATCGGCGCGTCAACATCCCCGTCGCTTTACAGATCATGGCCTTGGCCCAACAATCAGTGCAGCGGCAGCTCTACGAGTCTAACGCGTCTGCAATGTATATTATTAAAGTGCCTTAACATTTGAGTTCCCTTAACGACACTATTGGACTCATCTAATCCTAAGAAAGCTTGTTTCTGCTCACCCCAGGATAACTCGTCCGCATCCAGTACCCATACGCCAATCCACTACAGCTTCCAGGAGTGATCAAACAGCAATACCTGTGTGTTGCGTGTCAGCGCCCTGGTGGTTTCCATGCGCCATATTTCGTTATGAACCCACCCGACAGATAGATAAATACACAGTACATGCGGTTCGTCGGCACCAACCAGTCTGCCCCAGCAAAGACAACGCTCGGATTTTAATGCTCTGTGTAAGTCACTGTAATTCATACCGTCTTGTCGCTCGTCTCTTTCAAGCCTCGGCCGTCGCCGAAACCCAATATCAGGGGAATGGCAGTACACTCAACCTTCGGCGAAGGTGAGCTATTGACAGTGAAGGTGGATGGTGCAGATGCCTGGACTACAGCGATCTGAGGTGTCCTGACTGCCTTTCTCTTCTAACGGCCAAACTAAGCTGCACCTTCCCGTGCTTCTTAGTTCTTACAAGTTGACTCATGGCTCAATAGGCCCGTAACTGGTTCAATCTCCTCTCATATCAATCAATGACCTTGCATTCGTCTCTCCTTTCACTCTGCTTGTCACGAGGGTCTGTTGCGGATTTTCTTCTGCTTTTGTATCGTCTGATGAATGTTTTCTCCCATACAGGGTGGTGACCGCCCGGCCTTCTATCACTCAAGATAAACCGAATGAAGCTTAATGGAAGGAGTCTGTAGATGTTGTGTGTACGGTTGAGAATATCGGTTGCATTATGGCACCTCAAATTATGCTTGTATCCTCCTTTCAATAAAGTTGGCCCTCAAACTGATGCCCTCGTCTGTCGCCAATGCGCTTCTTCTAATGTACCTTCTATTCCCCTACAGATCAGCTGATTTATCCGCGCCCAAAGTTCCTCTCTTACAGGCTACACAGTTGCAATTCCCCAACCGGAATATCGCTGTTACCACTTAAACTCGATGCGCTTTATGTTGCATGTCAAGCCTATAGACCCCGGGTCATCCAGCAAAGATTTTACCATGCCCTATCTGAATCATTGCCGACGATTGTCAAGCACCACAATGACTCAAAAATCACTCGCTCAGCTATTCAACCACGATCGATACCAGAAATTTACAGGCACAAACAACAACCAGACCATGGCAATGCAAATACGCGAAACATTATCCGACAGCTGTACCGCACTCATTGCCGAGCCTACCATTTCCTGTCGTTTACATTAAGCGACTACGGGACTACTACAGGCGACCTGCAATACAAAACAGCTTAAAAAGCAAGTCACTACTCCTCAGTGAATCTTACTCATCTGTGTCACGCCAAAGTATCGCTGCCATTGGACGACCCAAGAATACATCAGCTGGTGCCACCGCCATAGTATACACATCCTCTGTTGCTACGTACGGTAAGGAAGAAAGGGATTTGTTCCTTGACCTAAGTTCTCACTCGGACCTGTGTTTCAAGGAATATCTCCAAGGTGTCGTCAACAAGACTCAACCACAGGCAAATGGGCGATTGATAAGGCAATTCTCAGCAGTTCATTCGACCCATACGAAGTCTATAAGGTAGAAAGATTACCGTTCCATACATAGTGGACAGTATCCATCGCCTTCTTGAGAGAAGTCCCACTGGTCAGTCTACACCAGATTGGCGCCATGGTGCATACTGATATGACCCTTCAACTAAACTACCCACGCCTCCGCCCTTTTCAGCACGTCCAGCACCTTCACCAGCACCTTCAGTAACACTGGGGATGAGAACCCGCTTGAGCTCGTCAACTTCACCTCAAGCGACTTAGCCACGAATCCTTTACGTCCCAAAGAAGCCCGTCAAGAGCTACCAGAACGTCTGGGTAGAGACAAGTAAGGGCTATCACCACTAGAATCCAGAATAACACCAAATCCCTCCAGGTTACAGGTATATTTTAGGGAGCTTTCTTCAAAAAGCTTAGCTCAATAGAAAGCCAGCATGGAACCTTAGTGTAAGTAAGGCAGCGACGGAGTTTACAAGCTGAAAGCCTTGGTGCAAGTGTTGGCTCGTACGAAGGAAGCATTACGTTAAGTCTGATTCAATAAACGAAAACCATGATCATCGACATTCAAATAAGAGGGTACACCGAATAAGAAACTTTCGAGGTTGAATATTACTCTAAAGTTGGATATATTTTCTTTAACATTGGGTCTCTTGTCACAAAGCCAAGAGACAAATTTCAATCAAATTTTCAGAGGGTGGACAATCTCACCCTACGTCACCCGACCGTTCACATTACAATAATCCCTTCCATACTCACCACAGACCTAATCATTCTATTCATTTCTGGTAACTTCTCATAACCCTTCGATATTTACGTATCCCGATATAGATTAGACAGCATTCTCGACCCCAGTCAGGGGTTCAGTCACCCTTCCCTTCCTTTGACCGACATGCTTCAATCTCACGAATTTGACGACCTCAACAAAGAAGCTACTACTTATACCCAGACACCACATAATGTCAATTTGGCCACCTTAGGAACTCTATTCGCTTTAACTTGGCGTTTTGACGGCGTCAGTTTCTATGCCAGAAGCTATACAGGCAGTCTTCGCCAGTGCTTCAGTGTTTCAGCTGTTCAACCTCGAACCAGTTCAGCAGCAGACTCAGTAAAGTCGAAAACTTATTTATAGCCCTCTTGTAACTCATAGTGACGAGGAACAGTCAGCTGAAGTGTCTCATTCGATCAACCCGACTCCACAGTCTCTAGCGAATGCTCAGACTGGACATGTCCGACAAGACCAAATAACCCACACTATTATCTACCAGCTCAATTGGTCTCCTAACCTATATGTCATTCAGGCAACTAAGAGCTAATAACGGCAGCAATAGGCTCCTCACATACAGCAGTTTTACAAAATGCTTCACCCCCTGAGGAATCACCCTCTTACCTACTCCACCTCCTGCTTTACAGTTTTAATTGAGTTCATCATCTGAATGAAACCCTAGCGATCATCCAAACCAAACTAACGACAGAGCCGCCCGAGACTGCTTAGAAAACGCAAACCGACAGGCCAGGCTAGCCATATTTCAGGCGGTAAGAGAAGGCCATGGGTTAGAATTCATCCGATAGCGAGGTGCACTGTCTAGTTATGAGCCTCCACATCTCCTTGTTGAACGAACCCACGATTTAAGTATCGTCCCCTGATGCTTCATCACAGTAGGTGATAGGCGAAAGGATCGGACTCCACACAGCACCTACTCTAATCACAGCGATGAGGAAAGCGACTCGGAAGACTCATAACCCAGGCCCTCGTCTAGGACAGATGTCGAGACGTTGGAAAGATTAACAGACAGAACCCAGTATGATCCTCTACATGACTGTCAGGAAGGCTCCTATAATATGGTAAGGGCATGAGGGTCCGACGATGGAATATTTCGGCGTCAAAGACAAGTTTAAGGTCGTCCATACGACCGGCTTCAGAACACGACAGCCAATACCCCAAATAACAGGATTTCTCAGTTTCTTACTGCCTACGATAAAAGGTAAGGGAAATAAGCACCATCCGCTCTGTGGAAGACGTATCTGGTTTGAATGCGGTCCATTTTGTTCCTGCATTCCTGCATATAGGTTTGCGCAGGTGTCGACGTGAGCAACGACCTGACTGATGCGAACTTCGTGGAAGCACGCAAGACATTGTATCGTCCTAAAGAGCAAGGGCTTGGCTTCTGATAGGACTTTCTTCGAATTGGTAATGAATTTTGCAACTAATGGCTCCGCCGATAACATCTTGAAGGAAGTCCCAGAACATGTTGGCAAGACCAGATATGACAATGCAAAGGCCGAGCTCAAGAGAACAGCGTAGTAAAGGTTAGAATTCAACGATCAAGCTGTTACATGGTCTTGCAAGCACTTCACACTCATGGACCTTATAGCAAAAGGACGAATTTGCAGTTACTTATGAGAGTCTTCCCAGAGATCAGCCTAAAAAGGCAATAAAAAACATTTCAACACTCAAGCTAAGGCCAAGACCGCGATACACGCCCTATAAAGCGATCTTTTCGACTTAACCATCCACCTATTCTACACAGGTTACTGCTTTCCGGATCCGCATCACGGCTACTCAGAGGATGTATCGTCTCAATGAAAAGAACATTCGACGCCGTGCTCGAGACCAAGGGACGTCAGAAACCTGAATCCCAGAACAGACCGTAACTCAACCACAAATCTTTCAATTCTTGACGAAATCATCTCAAATTCATTCCCCTTTCATCAGAAAATCATACATCGTGATACGCTCATCTCGAGTTAATTCAAGGCAAGCCGCGGCAGATGGCGTACGTGCCTGTGCGTCTCGAAGCTCTATGACGCAGGCTTGTCAAGAAATGAGACCTCCCAACTTGGCTCACAGCGGCCGAAGAGCGCGCTTTCATCGAGTATCTAGATATATAGATTGATAGATGGAGTTTATTACGCCCGTAAGAAGGAATCTTATGCGCCCAGTGACTACGCCAAACTACTTGCGCTTCTCCGCCTCCTAGGACCTGTGATATCTTTGTACTGATGTCCCTGGGTGCCAAGTAGGTGTTATGATGAAGTAATACGGATGGTTAGCCAAGTGCGATATCTGTTGGGAAGCTCAAGTTGATAATTATTCTACTTGCGATCCTCGTGGCTCTACTGATTGGTCCGCTCATGCATTTGCTTTAGGCGTCTGGAGGAGTACGGCGTATGACGATACAGAAACATGCTTCTGCATATCCCTGGAATGAGGTGTCCAACATGCCAAATGAGAGTAGTACACATTTTGCGTATTCCAGCCGAAATCATTGAGATTGTAGACGAGTGCAATGTGCAGGAAAGGTTAAGGACATCTGGTCATTCCTGTAAGGTCGCTGCGCCAGCATCTGGGGTCACAAATGCTAGGAGCTATGGGAAATGATATTTGCATAATGTGTGATAGCTTTTAACCTGTCGTACGGCCGTTGGCCACAGTTCCCGCCTCTTATTCCCAGAGTATCGCTACTAAATCTTATTGCATAGTATCGCAATTCTCTAAACTTCACCTTCTTAGGAAGCAACGTTGACAGACATGAGACATCTGAACCAGCAACGCCACTTTATCTCATTCCCATTCCTTTGAAGTCTACATGCTATGTTCCGTCAGAGGCATGTCATTGCCATTCCTTATGGATATTGGGTTGTAGGAGGACTGGCAGCTTCGTGATCTCGTCTTCTCAGCAGGAACCTTAAGCTCGACATCACTCTGCCAGATGCTTTCTGCATATGCATAAGACACATCTCATACCACGTTAAAAGGCACGGAGGACACGGAAATACGAAGCTGACGAAACCGAGCGGCTTGTCACAGCTCCAGCGTCAGCTAAACAAGAACACGAAATCACCTTGTACGGCTTTGAAAATATTCTTGGCGAGCAACTTACCAAGTACCGCGTCAAGAACGCTATCCGTTTCTCAGGTCTCAACGCAATGTATATAAGCTCATTAACACGCCTGTTTAATGCAGCTCAGGCTATTGGTAAGTTGGTCGATACCCACCGTATTACAGTACCTTCCATAGTTTTATTCTTAAAGCGCGCCATCTAAGGTATTACGTCTGGCTCTTAACAGAGAGCCGCAAAGCAATAAGGCCGGGACAGGATGAGGTCTCAGTAGCCTGGTTATGCAGGTAGCTCAGTTGACGGTAAAAGCCATCGAATTTGCGCCACGCAACACTCAGTTTCTAGAGAACAAGTTCAAGTGCGCGGGCCATAAATAAGGATAGACGTTTTGCTAAAGAGGACCGTTGATAGCGAAACGGCTTTAAGCCTTGGACTTTATGGCAAGCCAAACGTTTGCCAATTACTGTCGGCCAGGGCGAGTGTTCAGTATATGTCCATATGCTCAAGGGCCTCAACCGTACGGAGGAGGGGGCCTTGATCAAGGAGTATGCCGAAAAGACTAGCCTTGGGAGCAGGTTTGCTGCGCAAATGACATCGGCGATGTACAGACGGGACGCGAGCGGCACGGCTCGGCTCCCCTGATAGTCTGCCCTGTAACCGGCATGGCAAGTACTCTCCATATATTGCCGACCTGAAAGTCTGATTCGGTCAGTTTGTTATCGGTGCATTTGAAAGTAATATTCTCTCCCCAGTGATACAGCGACTCCCTGGGCCTGAGGACTTCCATAATGGCGTGAGTGACTTCTTTGGTGCGACGTTTCTGAACTTGCAGGCGGCGGGTGAATATCTCGGCGGGGTCGGCCGAAGCGCCGGAGTTAGCCGAGTCGCCTTTAGACATTCTGAAGATCATAGACGGGAGTGGACTTGTGGTTTAAAGAGCTTATCTGGTGCTACCAGAGCTCATAAACGTAAGAACTAAAAAACTACTCGTTAGAATAAAAGCCGAGGTAATTGTTAGATAAGCCTGCTCGAACATTTTCTGGCCGAACTCGTATAAGGCGATAATTCCACGCGTCTGAGCGAGTAAATTACTCGGCGCGTCAGAATAACGAGAGGATGCACAGTACCGCCGAGAGAATTCCTAGTGCTGACAAGACCGATAGCGATTCCTCTACGCTTCTTAAGTACGTAGCTACCAAAGCGAGCGAAGTCGCGTCTCTGAACGATCGCTGAAGAGACATAGCTTGTCTTCCGTGGTGAATAAGGATTCTACTCGGCATAATCTTGCGGCGGCTTTTATTAATGCTTATGTCAATGCAGGCTTCGGCAACGACAAGATGATGCTTGTTGATGGCGAGAAGGGTTGGGATCTGGTGTCCTGTCGGGACGGATGGATGGCTCCCGGCTGTGGCAGTTGCTGTTTGGTCTAAAGAGTCTATCTTCAAAGAGATCAGGTAACACTAAGGGTACTTTACATATCTTGGGAATTTGGCGAAATTGATTAAGGACCAGCGGAAAACTTAACTGATCGCTGAGTTTTAAAATCCTATCCTTAGTTATAGCTTGGAGGGTCTCTAGTTTCAGTGAGAGACGTAGCATGCGAGCTTTTACGCTTCCTGGATCCTTGGCGATTAGGCCGCCTCTGTTGCTGTGGATAGCTAGCCCAGGAGGTTGCTGGGTGCCGTTACCTTGACTGCTGACGGCTTGCAGGTATCGCTCGACATTTCAGGGCCGCTGGGGACATCTTTGTACTCAGCATCCACGTACTCCTCATCTACCGCCTTCGTTTGTAGAGCTCGGGAACTCGAAACTTCGTGGTTCACATGACTGCGTCTCTGCCAGTTACTATGGAGATATGTCTAAACACAGCATTCCATCAATTGCTACATATCTATTATCCTCTATTTAGACATTACTGATATTGAAGGATAGAAGACATCACCAGACGTAACATAAGTAAAATCTACTATTTGGCTCTTAACAGCGATATGCTTAACCACTTTGTCTCATGCAATCAGTCGCGCAAATGCGCTTCCGAGAGTCAGATTTTAATGCGACCAGAACAGGTCAGGCAGCCATTCAGTGAAATGGCTGTTTTCACTCAAGCGGCTCCATCACGAGGCAAGTTCGATGTGCATGAATGACGAACTCGACGATACAACGGATGATCAATTGCAACACATCCGACGACCTAGAGAAGGAGGCATGACATTGGCCAGTGCGCAGAAGTTCATCGCCGCATACAGGATAGGCGTCTCGGAGACTCGCCTTATTACCCAGAAACCCAAAGGATGAGCCATCAGCTGCTTTTGTGGCCGGCTAACATGTTTCAAGGCATCAGAGATGTTCACCACAGCTGGTGTGGACGCCAGCGATAGAATTTCTTCAGGAGAACCAGATTTTAACTAAAAAGCCAACACTTCATCATCTAGTGACCCTGCTTGAGGTTCATATGACACAGCTGGGTCTTGGAAAACTCTCTCTTCATTACCACTGTCCGATACCACAGACTTAAAAATGGACATTTTGGTCACTTGGCCATCGAGGTGAGAGTGAGGAAAATATATGAATAGATTGGCATACTGACTTAACATACTACCTTAATAACGCAGTTCGAATTGATCTGGCATGAAGTCAGCAACACGGAAAGTGTCCAGCAGCTGTTTACAGCGTGCTATGGGTGGCTTCAGGCGTGCCAGGCTGTGTGGCCAATTGGATTGTAGATTAATAACGCGTTACCAAAAGGGGTAAGATTGTAGCGGGAACGCTAACCCAAAGTTAACGACCCGGCTCAAAATCATCTCTCATTGGCTCGCCAGCCAGCCACCCCACTTGGCTGATTGTGCGCACCTCAACTTTTAGACTGCGCGCACCAATTTTAAGATTTCCTGTTTCAGACGGCGAGTTACGCCATCCTTGTCTTTCAAACTATTGCTACTGATCAATGAAATAGAAAAAGAACTTGGTATAGGCTTTTCGTATGCGGCACGGGTGACAGTAGCACTTTAAAGCGTAGCTCCGCCAAGCTTCTCGACCCTAAGGGTGACTGCTTCGCAGCTTACATCGGACACACCAGTTCTCATGCCAAACCTGTCTCCGTAGCCAAAATCAAAGACTTGGATTCACACAGTGACATTAGGTGATTGCTTAAAAAGATCCATGAACGTGATCGGTTTAATAATCCACTCATTCATATCCTCATCTGTATTCTCATTGCTGATGGTATAAGAGCCGGTTTGTATCGTCATGTCATATTTCTAGGTAACAAGACAGTTAGCCACAGGGGAAATCAGATTATTCATTTATACTACCGACATGGGTTGCCGGCGGGTTCCTACAAGATTGATGTGGAACAAAGATTGCCAAGAATGAGGATGGAACGGGAGGCCAGCCTCAGCAAAGCAAGCAGCAAGAGGTTCAAAGTCCTTACTCCTGGATATAAGCTGCCTGCTGGAACTTTTGACTCTGTGTATCCTGCTAACGGTCACTCGGCTTCGCATCTAACGCTACCGCACATAGCACTGAACGATTCTTAATTCCCGTAAGAGAAGGGTCGGCAGCCAGAACCAACAGAAGGAATCAGATGTTCAAGGAAAAGACTTGACTCCATGGCTTGCGGTGCTGGCCTTTACCTATGATGTGATTACTTCGCCACCAATAGTTAAGTCTAGCCTGGAAAGACTTCTGGAGTTGCCTCCTGCTGAGCCTGACAAGCCAACTAAACCCTGTGAGCAGTCCCCTACCGCGGCGTTTGATCTCAATATAGCCACGTTCGTGAAGAACTTCAACGCCAGCGAGGGTCTCCTCAGCACGCTGTTGACTTACGACCCGGGGCTAGACGGTAATAAAGACGGCACAAACAGGTACGTCGTGTTTGTGAAGAAAGATCTCTTGAATGCGCTCTGTCGCGATAATGGAGCCCCAGACTGTCTACAGAACAAACCAGACGTGTCTCGCTACAGGCGGCTGTCTTATGTCCGTAAGGTGGACACCTCAGGAATGGCTTATGCCGGCTCGACGATCGGTCTTCTCATGGAGAGGAACAGCTTGTTCTCCGTAATTGTATCTCATCGGGCTGGCCCGCTAGAAACCGCATCGCCCGAGCCGATCATGCCTCATCTGGTCTCCATCGAAGGACTGAAGACCAATATTTCGTACACATTTCAGACAGAGTACATAGGTCTCTCTTCTCCACAGCTGCATCTACACCAGCTTGCCTCCCAACTGTCTTATGTTGTAAGACGCCTTTAAAGCTATAGGGAATAGCAGAGAGCTCCTGCGTGCCCCGTGTCCGAAGCAGAGCTGGTCACTTTGCGGGCCGATAACCAGGCCGGAGAGAACGTGGCTAACCGTCTCCTCCACGGGTGCATATTCATCAAACATTACACACAGACGGGCGAGTGCACCAGCGCCTTCTACCGGGGACCTCTCACCCCGGAGGACGCAACGTATCCGCTGAATAAGACCTAGGGGGACCCTTCGACACATAGGACAGACAAGCATATCTTTAATCGCCAGTTGGGCGTGATGAACATATCCTACTCTGCTGCCTGGTAGCTGGGCAGGATATTGGCCCTGGCTGACTGCCTCTTTACCGTGGCTATGGCACGAATTCGGAAGCAGATACAGGATTTCAGTCTTGAGGAGCGCAAGAAGGACGAGATGGAGAAGAAGGCATTCTTCCAGACAAAGGCCTAGACCATTCAGTCGCTCTTCAAGCTCCTCTCGCACCTTCCGCAGGGCAGTGCCCTACTGGACAGCGATATGACGAATCGCTGGCAGCTTCACGCGCCCGACAGGGTCGACGTGTCTTTTCAGACCATGAACATCGATGAGGACGAGAAGGAGAAACAAAAGCTGGAAGAACAGCTATAGAAAGCAGCACTCAAGATCTCGGGTGTCCTAGACCATCCCGAGATGCCGTACGGCAAGTTTAGCACACCTCATTCCACCGACTGGGCCGCCGTGCTCGGATGGATCCTGGATCGTATGTATCTGGCTGACATTCCGCCCCACTGTCTGATAAACGAGCTCTCTTTGCCACCAGAGAGCGTACGCTTCTTCTCCATTGGCAGAAATTAGACGGATGCCCTGATCGACAGCGCCATCAGCCTGGCAAACCATCTCGAGCGGAGCGATGACTCTGTCCGAAGGCAATGCAGAGCGCCATCGAACGCTACCTCGCCACCGAACGCTACCTCGCCACCGGCAAGGACAATGGGCTGGGTACGAAGCCTTCTGTTCCTCATTACGGTTTCCTGCTCCGCTCAGAGCTGGTAATGGCGTTTCCAGACATGGTGATTCCCACTTATGGCATTGTGGTCGCCAGTTCTAATGTAACTTCTACCCTCACACTCAAGGCTGTCGTAGTGTTCAGAGGGCGCCCAGAAATGAAGAAGGACATTACCATCGAGAGATCGTCTGAGAGAGATAACATGTCTTTGAATGTACACATTAGTAGAAGATAGTGAGAGGGATAATTTATGAACTCAAAGGTCAATAGGGTAGCTGGATTCATGAATATCTACACAACCACGGTCAACCTTGGCATAGCCAGGCACACCTCGCCAAGCCTCTGCAGCATATTCTTTGGAGTTGCTCCACTTACTTTGCTCTTGTCCTAGATCTTAAACGCCGTCAGACTCTTCCACGCCTTGAGCAAGTCCTCTGCCGTGTCCTGTTTACTTTCCCACTCTGTCTTGAAGTTTTGTTTTACTCTGTCTTGATGATATCTCGATTCGTATTCTACTAGGGACTTGGCTTAGCCGGTCGCTAGCTTCCCGTAGCTGACTTTTGTACTGAAAACTTTGGTGCCTGGGGCGTTATGGATAGAAATACGGCCTGTCCCAGTGCTTCGACTCCAATAACCTGAATAGAGATTTCGTCACTCAGCTCAGCGTCGGGAGCTTGAATGTCGATACCTGTCATCTAGTCTGCTGCAGACTTGAGTCCGAGTCGTGGTAGACCTTTACATCTAAAGTTGACATGAACGGATCCTTCTTCTTCATGGGTTTGGATACGGTCGAGAAGGTAGGAAGCCGGAGTGACCTGGCCTTCAATCTTTATCACGCCGAGGGCAACATCTATCGTGACCGACAGGACGAGCTCGACGTGGATAAAGGCACCTGGTCCAGGCTTGCTTGCTGTTCTCCAATCCAGATGGCTGCTGCGGCGGAGACAGACCAGTCTTATTGCCTGACTGAAAGGATTGACTCGGAGCCTTGTTTCCAAGGATTTCAACGATAATCACAACCACCTCTCATGTAGTGTTTTTCTCCGTTATCATAAAGTGATGGCCAGCTTCGAGGACAACGTTATAGTCTAAGATCTGATCTTCGTCTTTGGTTCGTCTGAGCAGCAACTCGGCTTTACTGCCGTTACCCTTGGGCTTGCATGTAGTTGTTAAGACAATCAGCGTCAAGCCTCTCACTTTCGGATCTAATTTCCCGTCCTTATTAGCTGCGGCACCTGCTTTCTCCTTGGACGGGGTTGTATCTTGGACCATAGGGTCTGCTCTACCAGTTTCTTGTTCGGGCCAATGCAAGGAACGACAACATCTGGTATTTCTTGAAGAGAGGCTATTATGACCCTCTTGGCGAATGCAACCGGTGTGGCGGACTAGGTCCTGTCTGGCGATGGCGCCGAGGCTCGTTTGCGCTGCAAAAGGTGGAGGGGAAAGAGGAAAGGTTCAGCCCCAGATCGAACACGAAATATTTGGCCTCTTGGTTTGGTGGTTGAGAAGGCCAGTCTCCAGCCTCCGGCATCATGTGGAGAGACCCTTTCTAAAGTTTTATAGCCAACTCCTGGTCGTTTTTCGGTCAAGAAAACTCAATATTGATAATAAGGGGAGGCAACATCTGGCCTTCAATATTTTCTTGGAGGCCACTTAGCAGAACACTAATCTTCATCCTTTCGGGACCGACCTTGACGTCAGTCGTCTTGATGAAGGGCAAATTAGCCGAAAGCCCCCGGATTGGCTGTTAGCTATTGCTGTCCCGCGTCTTAGCTTTCTTTCTGGACGATATGAAGCTCAGTATTATCACTCCCTACATTGTAGATATGGAAGCTTCCTCTTCTCATACTGTCGTACGTAACCTCAAAGGAGCGCAGGCCAATACCAGCCAGCAGATAGTGATGGCCTTGGTGGAGTCCGGATTGAAAAAGCTATGCATCAGGGAGCTCGAACTCTTGATGCTCTTCGTCCCCTATGTTAAGGGAACTTCCTCCCGGGATGGCGCTCTGCAGCAGTTTGGCCATACTCAGCGGAGACTGGAATTGAGACTGTAAGATGCCGTTCAGGGCTTACTTCTGTCCATCATATTAGACACTTAGCCCGGACTGTATGCTCTGTAACCGAAGGGATATGTTGAAGCCTATGACGGGTTTTGTTGCCTCTACTAAAGACTTGTTATCCTCCTTGGGCTTTTCCTGCCCGGGCTTGGAGGTGTTATTCTTGCCCCCAGGTACGTCATCATGTTCTGGTTCGGTATCCTTGATCTTTCTCTAGGTGAAGCTGAGATTGATATCTTCTAGCTTGATAACTTCTCCGAGCTCAAGCAGTGAATTGCGCACTTTGGTGGTTAATGAGATGAATTTGATGCCGCGGTCAGATCTGGCAAACTTGACCTCAAACGATAGCACCTCGATGGTGGCCAGCTCGTTAATTACGGGAATGCCAGATATATTACCTAGGCCGAAGATGTTATAGATAATAGTTTGGATCCGCTGTGATTGCACTGTCGTTACTGGGACGAGATTGGCGGTCAGTATGTCCTGAAATGGTCGGTTCCCCTTGAACCTGGGACTTCGTCTGAGCTCCCAGATGATGGACTTACTCGCGTATCTGTAGAAGTCCTTGCGGCGTTTACTGCATGCAGTAGTCTTTATCACCCATTTCCATTCTTAACTGTAGTTATCGGTACGGCCTCTGTCAAGAGCACATCTGGGTTTATACCATATCCTATATTATATTACCTCGGTATGTAATGTTCAATTTTAACACGGTTCCTACCGCAGGGAAAAGCTTTCAATTATTATTCCTTTATAAGTCAGGGGCGTTTAACTCCTAGCTCAGATAAAATTCATTATATACAGAAAGGATCGATTTGTCTAACACAAGCAAGCTTGGCCTACCCTAATTGTTATAGGTTCATCCTTTAAGAGTGTCTGGAAGATTAGTTTTCTAACCTTAATTTTTCTAACCTTGGTTTACTTAACCCTAATTTCTTTAACCTTAATTTTTCCAAGTCTAATTTTCTTAACCTTAATTTCTTTTTCCTAATTAATTTCAATCCTAATTAATTTCAACCCTAATTAATTTAACCTTAAACTTTTTAACCTTAGTTAATTTTAACCCTAATTAATTTTAACCCTAATTAATTTCAACCTTAATTTTTTTAACCTTACTTTTTTTAACCCTAATTAATTTCAATCCTAATTAATTTCAACCTTAATTAATTTCAACCTTAATTTTTTAGGCCTACTTTTTTTAATTAATTTACCTACTCTATAACAAACTAAGAGTAATCCTAGGATGCCAAAGGAGATATAATTGAGAGCGAGCCCGATGTTTGGTTAGACTTTAATATTAAAGAATGAGTAACGAGGATGTAGCTTTATGTGGGCGGGCGTGTAAAAGGAAGAAAGAAGTGAGTTGAACTGGAGTTAGAGTAACAGTTACAGTTGCGGTCTATAATAACAGGAAAGGAAGGCTTAATAAGGGAGGGGGAGCCACTTCGTCTTCTCAGAGTACTAGTTACTAATACTTAGGCCAGGTAGGTACTGTCGATGCACCAATTGAGGCCAGCGTAAACAAGGACTTCTCTTATTTATTACTGATCTGATGGCTTTTTAGTATATTAGCTAAGCGTTGGGGAGTATTTAGAGATAGAGTACAATAACAAAACCTTAAGTATGCATCCACCCACTAATGCAATGCAGTATCTTAACACGACTTATAATACAGCGCAGTACGAGAAGCAAGACAGTAGCCCGAAAGGGTGTTCTTTATAGCGGAGAAGCTAGCGGCCATGTTATGACTTAGAGCCCTTACTTGTCAAGTTATTCTTGGGCCAATTGGTGGTCAATATAATTCTTACCTTTATTACACAATATCCTCCAGCCCACGCGCTCAGATTGACTGTCTTTACTCTTTTTCTTTTCTTTATGTCGAGACCCTTCTTGTTCTCTTATTTGCTACCCCGTTACTAAAAATCAAGTGCTTACTGCTCGCACGTTTCATTACCGCTCGAAGGGTAGTAAGTCATGGAATTTATTGAGTAACTACTATCCAATCACTTGAATAGTAAATAATTGCAGAGTAAAAGAGCTCGAAACAGTAAGCTGCGCGACAATATTAGAACCTGCCTGAGTTAGGTAAAGATGATTAAAAGTACGTTTTTGGAAGTTTCATAATAGAATATTCTATTAATCTGGAAATATTGCTAAAGCGATTAATATCGGGCAACCTTTAAGGACTTTGCATTTATTCATGTCGTGCTAACGACATGGATTATGTTTGAAATCGTAAATGTGTCTATTGTAACGATAGTTAATGTCGTGGAGTTTAAGCTAAAGCTTCAGTTTCTTTAAAGTAGGTTATCTTGTTACCTACCTTATCGCCACTACTCTAGGTATATATCTAATAGTAAGTTTAACACCGTATATTCATTCGCTAATTATAAATCCTCTCTAGCTTTACTAACTAATAAATCTATAGGAAGACTTCTAATATATTTATATACCTTTAATATTTACTAACCTAGACTTTGTTAGAAGGATAGATACTTCTATATTATTCTTAACCTTAGCCAGTCCGCTTCTTAACTAACTCCCTATATATATAAATATCTTATAGTTAAAATCTCAGAGTTAATTACATAGGGATATTATATATAGGTCCTTCCCTTTATTTAATACTATCGATTTAAATAATAACATAGGCCTTTCGGACTGAATCTAGGAATGTAAGGTAAGAATTACTTTGTACGACAAGTTGAATATCGTACGACAATTCAGATATTGTTTATATAGCTTATCCACTTAAGTCTTATATTAATCTAAAGAGATTTACTAATTTTATCTTTTATAGATAAGGTAACTAAATGCCTTAGGACTATAATTAATATTAGAATTGGCGATATAGTACTAATTACTTAGAGTTAAACTTCTCTTCTTAAAGCTTTTACACTTCTTACCTAAGGACTCAGAGACTTAAATACAGCTAGAGTATAGTAAAGGCAATTAATATATAATGAAAGTTAATGCAATTGAGCACTAGACATTTTTAGCAGTAGTAAGAAAGTCGTTAGAGAATTAAAGAGAATTAACATGCGGTTAAGAGGAGGTAAGAGGTTACTACCCTCGGCCCTGATCTGTTTAATAGTATCGCTTAGTTTAGCAATCTTGTTAGTAAGACAGGTGAACTGCCATTGGAACCAGAAACGTAGTGGCTCTATTATAGGTACCTCGAACTCATTAACGGCGGGAAGATCTTATACTTAGGCAGCCTCGGTGATTTGGCTTTATCACCTATCGTTGGATATAGACTTTCCACTCCGAAGAGTAGGTATCTTAACTTTATATATGTTAATTAGTGCTTTAGAAACGAGCAGGGAGGGAGACGTACGGTATTGCGTTGTAATGAAAGGTACGTTTTTAATATGCTTGAGACGAAGAGAGGAAGGTTAGAAGTAAATAAAACATTGTAGGTATGAGGGTCGTACGGAGACGTAGGCATTCACGGTGGACTTTCTCAATGCAGCTCAGCATACGGTCTTGAACGGGATTTGTCCTTCAGGCTTGAGTAGAGAGTTCGAGACAATGCTGTTAGATTGACAGTTGGTAGAACGAAGGCTAAATATTCAGAGAAAGACTTGATATATCGCCCAGGAACGTCCTCAAGACTTACTAATATCAAGCAAAGCATCATAGATAACATCTTCGTCCTGTTCAGTGCGGTGCTAACGCTTGGCGGGACGACCAGGATTCCTTTTCTGAACATGCTCTGTAATATACTGTGCCTTGGCACTATCAGCCTCCTATTGCAGCCTGTTCATCCTGCTGTTGTCAATACTGCGGCTTCTGCCCCTTCAGTCTTGAGCCTTGAGAGATTGTGCATATCAAGTCAATGACAGCCTCCTTAGGTCCTTCTCTGACTGGCGTTTCCCTGAGATCAGTTGACACTCAAGAGTCAGACTGTTCAATGATAGTCTGCCTGCCCCCCTGGCGCGCTGCGGGTGAGGCGCTCACAAGTAAAGGTCAGATAGCAATATCGTTTAGCCGAGAGTTGATTCCTGCTAGAGTCTAACGTCGAGGTTCTCGCAGACCGTGGAGGTGGGTTCGGTGGTAGCTAACTACTGTTCATGGTAGCTGAACGCATTGATCGTCTCTGCAACTCCAGTGCCACCTCGTTGACAGCAGCTACCTCTAACCGACCGATTCCCGTCTTCGTTGCCATCCCCTTCGTAACACTAGCCAAGCCCCCTGAGCCACCGCATCAAAAAGAACCGCCATTACAGCATCTTCCTCAAGCATCAGTCTGAGAATCTACGAAGTCTCCGACCGTGACGGAAACGGGAGAAGCGGGAGAAGCACACGTTTAGCTCTTTACAACATGATCAAGAACAACCTTGTTCAAAAACGGGTCAGACCCAGCAGCAATGCTGGCTCCCTTACGTTTTTCTGTCCTTTCCGTGACTGAATTTGACACCTCGAGCCCAGCTATTGGATTCATAACATTCTCGGAAACAGCTTGAGGTCGCGGTTGAATACGTTAAGACCCGACGATCAGCCTCGGAAGAACGTGAATCCCGTCTCTTGATGGTAACGTTCCACCGACAGGCTCTTGGAGCTCATCGAGTTGATGCTTGTTGGGACTGTACCCGATTATGGTACTGTTGTGCGCAACTCGTCTGGTTCTTTAGAATTCTTGGGCAATCTTCATATATTGAAGCCCACAAGCAACCGCAAAACCGTGCTTGTGAACAAGCTTTCTTCAGGTTGTCGTCGAGTTAACTTCCAACTTGTCTCTTTTCCCCATCTTTGGTAGGCCATCCGTGTTATTTATCTATCATCCACCCTCAATGTTGTTCCGTCACCATTAAACAGACACTGTAGCTTACCTGACCAGGCTTGCTATCGTGTAATAAGTCTTGGGTCGCTTATGTTTGTGTGCTCCTTCGGTGACAAACGATGCCCTTTCTCTACAGCAACTTCCAAATCTTGATCCCGTCAGCTAGTAACGCTCCGATGACCAGTTGAAGAGACATGATTGTGACATCGATGCTGATCGTAAGTGCGACCTATGCGATTGTGTGTGTATAGCCACATGGTGATAGCAAGGTGAACATGGTGTGGGGTACTTAACCGCCAACCGCCCGCCTTATGACAAGGCAACCATAACTTTCTCTTAAGATGAGATATACTATTATAATAGCTGTGGATGTGCGATACTGTGGGCGCGTAGTTACCAAGCCTTGTAAATCTCGCCATTGTAACAACCCGGCTTACGCCAGAGGAGGTATTCGCTAACGGGTTTTATATCCTTGAAATTTTGGATAAACTCGAGAGCCACTACTCAGCAAACACCAAAACTTAATGCTTTCTGGGATCTAGGGCGTTAATATTTAGCGGTCAGGTCATCACGCTACTGGTGCTTCCCAACGTAGAGAGATAAGAGGGATTGTGCCAGGAAGCTTTCAAGTTCCAGCCTACATAGCCCAAGAGCGTGGGCACCAGGAAGTCTTCTCGGAACCCACACCAATAATCAGTATCTCTTGGTCGTTTTACAAGGCAACATATCGCAACTAGAGACAGAAGATTGAGGCAGAATTTTGTAAACCGTGACTTCACTTTGCGGCAAACTGGGATAAAGACTACCTGAGTGATTTCTATATATAGGCGGTTTCAAACGAGCTGTATGTGGGCTTATAAGGTCCCTTCGAGAAATATCATCCGCTCACTTTATCGCTGCGTAAGCACTTTTCTTATACATATCTTCTCGATCTCTAGTGTAGTATATACCTCAGACTGCAGTCGGCTTTACCGTTATAAGGGTGAATAGCCAATGTCTCAGTTTCCCTTATAGCGGTGTTAAGGACCAAACAGCATTATCCCAAGACATGTAATGTGCTGTTGACAGTGGTTAAATCTAAAAAAAATACCCCCACCCAGAATCGACCCGGGACTTGGTTTGCCCACTTCATCACGACCAAAATCGGTTCAAGTGTAATAGTCCCACCGGGAATCGATCACCAGACCTCCCCCTCCTCAGGCCAACGCGTGCTGCATTACACCACAGGACCTTTTGTTTGACTGTTAATCACTGTTGCCCGTTGACAGCTTATAGAGCATCCTGAGATCCGCTGACCGCTTTGTAAAATCCGAAGTAAATATCAGTGGCTGGGCCAAAGTGGGGGCATCACTTTGGTGTAGGTTTCGTCTCAGTGCAACCTCTTGCGATGGTGTTATAGTCTTTTAAGTTTTCGAGCGGTTGTGTGAGGTTCTCGTGATGCCAGCTGAGGCCGATATCTATGTGGGCGTGGTGTTGTGGCGAAGTGGGGCAGACATCCAGCGGTGGGGAGACTCATCCACCCATAACAATCGTTCCAGTTGTCGCATAATAATTCATCTTGGACCATTAGAGAGAAGGAATCTAGGGCTTTCTAATGACATCCGAATGATTCATTTTAGACGTGATCTGATACACTGAGTGATGTTTCCTCCCATTCTGCCGCACGGATCACTCGACCCATCATGCGCCACAACATGTGGCTGACATTAACCTAGCCACTATCAATCCACCCCGCACTGGTCCATACCCTATAACCCCAAAGCCAATATCAACCACACCTTTATGCCAACGCAGCACATTAAAAGGTCATCGGCCACGAGTGTTCAAATGCATGCACTGAAATGAACGTTTTCGAATTGACTGCTGAAGTAGTTGGAGCTATTTGAAACGTTACGTCTCTACTGTCTCTTTGACTATGCATTATTTCAGGTTCTCGAAATCCTGTTTTCCAGCTGAAAATCACCAGTCTGATGTCGCCAAAGTTGTAAGCTGGCATTACGCCAATGCAATGACATCCTGTCAATCGGCTCAAATGATCGGAAAATGGCTTAACGACTGGGAAATCTGTTATGAGACTTCGCCGAGCTACCAGTCACCGATTCCGAGTCACTTCCTCGGCCACAAAGTCACAGACTATGAACATAAAACCCCAGAAATAACTACTGATAGTATCATCAGCAACTCATACGGGAGTACGAAACGGAAGTCAACAGTTGCGCGGCCGGACTTGAGAAACGATTGGCTATGTTCTGCTAACGGCTGTGTGGGGAGATTGTCACGTTGTGTCACCACAAGTGGCGGTATAGAAATCCTGCCTCGCCATGTGGCAGAGCCTGTATGTCGGCTTAGATGATTGCGGGCCGTTAATTTACGCTGCATAGTGAAGCAATCGGTAAAGTACATACGGAATGTCTCAGACCGTCGGTGTGTTACGACACGGAAGGAATCACGGATGGAAAGATGAATACGACGCATGACATCCTTCCGTGAGGATAGCAAGAGACAGATGAGCGGAAGTCGCATATCTGGCTTTCATATAATGCAGCACCTCCGTCTTGTGAATACAAGACCGCCGGAGTCCAATATAATACGGTCCAGATTTGCTCCTACGAGTGGCTTGTTTCTTCCACTCAATAAAGTCTTTTTGATTCTTCGTCCGTCCCGACCTTTTGCAATAGACAGATGAGAAGGCCAAGTCGATCTGTTCCAACGCTTTGTTTACGTTCCAAATTGACCTATCAACTATCCAGATTTGGATCTTAATGTTCTCGCATGCCGTCCTTCCACCCCTCCATCTACACATCTACACTCACGTCTTGGTCAATCAAGCACCGACTGAATGGTATCTATAATGAAGCGAACCAGGCGCATGCAAGCCCCTTCTTGCCGTCCTGCCCGATCGCGGCGGCTCCGTCCACCTACCAGGCCACAGCGTAGAACTGAGAGTCTCACCGATCAAGTTACTGCACCTGATCCCCCAGAGGTACACATCGACACCGTCTTTCCCGACACATCCACTGGCTTCGTCGCCGGCGTTATCTTGGGTGCCGCAGCAATTGCAAGCAACTTTTACCTTACCCCTCGCCCTCCCGCCAATGATCCCTGTACTGGCATGATTGCTCATGTGGTCATTGAACAGTTCCTTGACAAAATCGGCCAAGATGTGGCAGCCGCCGTCCGTCACTGCACCAGGATCGAGGAGGAGCTTAAGGACGCTCGTGACGCCCTAGACCCTCACGGCGAGGTGAGTCAATACGTAGATCTCAGAGATTCTCGCGACAGAGCCCATATTGTGAAACTTGAGGCTAAGCTCAAGACAGCGAAGAAGGCCCTGTACGACCAGCGCTGTCGCTTTCGGGCTTGGGCTGAGCGCCGTGACCGCCTCCAGCTACTCGATAGAGAGTAGGAGGAATGTGCTAGGATTGACTGAGAGCTTTGAAATTTGACATGAGCCGAGATAGTAGTGGCTCGGTGGGAGGAAGTTGTGTGAGTAATGGGCGGAGAGGTGAATGGATCTTCTCGATATGTGTATTGGAGGCTAGCTTCTGTGCTGCTGTCACCTCCTGTACCTTTCTGTACCACTACTGCACGAACGTTGTGGATGGGACGCGCTTGTTTGTTGCCCGACGTTATGAGGGGACCGAAAGAATTAGCCGGAGCAGTATTTACGCCTTCCGTATCCTGAACATATTCCTCTGCGTTGCCATTTTGTCTTGGGACTTCAATGTCCATGTCGACAATCGATGAAGATTCAGGTAGTCGTTCTATTGATCTAAGAGTGGCTCAATTTCCCTGAGTACTTCTATGTGTAACCACAAAGGCGGATGGTAGACGCTGATTTCCTTGGAGATTAAAGAGCAATAGGGGTCTGTAAATCAACTGAGGATGCCTGTGGCTCAATAGTGCAGGACACGTTCTGTCCCGCACACACTGCGTCAACCACCCCACGCAGCCACGATTCGATCCTTTTAAGTGACCTACACCATCTCGGTGAGAGAAGTTCACTCAGCTTCGCTCAAATGTCCACTTCAGAGCACATCCAGTAGCCAGGAGCACTGACTTTCGAGGTTCAAAGAAGTCCACCACCCTAGTATCTTAGCGCAGCGTCCTCTACGTCGAGAATTGCTACTGCTTCCTGGTCAATAAGTATGACTGCCTGCAGACTGGGCTAGGGATTGCTTGATGTTTGAAGATCACAAGGACAACAAGAGGCTGCCTCACCAGTCTGAGGAGGTCGCTCTTGTCTACGTTTCACTTATTGAAGAAGCCTGCAGATAATATAGAGATATATAATAACTGGCCGTGTGCAAAGGAGGAAGTAGCAGTACGATCTGTTGTTACTCCACCCATACCATCCGGTAACTCGAGAGACTATATTATGTAATTCCCTTGGAACCTAAGCTGTAGTTCAATAAGGGAGAATTGTCAAGTGCGCACTATCGTAGATCGGATCGGGAGAGTAAACAAGCTCTTCAAGACCCTCAGCATTTAGAGTCTTAATTACTGGGCTTTCTTACTGTCTAATGAGATGATTGTGACGGACACTGTATCCCCATCTCGGAACATGTTGGATGTGTTGCGTCGGATTCTCAGTTCTGGTCTTATCGCTTATCGATACCTTATCGATACCCGATATCTAAGCTCATTCCAACACCAGTGAGCTCACACTAAAGCTCAGTAAGCATATGATATTTTGGCCGTTTTAATGTCCTTCTTAGGTTCAAACTGAACTCCTGACGAATCCCCATAAGCGCGGATGTACTGCGTTGCAATACCGCCGAGCTCTTAAAACTATATTACACCACACCTAAAAGTATGGTAAGGACATGTCAAAATTGGGCGTGACGAGGCGCTGGCGCATAAGCGATAAAGAAGACTTCAGCACCAAATGGCAGAGCCAAAAGATAACATGTCAATTATGTATGATGAGGAGCGGAAGCAGCGACGGTACCAGGCCAGGGGAAGCTTCGCCGAGACTGCATGTCTCAACACCAAACGTTGAAAGACATGGGGTAAAGATACAAGTGAGTACAGATGCATGCTACGTGGATAGAGGCGTGGAGAGTAGCCATCTTACCTCTGGCAGTGACTTGCCCTTGGGGGATGTACACAATTGGAGTTCAGTGCGGGGAAACAACTGTGTGTTGCAGGAGATGAGGTACCTCGTGTTTTCCCAGCCATGGTCATTTCCCCCTGGCTTCAGCTCATCGCAGGTTTGTGATTCCTAGAGGCAAGTACCCTCCCCCAGTTGAATATGCAGGGGTTATTTGCAATATTCCACCAATTAAAAGAAGCTGGTCATGGTCTACTAGGAAAGCCAAGCAGGCATCCCTGCAGCGACATAGCAGCACAGCCCCCAAAAGCAAAGTGCGAAACCGCCACAGCGCCAATAGCCAGTAATCCGTCACAAACTGGCGACCTACCATAGTTAGTAGGCAGCAGAATCGATCGACACAGGGTGTGGCACTGTTTTGGGACGTAATCCACTACCCCAAACTCCAACCGGCGAACACACAGCTGCTAACAGACCAACAGAGGTCTCGTATCCAACGTGAGTCTGCACACAGAATTATCACTGCATGAGAAAGGTAGGCTCTCATTATAGTGACATTATTAGTGAATAGCTGACAAACCAGCAACAATCACATAAACAGGAAAGAATTACTCAAGAAGCATAGGAGAGCAACGGTATGACATACAATCCAACTAACATACAAAATGGGCTTTACAAACACACAAAGGCAAAGTCCAAGATAAACCGCCTATTGCTGACATAGGAAGTAGAAGAGAAAGCATGAACAATAAAGTAAATCTCGAAACTAGCCAGCCTTGGGACCAAAAACATCTTGCATGGCAGGAACATGTCCCATGGCAATGAGCTGTTGCTCAAGAGAACGATGTTTGAACTCCAACGATCCAAGCTTGTTCAGCGCGTCCCTCCACTCCAATCCGACAGAGCGATACTCTGCCAACAGGTGACTCAGACGATCTGTTGTGGGAACGGGAGGAGTCTCGGGTGGAGGAGTACTAATGAACTGTCCAACTGTGGGTATGGGGGAGGAAGAAGAGTGCTGTTGCGTAAGAAACTGCGTCTGAGCTTGCGTATGAGGCTGCGTAGGTTGTTGGGTCTGTTGTTGAGGCTGCTGTTGTTGGAGTTGATGTTGCTGTTGCTGAGCTGGCTGCTGCTGAGGTTGGGCTTGTGGCTGAGGCAGCTGTTCAACATACTGGATTTGAGGCTGCTTCTGTTGCAATTGCTGTTGTTGAAGTGGCTGCTGTAGAGGCTGAAATTGTGGCTCAGTACCCTGTTCATCATAATGGGTTTGAGGCTCCTGTTGCAGATGTTGGATTTGTGGTTGAGGATGCGGAGCAATACGGTGAGTCTGGAGCTGCTTCTGCTGCTGCTGCTGCTGTTGTTGTTGTGGCTGAGGCTGAGGTGTGAAATATTGCCTCTGAGGCTGCCCTTGTTGTTGTTGAGGCTGGCATTCGGGCTGGTGCTGGTGTTTCTGGGGCTGTTGGATAACATATTGGGTCTGAGGTTGTTGTTGCTGAGGATGAAGCTGCTGATGTTGAGGCTGAAGCTGTTGCTGTTGTCCAGCATACAGCGTCTGTGGCTGGTGCTGTTGCTGTTGTTGCTGCCCTTGCAAATCAGCAACAACCTGCTGTGCAAGAGGATTACCCGTGGGAACCTGTTGCGCAACCTGATGTGCCTGGTAAGCTTCAACAAGTCAGCTCATCTATCCTCAAGCTTGTCATCAAACATACCGTGTCTCGTGTCGTTCCACTTCTGCTGGATGGCTCGCTGGGCGTTGGGGTGGTCTGCGATGAATGCCGAGAAGCCAGTGGTCACCACTCCGAGATTGGAAAGATCCGTGATCTCTGATTGCTGCGATGCCATGATTGATGATGGTGTGGTGTAGAATAAGGGAGATGAAGAGAGTTTGTGGAAAGAGGAGAGGATAATAAGTCGGATTGGGTTGAATATGTTATACTGGTTTTTGAGCAGACAGCAGTCGATGCTGGACTCTATGAGGCCGACAAGGACAAAGGCTATGCAGAAAGCCGTTGTGACTTGACACTGACGAAAAGGGACGTGACATTCTTTCTGAAATAAGCGGTGTGAATCATACAGTGATTGAATCTCTTTATTCTCTCAGAATGTCATTCTGGAATTAATTAATAGGCAGCCAAACATGTATACTCTTTAGCTTCAAGCATGCAAAGTAAGGACAAAGGCTATGCAGCAAGCCGTGTGGGATTTAACAATGGCGAAAAGGAAGCGATATTCTTTCTGAAATGAGCGGTGTGAATCACACAGGGATTGACTTTCTTTGTTCTTTTAGAATGTCACTTTTGAATTAATTGATAGACAGCCAAACATGCATACTCCTTAGCTTCAAGCATGCAAAGTACAAAGAACACCATGACCCCCCTGCACCTACATAACCCCTAAATTCTAACTAAGCTCTTTCACATACTGAAATCAGATTTCACATTCAGGCAGGTTAAAGACATGACTTTCTTTTTGACTACGCAAACCATAGGGAACCTTCTCAACCTCCTTTGTTACCCACTGTCCCCCCAGTTTCCCTTGCAAATGTCCTTCAACTCAGCCAGCCGTCTCGCGCCTTTCACGTTCTTAATCCTGGGCATAACTATCTCCACGTAGACATCGGCCAGATCCGGCTTACTCAGATGATATGCCACAAGGTCCAGGACTTTGTTCTCTGCCGCGCCCGCATCTTGATCATACAAGCGCTGTTTCCGCTCTGCCCACGCAAGGTTGATGGCGTCCTGTGCTTTGCCATATTGTGGATCGTCAATTCGCGTCCATGATGATGTAAATGGCGCCATCGAACAGTCTAGGCCGAGAAGTGAAAAGAATGTCTCTGGCGGTCGCGCTGAGTGCAGGCTGTAGGAGAGGTAGTGAGCGTGGCAGATTGAGCGCAGGGAAGTGTCGGTGGATGACACGTTTGGCATGGAAGCCGTGGATGAGCATAGAGCATAGGTGAGGCTGTAGACAGCGACACAAATACTCAAGACAATAGCGGCTGTCCTGGTGGTGATGGTGATGTGCCAAGGACTGTGAATTTCGATAATGGTGGCTGTGGTGGTCATATTGATGTGTCAAGGACTGTGACTTCCGATAATGAGATTGAATAGGAGACTCTCCATGGGGATGATTTCACTGAATTGTGACCAAGATCTTGTTATATACAATCCCGGGGATGCACTCAATGTGGCGTTATACAACGTGACCATGGATGAGCAGATTCTTTTGTGTCCTGGTTCCCCTCCATACCACGTTCTTAGCAGATTGCTTTTTGGTGTGTGACAGAATATCGTAAATGACAGGCCTCCATGTCGGACGTCCCCGATAAAGGTCTTTGTTCTGTGAAATATTTGCAGTCAGTATCTGCCCATCCTGCCTAGAGGCCACAAAGATGATCGCTTTACTCTACGGTATTCTCAACACAAGCTGGACGTCCACAGTTCAAGCAGAGATACGTGTATTCACCGGTAACGTGCATTATAACCGCACGGGCTCACATCATCAGCATCCTACAAATTCATCCAGCCAAGATAAAGTCTGCAGAGGAATGCCCCAAGACGTCCTTCTTGATCAACAACCCAAGAGGATCCTCCCAATTACTCTCCACCGCCCGCCAAAGCTCAGATTTTACGCAATGTCTCCTCCCTCTCAAGTTCCGAGAGCAGAAGAACATCGGAAAAAGCTGCGGTATCTGCAACGTTTCCACAACGAACTCATCGACCCGGATTGTCCTCTCAAATTCGGCAAGGGTTTGGATCGTGAGCATCTGACTGCAGTGATCCTCCAGGATCCCAAGGTACTGGAGACTGCCCAGCGAGTTGCCCCGTTGGTTGATGCCGCCGGCGGCAAGCTAAAAGATGATGAAAAGTACCCGCCAGCTTGGATAACCACAAAAGGTAGTTTTACCGCTACCTGGAGGTTTCTGAAGACATGGGCCGCCGAATTAGATGGCATCAAGAGCTCTCGCCATCCAGCACTGGCGGTTCGAAAACAGCGCGCCGAAGACGGTCAAGTCATTGAAGCAAGAGGATATCTTTTTGGACCGCCGCCAGAGCCCAAGCCACAGGCCACGCAGAGTGCAATCACAAGGCCAACTCCCGAAATTGCACCATTTGGGGAACAAGGTGTCCTCTTTGGGGAACAAACTAGTGGTGGTTCATCTTCTCTCGAGGACACATTTCAGTTCCGAGGAGAACAACATGATACTACCACGGCACTACCGTCGACAAGGGGAGGTCTTGAGCAGCAAGAGGAGCCAGAGCCAACAGCTCAGACACTTGAAAATGAACAGGAAGACTTTAACAAGATTGAGGATTGGTTCAAGTGGTGGGCCGAAAGGCACAACGATAGGGTGCAGAAGGAGAGGGAGGACAAGGGTATTCACGGGGATTAGTTAATGACTGTTGAAGAGGGTCCTTTTTCTTTGCAAGTTTCGCATCTGTTCTAAAAATATGTGGACTGACCAATCTTATTTTTTGGCTAGCTTTAACTTATTCAGAAGGCAAAAGAATTTCTGTGACAAACAGCAACTTGTCGTCGTTTTTGGCCTGTAGCATTCTTTGTTCTTTTCAATCACAATAGCCACAAGTTCCCAAGCCACAGTTCTTTCACCAACTGGCTTCCCTGCATAGTTGCTGTCAGGCCTTATTCTCTATAACTGCTTCCTCTGCACCTGTGACTTCTCTCACCTCAATCACCCACAATTCTACCATGGTCAACTGGGAGCAGGTCTTTACAGAAGGACGTCGCCAGGGCGCTTTAAAGCATAATCATGGCGTCACCTCGAGACGTCAGCCCTCACCACCCATCGACATTGGTCCTGTCATGGATGTCATCCCCAGGCCTCCTCAGGAAACAGTCGGCGTCCTTGCTGCAGACCATCAGCACGCTGATAGATCACCCGCCACAATGAACATCTACAACATCAATTGCCCTCGTGGCAATGTTGATATGAGACAGGAGGTTCACAGGGTGACAACGAGTAACATAGCCCAGTCCAGTGCTGCGGCTTTGATACCGACGGTTGCTGTGGCGGAGGCGGAGGCGGAGGAGGAGACTGGGCAAGATGTTGGCACAGGCCAGCAAGAAGCAGATACGCAGTCGGCACTCAAGAAGATCAGAAATGTCATCTGTGGTGCTGGGTTCGCAGCGAGTATGTCTGCATCTTTTGTACTGCACCCTTTAATCCTCCGGATACTTGGCTTCCTTGGATTCTTTGTTTTCGTCTTCGGCTTCTTCACTTTCCTCCTTACCGCTTGGTTTGGCTGGGCACGAGTTTTCACCACATTCTTGACCATCTCATCGATCTTTCTACCTTATGTATCCTTTGGGGTGCCCCTAGCTGTGTCTCACGCCGAATCCACCGCCACTACAGCCACGGACACCTTCACCCTCACATTCCGTCGGCCCATCCCAACCGCCGAAGCAAATGTTATGCCAACAGCTCTTGCAGGATGGCGGGACAGTGCCAAAGTGGTAGGAGTCCTGCTGGACGATGACTTTCTCCAAGGAAGCATTCTTAAAGCCCAACAGAGTGCTGAAGAGTTCCGCGAGTTCAATCAACAGTTCATACCCGGCATGGAAACAAGAAGCACACAGCAATACGCGCTGTTGCAATCTCTTGCACGCGATATCAAAGATGCGATAGCACGGCACGATGAGCGGGTCGGGACAACAAGATGGTGGTGGCAAGCCGAGCCCAGTCTCAAACAAGACGCGCTCAACTTCCAGAAGCGGTTTCTAGCACTGGTGGATGACATCCGCGGCGCTCGTGGGCAGGAGCAAGATGAGCTGGAAGCCCTCCTGAAGAACACAAGTATGCGTATTGGAATCTGCGAGGCGAGTGTAAGATGTGATCAACATGCAGCTTCCATTCCGAGAGAGCTTGGTGCTTTGGCACATATCCTCTGTTCCAGTGGGAGGAGGACCACGCACCGATGGGGGGATGTTGGGCAGGTCATCAGCAAGGTATGTTCTATGGCCAGTTCAGTGTGAGCGTGTCTACTAACTGTCTACTGGCTCAGTTTAAAAGGAGACTCGATCGATACCCTGGCATTGTCCGGGGTTTGTTAGAAAAGTCGCAGTCGTCGAGGGGTGTGTGTGTGGACCTTTTGGGGTATTCGGAGAGGATTATGAATGATATTGTTAAGTTGTCTGATATGGAAGAGGAGATTTGAGGTATGGTATTTATGTTCTGAGCGTAATATAAATGTAAGAAAATACTTTTGACAGACATTTGTTGTTATTCACTCTGGCAGCCGTGTGGGAGCGTAACGCTTCAGCCTCCTCAAATGGGAGAGACGGGATAACAACTTATTGTAACACGCTGGTAGCTTACAATTGCTTGTCACAGCTACACCATCATAACCTATACCTCATCATCATCAAATGTTTCCATGCCGTCTTGTCACATCCCCACAGGTAACCCTCTCATTCCGTCTCACACACCAATTCCCCTTCTCAACGACCCCATCACACCAACAAAGCGCCTCTTTCACCACAGGATCCTGCCGTCTATCATCAAGACCCCAGCGACTCCAAATAATATACCTCTCCTCAGTATTCCTCGCCCTGACTTTATGCAACCTCACTTGCGAAAACGCATCGAGCTGTTGTGCTTGTTGTCTGACGACCCAGCGCTCCCCTTCGATCCAGAGGCTCGTGCGTGTCCATTCTTCAATCAGACTCTCGGGAGACGCAAGGTAGAGTACTTGGTTATTTGCGCCGATCCATCTGTTGGAAACTGCTGTCTTGATCTCTAAGCGTAGCTGGTTCTGCTGCGCTTCAAGATCCTCCAAAACCGATGCTGCGTGAGTGGCTTTGTCACGTAAATGTCGTAGCCGCACAGCTGCAATCTCCTTGAAGAATGGTCTGACGTCGTGGATTAACCTGACTGCCTTTCTCACATGGGGTTTCCAACTGACATCTCCAGCGACATCGAGACGGGCAACAACTTGGTCGAGGCGATCGAGGAAGAAATCCATCAGATTACACAGCTCTACGAGAAGGGTTCTAAAAGGGATGATATTGGCTAGTTCGGGGGTGTGGTCGTCTGGGCTGGAGGAGCGGCGGCGATGCACATCTTGGAGACTGCTGTGAAGAATCTTGAGGAGCTCGTCGCTGGTCACATTCGTGCTTTGGAGATGAGGCCAGTTTCGATCGATAAGCACTGGAGGAGAGCAGGATAGTGATATCAATGCTGGGATAATCAGCTTGCTTACTGATCAGAGTTGATTGGTAAACTTACACTCTCTATCTGACTTGATATACTCATCCCGCACATCAGAGGGTGTCGCCAGTTCAGCGCCGTATTCAGGCGTAGGAGCACTCTGCCACATGCCATTCAAACATCCTCCTCTAGCTAGATCCCTCTCGAGCTGTTCCAACCACGCGACGACAAAGCTCGACCGATCAGCAGCGGCGTTGAGGAAGAAGCCCGTGAACAGCTCGTACGTCTGGGAGTGATGACGAAGGAGAGATCGCAAGGTTATTTCGAGATCACGTTGTAGCTTGCCCAGGCCTGGATCGACGTTGTAGATGTGATTCACTGACTCTGGCCGCGCAGTAGGTGTAGCTTGTTGCTGGTCGCCAGTTGTCGGTGGCATACCTGGGACTGTACCCCCCGGCGTCTCCAACTCAGTCATGTTTACAGGAAACGTCGGCAGCGCAACATGGGGCGAGATAAACTCCCCAGCAGATGTCGACCATCGAAACTGGGTGCTACTCCCGCTCGAGAAGAGAAAGTCCCGAGGACCAAAATTGGCAATCTCCTGCAAGTTCTCCAACGCTGTGAACAAGACCTCATCGAGATCTTGCAGAAACAGAGTCTCGCTCACGTACGAGCCATTGGATGTTGTAACCCAGGGCTTGTTCCCGTACCGGGGTATGTTCTTGTAAGGATTGGGCGGTCTGTTGGCACCTTTGTGTCCGCAGGGATGATACGGCTGATCGGATTCGCCAAAGAGTAGTATTCGGGAGAGGCCCGCGAGACCCATTTCGATGTGGGCGGCGCGGGTGAACCAGTCGACTTGGCAGGGAGTCGGAGAGGGGAACCAGGCTGTGACGAGGCAGTGGAGGATGCAGACGATTGAGAGAATGGATGTGATGATGAGGGCTGATTGTGTGATTCGGCGATGGGGGGATGGAGGCTTCGGGATGGGTTTGGTGGTGAGCGTATCGTTTTCGGTTGGATAGGCTTGGATCACACCAAGATCGAATATGTATTGTGGGATGAGAAGTTCTTCCGAAGCAGCATCTTGATATTGAGGTTGATCTTGTTTGTCTCGGTTGTCTTGGTCTTCTCGCTGCTCTTGGAATTGGTATAAATATTCGTCTCCATCTTGGTCTTCTTCATCTCGTGTATCGATCGTCCGATTTCGTCTCTGTCTCCGCCATGTCGCCGCCTCCTCAGTCCTCCACGTCGGCGGTTCTAGAATCAGCGCATTTCTCGTCTCGCCCTCACCCTGACCCTCAATCATCAACGGCGACTCCCCAACACGTCTCCTCTTTACATTTACCCGCTCATCTTCATCTTCGCCGTCAAACTCTCTCTTTCCACTCTTATCGCGCCTGACCAACTCAACTTCACCTTCTGTGATGCGCAGCTCCACGCTTAAGGGAACCTCGCCGGGTTGAGCCTGCACCGCAAGTAACAGGATTGTGGGATTGCACATGCGATGATTTCTTTGTGCGCGACGCACAATTCCTCGGTGGTGACGCCCCTGGGCGCTGCTGGTGCGTCGCCGTCTTGTTCGTCTGGGGGATCGGATTGGACACATTTTTGTTTTGGTGTGGAAGATGTTGCTTTTGAATGAATCGCAATTAATAGAGGAAGTGTAAAAGAAGAAGGAGAGAGAAAGAAAAAAGATGTGATGGGGAGGGAGGGAATGAGTGGGTGGAAAGAGTTGTTATTTGTTGTTGGTAAGCCACATCATGGTTTCTTTGTTCCCTTGTGACACGTGAGAAACCCCATTTTGGGACCGTGCCAACAATCAACTGAAATTGCTTATGTTACACAAGATGGGCTTGCTATTTCGTCTCTGTTTCATTGTGATTGAAATGAATGCTCTTTTGCATGGATTGAACAAATGTTACGTCACAGGATTGCCACAACCTAAATCACAATAAAGCCACAACATGCCTGTAGAATGGTTAGTTACTCACCAAAGACCACAATCAATTACGTTCACAGCAGACATTATTAATTGATTTGTAATCTGTTAATGAATCCCCCTTATATGCATTGCTCTTGGGCCTCTTTTTTTTTTCACTGCGTGACAGAGTACAAAGGGCCGTTCACGTGGGCTGGGTTTTGTAAATAATATAATAGCTATTTGCTTCTTTATATTGTTGTCTCAATTTGGGTTCATTACTGTCCCAGGTAAGATGCACTTAACGTATTTCACCTTGTCACTGTTAATGGTTCTTTCCAATGCCATCCCAATCATCGCCGAACATTCTGCCATCTTCTAATAATACAACAACCAGAGTAAGTACAAACCGTTGAAAACACCCTCTCTATAAGTCTTACTATAATCGATAATTAAATAAGGCGCTGAGTTGTTAGAGTTGTTATCCCACGAAGCGATCGTGGTTGTTTCGTTTGTAGGGCTCTCTTAAGAGGAAGTAACTAATCTGACGATCTTCAACATTTAACGATTGGCTGAGGCCAGCTCAGTGCCCCGCACGGCAACTTCTCAATCGATAAATTAAAAGATTAACAATCAGTGAAACTGCCTAAGCAGTGTTGAGCTTCAGAGTAACATGTAAAAATTAGTGATGTGATAGAACTACTTTCTCATGAAATTGATTAAATAAGTGAAATTGACTTATTAAAAAAAGAGTACAATAACTTCTAGTTCAATTGTGCAAGGCATTAATCAATGCAGCTCTTTAGGATTGTTCAACTCTCCAGATTTCATTCCCATCAGATCACGTAGGTGCCTAAGCACCTAGATCGCCAGATTCAATCTCTAGACAGAGAAGCTCTTCAGAGCAGTAATTTTTTTTTATCTTTAACCTTTAACTTTATTAAGCCTAGGCTTTCTAAATCTCCTAATAATATTAATAATAAAATAACCCTTCTAAGGTTAAAACTTAATATAATTAAGGTAGTAAAAGTTATATAAAATAACTAAACTCTATCTAAATAAATATATAAATAACTTACATAGCCATATATATAAAAGCTGGCTTCCCCCCCCCTACACCCTTAACCTAATCCATACCACAAGCCTAGTTAATCAACCCTTATAGCTACAGTCAGTTAATCGACCCCTAGCCCCCTACCCTTCGGTCTATATCACTAACTTCTTTATAACTACTATAATAAATATCTAAATATTAAGTATCTACCACGATATAAGCCTCGGCCTAGATTATAATAATATTTATATAGCTATTAATAGCTATTATAATAGGTAAAAGCTTAACCTACTTAAATATAAAACTAGAGATATTCTTACTAGCCGCCCTATACTACCTTTTAATACTAGATAGGATAATTATAGCTTAATTAAATTAATTACCTTTAGTTATAAGCTTTTAATACTTTATAGTCTAAGGCTTATTACTAACTATAGTAATCAGAAATATATATTAAGTAAAAAATAAGAAATAAAAAGGTAGCTTAAACCTCTAAGAAGCCTAGAAAATAGGCTTATAAAAAGGCTAGTCCTTAATACCGAGACCTCCTTTATTAAGGTATTAAAAATAAAGCCTTACTATAAGGCTTAATATAAAAGCTTAAAAAAGTAGGTTAACTATATAGTTAAGGTCTTCTAGATTAATAAATAAAATAATAGAAGTTATATATAAGGCACTAAAGGGCTGGGGCAGAAATATAAAAGGTTAAAATTAGTTACTAAGAGGAATATGTATTTAAAGTTAAAGTTAAAGTTAAGGCAGCCTTAAAGTTAAAGGTAACTTCAGGCCGAGGAATTAAATTAGATTATATAACCCTTATTAAAATCCTACTGTGCCTTCGTGATGTAACGTATAATAGTATTAACAATATTATCAACTGGGTTCGGAGCAGTAAAGCATCAGCTCTGAATCTGATCCAAGAGCATACCTCGTCTGAGGGGTTTGCCCTTATGATCTATTAGTGTTAGATCTAATCCCTAGATAGAGAAGATCTTCGGAGCGGGTGAGCGTCAGCCCTGGGTCTCGTCTGAGAGGATATCGTTCTCTATATGGAGAAGCTCTTCGGAGCGGGTGAGCGTCAGCTCTGTGTCTCATCTGAGAGGATCAAGGAGGGTTTCAGGACCAAACCTAATCTCCACATGGAGAAGCTCTTCGGAGCGGGTGAGCATCAGCCCTAGTTCTCGTCTGAGAGGACGCCTCATCTGGGGTTTTTAAAGGAGAGCTCCAGCTCTGACTTTTGTAGATTGGAGAATGGTAAACGCTCTTCGGAGCGATAGAGCATCAGCTCCAGTTCTCGTCTGAGAGGATATCGTGCTTCGAGGTTATAAGAAAGGCTTCAGCCTAGACGACCTGATGAGACCATAAATTGCTCGATTAATGGAGATCAAAATCTTCAATATGGCTATTCTTGCCCATAGAGATGTGTTGCCCAAAGTCCACAGAGAAAAGCTCAAACTCCAGTTCTCATCCGAGAGAATTAATACCTTATCTAGAGTTGATGTAGAAGGTGAGTTTGATCTGGGAGTAGCCGATGGGATTTAGAAGGGCTCAATTACATAACAATACGTAACTCTGCCTGATTTCTTGGTCCTACATGGTCATTCAATCCCAGACCTAGCGACCACATTTCCTTGTAGACTTCTTTATATGATGAAAAAAGAAAAGCCTTTCTCTGCAGGATTCTTTCACTCTGCACTGTAGCCTAAGGTCAGAGGTGATGTCCTGTTGCAGGGTTCTACGTCCAGTTTTTGTGTAACACTAAGTCTTTGTGCTACGTGGGTTAGTGACGTGACAACACAAAGGTGTTGTAACGTTGCCATTCTGTGGCTACTTGCAATTGACATTGTGTGCGCTAGTATATCCTAAAGATAAAGGAAGATACATAAAGAGCTCTTGCAGTAAGGAAAGAGAACTTATCATCACCTCTTAATCTTATCGGCCATTACCTGACCGCTTCCAAAGCGATATAAGAAGCAGACTTCTCTGCTTCAATTGTCATCCATCTTTCAACTTTGAGCTTGACTTTCACCTCTATAACCATTTCATAAACACTGAATATCACCACACCACTTGAAGCACAACCATCATGTGTCGACACACAAGTCCCAAGGTATAACCCACGACTTCCTTGTATCACCTTCTTCTGCTAACAGCGCCAGACAATTTGCGGTGCAGACCAAAAGTTCTATGCCGACAAACTACAAGGCAAGAAACGCTTCCGCCTCTTTCTCTGCAAACATACAGAGGCAGACATTGTCGAAGTGATTTCCCACAACTGGATGTCTCCCAGAGCCCTTGCCAAATTCTGCGGTTTGGAATTTGGTCGTGATGTGCTTGGGAGAATCCTGCTCAACAAATTCATGACGCAGGTGAAGTTTCTCTACGGCAGGTTAAAGAAAGGCCTGCCTCTTCTGAGACAGGACGAAGTCAAGGATACTCATGCGAGTGGCCTTGGGGAACAGGAGGAGACTTTTATGAGACAGACGGTCGATAAAGGCCACAAGGTCATGACTGCTTCTCAGGTTCAGATACATCAGCAGGTTGTGAATGAGAGTTCGGATGGTCTTGATGACCTGGCTGCTCTTATGGGGCTCAAAATGAATCTGTAGACACTTGATGGATTACAGTGTGCCGCACCTTGGAAGCCTGTTTTCCATCCATCTCCAAAAGATTATCTATTTAACACTTGAATTCATTCATTTCTTCTCCCATTTCAATTGTGTCGCAAATAAAAGTATAGCTTCTCAACCCTACCTTGGTGTGTCACTGTGGGCTTTCTCCAATCTTGATTTCCTATAATAAGGTATATTATCTTCTTTACAATAATTGGCAATTAAAAGACACCACCCACAGCATAAACTTAGGTATTTGATGTGACTGAAAATACGGCCCTCTTTGTGTTGTATGCTGCCTGGAAGCTACGATACGCAATCGACAGCTTTGCAGAAGGCAACCCACCTTGACAGTAAACGCCAACAATACAATTCAAGGCATTTACTGATGTTTGCCTGTGAAACCTTGTAACCGCGTGGGACGTAAAAGAAGCGACCCTTTTCTGAACTACTTGACAATGCAATAGACACCTCTCCTAGCCTCGTGCAGTCTTCCCACTTGGTTGATTCATTGGTTGCGTATGTCACTAGAGCAATAACAAAGGCATCGACCAGAAATGTGGAACAATATGCTGTTATTGGTCACATACCTGACGCCTTGACTTAACTCAAAGATGACCTTTGTCCAGAGCGCAGAACTCACAATGGCAATATGGATAGCCTTACAGAGCATCATCCCCGTACTGGATTAGTCACTACCTATGGCATTCAAGTAAGAGACAAAGCCGATCACTAGGGATAGGCAGCAATATGCCAGGTTTGACTCACTTGAGCCTGGTTTTAACGTGACACATATCTTCCTTTGTTGCACATGCGACATAGAAGTGACGACGGAAACATTACTAACCTTGCGACAAAGAACCTACACCCTCACAGTGAAAACAAAGAATGGCCTTTTATTTGGATTAATGGAGGCCTATTAGTTATGATACGCTAATGCATAGAAGTGGATGGAAGCTGAGTCTTATATGCTGCAGCGACAATGAATTGGCAACACATGCAGCAAGCAGGCAACAGACAACAGGCAAACGTATTCAACCTCATTCAACCTAATTATTTTAAAAGACAATCCTCCTGCATGATATGTCCCTTTTTATTCTTCGGCTGCGCCGTTCCGTAGCGGTGCATGTTCCTCAGTCAAAAGAGTTGGCAACCATGGTGGCTCTACTACCATCTCCGCTGTGAGTGTATTTCCTTTCAAATCGACTTTTATCGGGAACTTAAACTTAGTTCTTTTCCCCCATCATTCCACATTTCTACCCAGACTCACCCACACACTCATTTCACACACGCACACATACACATACTATCCCCTAATAATTTGTTTTACAGACTTACACTTGCCCACTTGTGAGTTATTATACACACCATCCTGATTTCAAGCTATTCTCTCTGCACCTTCACAGTTATTATTTCTCTTCGGGATATCGCAATTTTACTCCTGTATTCCTTCGACACTCATGTCGCCATGTCTTCCGATCTTGTCTATGATAATCATGTTGACATGATTGATTCAGACTTGGCCGAGACGGACTTCGCCATGGCTTCTGACATTGTTCACGGCAACCATGTTAAGGTGATCAATTCAGACCTTTCTGATGCGGACATGCTTGCCGAGGAACTAGAGTCAAAATTGCAAATCAAGGGCGAAACAGATTGCCAAGTATTTATTTCTTCTCTTATTCCACTTATGCATCTTCTAACAGAACCATACCTAGCATATCCGCGGAATCCCAATCCTAGATCTAATGGACAAGTCTCAAGCCATCCGAATCCCTTGGACATCTCGTGACAGAATTATCTTTACGTCTCACGCTGCGCGCCACAAGCTTAACAAAGGAACGCTCGGCATGCTATACATGGACGAATTGATTGACAGACTTGGCTTTAGACCGTTCCTGTCGGGGACTTACCGCGATGTGCTTGTTCCAAAACTCACGAGTGCACTGGACTATTTGCTCAAGGCGTTACATGAAAAAGGGCATGTTATACACAGGGCCAGAAAGCCATATTCAACCATGTGGAAACCCCATACCACGGTATGGGGACAAGAGGACTGGGATGGAAACATGTCCAGACCAAGTACTACCCCGACGCAACATGGTGGGTTTCTGCCGACAATGTCTGGGGCTATACCTGACAGAGATATCGGCCCTGAAGACTCTGCGTCAGATAACATTTACGATGCTACACCGCCTCCAACTCCATCGCCCCAACGATTCAGATCACCAGATGAGATACCCCAACTCATCAACCCTCTGCAACTCCCGAAAGCATTCCAGAGACCGCCACCAACAGACACATTGAGGTCTTGTACTGCTAGACAGGAGCACCTGTTCACGCCACTCCCAACACCAGCGTTCCAGGAAAGATCGAGCACATGGCTCAGAAAGGTGAAGAACGACCTTCATCTTTCTGACCTGTTCATGGCCAGGAAGCAAAGTAGCGGCTGTGGAGTAAAGAGACGGCCGCCAAGACCGGCACCCATCCCTGTGCCGAGTCGACCTGCGCCCAGACATAGCAACCTTGTGGAACTTTCACCCCCTGGAATAAGAAGGCCAATCACCCCAATCCTGCCTATAGTCCCGCAGACACCATGTGATTATAGCAACTTTCAAATGATACCACCGGGGACACGATTGTCAATCCCTTCAGCCCTACCTACTAATCCTCAGACACCACACCATGGTGATTATGCTGAGACACCACCCCCGACAAGGTGCACCGTTACTAGACAAGAGCCTCCTCCGGGGCGTCTAACACTTCAGCCCCAGACTCTTCCTTCGACGCTGCATGCAATATCGCCAGAGACCCCGCACACTGCACGTCTCACGCATCCGCATCCAGAAGCAAATCTTGAGAGCACAATCATGAGAATCTCCCTCCTGACAGCTTGGCTTCATTTCAACAAGTACGCTCCTTCTCTTGAAACACAAAGACGCGAAAGACGGCTGGAGCTGGAGGGGCTTGTAGAGAAGTACCCCCGGAGTGCGTTTGCGACCATGATGTGGAGGTTTAGTGGCGGGTTAGTCGTGATCTAGTAGTAGCCTGGTGGTGTAAGCTGGTATATGTTTTTTCGCTAAATCGTTGTTAATCAGGGTTGTAATCTTGGTTGGTTAAACTTATTCTGAGTGATTGGATACGAGGTCTCAACGTTTTCCACAGAAACCCATGAAGGGTCCTGTGTGAGTCCTTTACCGAAGCTAATTAGATACGTAGAGTTCTGCTGCTGAGGATCGAAAGTAATTTGTATATTACAGTCTTACTATAGCCTTATTATAACTAGTCGTGGTCGTATTGTTGCTACCATGAATACAGAAGCTACATCGAGGTGCCAAACCGCGCACTCATGTTTTACACCTCAGGTATATAGTTTGATTCCATTGCGTGTCTGAACATGCTTGTGTATTATGTCTAATGTTTAACGTAACTAGATAGCTTCATCCAAAGTAGCCTGTCCCGAGGGAACTAGCATGAGTTGTTTCCTTCTGCTCAAGGCCAGCCCTTAGACTATCAGCCCGCGATGTTCTTCAAGGCTTCCTCTGCTTCCAGTACAGCACTACCGAGGTCTAGCTTTATTCTCGAATCCTCATAGATCAGCTTAATCCAAATCTTAGCTAAGAAATTCACTATCATACTAGTAGAATTGAACCACTCTTGCAGATGCTCGACCTGATCCTCGGCACCACTACTACAGGCCTGATCCAGCAATAGCTCTATGTGCGAACAGAGGGATATTGCGTTTTGTCTGAAATGATATATCTCCTCTCGGTCAGTCTGTATTGACTCATGACGCTTAAGAAGAGCATCAAGTCGTAACTCGAGATCCTGCAGAACCTCAATTGGCTTGTTGCTCAATGGTGATGATGATGGTGGCTTGCGGTTGGCAAAAGGGGATGCGAGGGTCTGAGGACTTTGATACGATGGTTGAGACCCTGCATGGCTTGAGGAGTTACCACTGGGGCTTGATGTCCTTGGCATGGTGATGAGATCCGTTGCTACCCGACAAAGGTGACTGTGTTCTAAACGCCTGAAGAAGTTCAATGAAGTTTGAAATGATTTACGTACGTAGCTCTTTAATTTGAGAAGAGAGAAAAGATTTTGTTAAGAGGTAAGGTGATTCAAGTAGGACCCTCTCTATAATAGAGAAAAGAAGTAGCCAATTTTCATACAAACCAGTTCTCAAGTGCAGATTACACCACAACTGAGGAGCAAGCATATAAAAGACATTGGCTTTGTTAAAAGGTGAAAGAGAGAATAACAACAGCTAGGCACCAGGCAAACATGCATGATACTAATTGAAATGCAGATGTAACACAAAACATCATAGACAAACAAAGCCCTCTTTCAATTTTTAAGCAACTATAGGTACTGCGTGTCGGCAACTTAGGATGTCAAAGACCGTTTCAATGGCTGCCCACAGTAGTATTGTCGATGTCACACTCCATCGTGGGCTCTTACACCACATCCGTACCTACTGCCTACCGCGACGAAACCACCGTTAGAAGTGTCCTTAAGGCCTTGATGGAGGTGTCTCAGCTATTTTGCTACGTACGCTAGGATATCACAAAATAAAAGTGCGATTCGCATAATCCTTCTTCAAAGACACAGCGATGTTGGCATAAGAAGACAAGCGCCGTGTTAGTGCTGTCTATTTGCTGTGTCCTTATGCAACGCAACAGGAAGTAGTCTGCATATAGCCGGTTTCTCTATCCAATTGAATCAGCAGCTTGTGTGCTTTGTTCTCATACAGCTCTTGTCTGCCCCAACCTGTGCAAACCTTCTGTGCCTTGATTATGTTGTATTGCGACGTTGGCTTACTAGTCTCTGAAGTTCTGGGCTACTTGTATTGTTCTTGCTGGCTTTTGTTGAACCGCATTGAGTTTGTAGATTACTAGATAAGGACTGGTCTAGGTTTGCATCAATTAATCCTTCTATCTTACAAAAGGAAACTAACATCTCATACTGTTCATGCTAATAATCCTCTCATAGCTGCTTGCCTTTATATCGTCACTACTAGCATTCTTTAGCCGACACCCACGTAGGTAGGGTTAACATCCCGTCTACAATCCTACATAGCACGTACCTCTTTAGCTTACTCGAGTTAGTAATCAAGAGTATTGGAGTGAAGACATGTCTTGCTGTTCCGGTGGGAGGTGATACGAGTCATGTGGCTGTTACGGTATGCGTCCTTTAGCTGGATTGGTCTTGTGGTGAACGTCCGCCTGTTACTCGTGTTTCGATCTTGGCTAATCAGAATTGAGCCTTGTGTTTAGCGGTCTGGAATCTGACCATACCAAGATGCTGCTTGAGTTATTTGATCTTAGGTGGAAAGGCGCTGCTGAAACGTAATCCAGGGTAATTCTGGACGGAGGCCCTTGATTTCTGATAACATTTCCACCGAGCTGAATACGTTGTAGCAGGTCTTAAGATAAGCCGTCTTACCTTGGATATTTATCTTATCCGGCCTGGGCTTGCCATGAGGGATTGTGTTAGTGGCGTTTTCGGTTTTATTTTCTGTTATTTAGTTCATTCCTTGGCATGTTTTGGCTGAAGTCTCGTGCTTGGTTGTAGTCTCACTTATTGATTCACGCCGCGGGGTCTTTGTGGATAGAGACGATCCAGTTGGGGAGAAACTGCATTTCTACTCGAGCTCTGCTCTGCCGACGTCACTCATTTGTGATCTCGTTCAGGTTGAACTCCAGTATCGCTCATAATTCCAGCTACAGCTTATTGCATAAATGGAACAGCCATGATGAGACTGTTTTTTAAGGTGGAAGATACTCAGAAGAAGCCATCGTGAGACTGGAGTGTTAGATTGGAGGAAATTGGGTCAATGGACCCTGTCAGTAGAGTGAAGTTTCCGGTTCAGAACATCAGCGTAACGAGGAAAATTATGTTGCTCTCAGGCAGTACTGACAGGGCTGATGATTCTCGTGGGGGCAAAAGTCTCTCACATTATCACAGATGGCATCTCCCCTCATTTGTGTATTTTCGACTTGGTCCCGCGTTCTTTCTGGTATCTCACGACGTTATGATGTCTTTTCATAGCTTGCTGGAGGAACTTACCCTGGATGTTGTGCACGGGCCACAACCACAGTCGACTGTGTCTGTAGCCTGTGCTTGTGACGAGCTTTAGTACTGTGAAACCAACACCACGCCAGGTGGTTAGGTCACCTCTTAATGGACAAACCACAGGCATGTACCTGATGCCCTATAGACTTTCGATAAGAGCAAGATCCACTACCCATGTCAATTACGCATCGCTACCAAGATGTTGTGGAATGCCAGAGTTGAACGCATCAAGACGGCCTGTCTCCACTCTTCCGGCTCGGGGCGGAGATGTTCCACTCCGCTCGGTCACGGAGGCTGGACCCACCAGGCCCCACCACCGTTTGTCGCCAGCCAGCTCCAGCAGAATTCCCCACGCTCCGTCCGCCATGCAATGCACCATCAATTGACCGAGGAGAACAGCTTGAAGGCATCAATTCATTTAACTCCAACATTAATTAAATTCCAGCTTTACTGATTGACTCCCCATCTTTTTTATCCACACGTGATGTGTCCACTTAATTCAGCTGTGTGGGGACGGCACAACACCAAGTGGATCATCGCCACTTACCGGATCGCGCACCATCACAAGCTTCATTTCAGCACCATACGCAGCGCGACATCAACAAAAAATGCAAAGATCAATTGCGCTTTCAATTACTCATCATCAATTGATCAGATCCTTTTCTTCTTTTTTTCACCTTCATGAAGACGCGTTCAATTATACCCGCCTTACGCGTTGTGTTGCGCTGACTTTGAGGATGTTGAATTGCAGCGCGTTGATGCGTGTGGTGATGGTGTACAGCGCTTTTATTGGCTGTACATCTTTGACGGATTAGGAAGGCGATGGAGTACGTACGAGAAACTGGTCCGTACTCGCTCACCTTCCAGTTTTGTGAAATTTGGTGTGGGCTCCCCAGCCAATCAAAATACTGTACATAATTACCTTCCCACACTGCGAGACCGGAAGACTGAGGCGCGAGATGGACAGCGCCACAGCGCCACAAGTCCGCCGACACGTGATCTCGTGACGCTGACTGACGTGAAGCGCCAGCTTCAGCCACCCACCACCGCCTCCCCTCTACCACTCAGACATCTCCACGCAACGCGCTTCAGGTCCAACTTCATTCAACATGGCGCTTCACACCCATTCGCTTCCGCGCGCACTTCTCAACAACACCTTTCCACCAGCGCGCGCAACATTATACCACTATACTTTTACTCCCAGTTGTCGCTCTGTAGTGCTGTGAACGACTGGCTTTATAGTAGTGAGTGCGTCTGTTTTGTTCTTTGCGCGCACGGTGAAAATGCCAATGCTGGGCAGCCGAAGGTGCTCTATTTGATGCGAACGCTTCTGAACCTTCTGAATTCCACCACCATTCGCCTGTTCTGAATGCCTCTCCCATCCAACCCGCGAGCGACGAGCCTAAGCCTACTCCAACCCTAAGACCCTCAACGTCTGCAATTTTCCTTTGACTTCAAGTAACGGGGATGTCGATGCCGCTTTGCACGTGCTAGTCGAGAGAGAGCATCATAGGAACCGCCAACTTCCACTTCACTGAAGGATCGTATGTCGAGATGAAAGTCCGGTGTGAGGACAGTCCACCACCCTAAGAGCCCAAAGTCAGCATTCAAGTCCACGCACCAAGACTTATCTACGATCACCAGGAGGAACTCGGTGGATGAGGCGGCGCAACAGGCCTGAGGCTTTGCCACACTTGTCACATTCTGTCTCGAGAGGCCATGGCCTGAACAAGATGCTAGAGTGCCAACAGGTTGGCTTTTCTCCGCAAGCGTGTGATACTACCTGGGATGCTGAGCAGGACGTAAAATATAGCGGGATTGGACTATCCAGTCGGCGTCTGTGACAGCAGGTCATTGTCGTCATTGGAACTTGTTTCGTTGTGGATAAAGTGGACTGTTACTGCTCCAGGGAATAACCCGGTTTTATCGTTGGTAAAGGAGTTGACACCGTCCCTCACACACTTGAGGGCTCCCCTGCATCCATGGACATTCCTGTTCAGCTCAACTGGAGCTCGATCAACTCACCACCCTCGGTAAGTCTATTACCAGGCAGCCAGCGCCCTTATATACAAGCGCAGCAAAGAGGTCTTCGCAGCGGTTCAGGAGTCGGACATGTGGGGTTAGGTTGGCGCAACGGGGATGTGTAAAATGATGCCTTTACCCGTCTGTCCTGGTCCTGAATTTTGTTGCACTTTTCTTTCAAGTTATGCCGATTACAAATCTGGCTATTTGCTGCCGGGGGAACGTCATGTCGTATGCTATTGTAGTGCGGATAGGGCGTCATCTGGTACATATACAACGACATGTATTTCCGTGACTCACTCAAAACTAAGTCTTTCTAGTGGTTGAATCTATGTTACCTCACTCATGTGTTGGCCACCTTGCGCTTCTCCACGACCATACTGAGACACTTCTTGCGCTGAATCTGCTCAAGTTACATTGCTATGGTGTTTTCCTTTTTCCGTCGACGTAGTTCAAACTTTGTAGCCAAGGTATCCTCCAGCTCAATCTGTTCAATTCGACTTTGGGGAGATCTGCTCAACTCCAGACTGAGGACCGTCGGTTGAATTTATCTCATGTTCACTAATCAAATGTTCACCGGAGGGGATTGGGAGACGTAGGTTGCGAGCGTGCTGAGCTGGGTGCGCCACCCACCGGAGCAAGAGGTGGCTTGATGTGGCTGGTGAGGACTTAACTCGATTTGGACGTGCGCTAACCCCAAATCGACGACCTGTGTCCCTTTTCGGAACTGCGCTAGCTTCGATTTGACGACCCGTGTCCAAAAGCGTTGTAATTGGCTCGTTCTGGGGCAGCCCCGCACCACCTCAACCATTGTGTCGAGTCCAGCGTCTTCGGCTTGAGCGCACCAAATGTCCAACGTGAAGAAGGTGTCAAAGTGGAAGTCACGTAACCTTCGGTCTTTGGAGAGAGACTTCACGCCAGACAAGGTCGTAGACAAGCGACTAGAGGCACAAATGAAGGAATATTGAACTAGACATCTTATGCATGTAGATACCGGTCTCAGAGATCCTCTAGCTAGTAGGCACACCCCTATGAAGGGGTGGAAGGAGAGTCACTTTGTCCCTCCTGCAACTAACAATGTTCATCTACATCAAGTTGTACCTTTGACTTTGACAGAAGGCCATTATGGACCGATTTGATCCGTTAGGAACGCTGCATCAAGCCTCGCCACGTCCACCACAGCATCTCCCATCGTTCCTACCACAACATTTGCCACAGCATTTACAACCATTCCCATCCTTTAAACGCTCAGCACATCAATTCACTGCGCTCTACGCCAGTTTTCACCTCGACCAACAACATCTTATCCGGCTGCTCAAGGTGTTCAAGCCTTTGCACGTACGAAAGGCCTACAAGACCAGGGCAGAGGGCTATAGAGAGATAGAAAGATAGAAAAGGGATCAAGGAAGATAAGAATAAGAAAGACGCCCGACCAATCCACTGTCAAAACAAATGCAAGCAGGCATCTCAGCCTCCACAACAGCTTTACTTAGCTAATCACTATAGGTACATTACGACGGAGATATCAAGATGCCTGACTAGCCCGTGGAGATTTGTGCCTGGTATACCTTAGCCTTAGCGACCTCCACCATCTTTACGCTGAGATGTTGGTATCAGCTACCTTCAACGTACACCGCATCACATGGCTCTATAGCAATCACACAAGGCAGACTGATCGCCACAAGTAGGAGAAGGAAATCGACGAGCTAGCAGCAGTGTAGAAAGACCACCTGTCGCACTAGTGAGAATTAATAAGGCACAAAACGTTATGGTGGGTGCAGTTACGCCTAGGCACTGAGAACTGGAAATGCTGGAGCTCAGTTTCGAAGTGTGAGATGATTCCCGCCGTGGGACTCCAGAGCCCTTTCGTGTAAGCCATCAGATGGCGGCAATAAGAAGGTATTTAAGGGCATGATTGCTCCCTACGTCTAAGGTGCTTGGCTGGTTTCAACTTACCTCCTGGCTCCTCTCCCCACCAAAGTGATGTACGTCATGGCAGAAGCAACAAGGGCAAGCTATCGCTAAAGCAACGACGTCAGGGGGGAATAGCCGTCACATGTTGTTCCAGACCATACCGACTCTGTCAACAATTGTGGCTTTCTGCAGCTGGGTCTGGATTATGGACGTGAAGATGGGACTAGCCAGGGAGGTTATCTGAGCAGAAATGCAGCTCTGAGATGCGACATTCCTGTGCTGGGCGAAACAGCACCGAATCGGCCCTCGACCGTTTGTGTCGTTCCAATCAAGGAAGTGCTCACCTTAGTTACAGTCTACTATAGAACCTGAAAACGATCACGAGCCCAAAAAAGGTTCCTATTCACACAGCAGGGTAGAGTTGATAATCAGAAATCGAATCGGTAACTGTATCTCATGAATTTCGTACTCCTGAAGGCCTGTGCCACCCCAGAAAAACTCAGGCCGACTTTATCTACGCCGGATGGTAAGGTCGGTCTGCCATCCATTCCTGGTATAAGTCTGGCATTAGTGAGATTGCTTTGGTGGCACCCCCACTACAGTATAGAAACACCATACCTCCTCCTTCTAGTACTCGCGAGTCTTCTGACTTGGCTTGATTCAAAGGACCCTCAGCCACGAGACGAGCAGATTCAATCCAGGCGACGAGAACTCGCCGTGTCTTGCGGGTGGTCACATCAAGCGACACAAAAGGTCCAACCAACCCCTGGCTTATGATGGCAGTGAAGCGGATTGTTCGGTAGCTTCTACTACCCCTGACATGCATCCTTGCTTGCACATCAAAACTATTCCGAGCTTACCTCGCCATCAAAGCGGTATTAGTGACAAGCCAATCTAGGGAAAGGGTGGACCACAAGAACACACACCTTCAGTAGGTTCAGTATCGATGAAACAAGAATTAGAATTTCCATGTTATGTCCCTCGCTCTGCCACCTCTCAATGGATTTCAACCGTTATTAACTTGGCGATAAGTTACTAGAAGAGAAAGATAATGTGTCATTACAGAGACAATACTCCTTGGGAAGGGACAAGATCCGAGGACATTAGTCGTCATCGCCCAGTCTTATTGGCTTACTCGAGCTGTATTGTGGTTTACATTTCTGGTAGGATTTACTAAGGCAACTCCTGGTAGCCTTATGTAACTTCAGTGATCTGGAACAAACACGCTAGCATGTAACAGACTTGAAAGCAAAGCTGTATAATCCCAAAATGCGGCGAAGCATTATTTCACTAGACTTTATCTCTGCTGCCAGTCATCGCAAAACGTATAGCATTTCCTTATACGGTTCTGCTTATTTTCACCCTCTTTGGTGATATTGATGGTGTTGGCTTGAGGGACAGGACATTCCTGTGGCTCACATATGGTTATGGTTTAATATCGAAGTCTTCAGCCACGCAGTGGATTAAAACTGGGAATACGTACAACGGGACTAGTTATAGAAGCCACTTTCTTACCTTCCCAATAGTAAAGCTCCTTGGATCAAGCCGAAGTGGGTGAGAAGGACTACATTTATTCCCCAGTCTGTCTTGTGTGTCCACGCCCTCTAGCTAGTGTGGGGCTTACTCGACTGAGTGGCGTGGCTCGGATAGGGTCTTGTAATCTTCTTCATACCGAAAAGCGTCGCTCATTCGTATTCTTCTCTCCTACCACAATGTCATGTCTTGCGGGCTTGGGTGTACTAGTAAGAGGTCGTTGGATGAGGTGGACTCAATCTGAGCAATCGGGATCACCTGGTTAACAGAACTCTGCTCTTTCCTTTCCACTTATCTCCAGAAGATGGTTATCGGTCTATCCTTTGGGGTTGATGGTTTATCTTCCTCATCCTCCCACTCCTCTTCCATCTGAATATAGGCAGACAGTGACGGATGTTCTCAGTAAGCTATACTGAAGCACTCAATGGATTGAGTAACGAGATACACCAGGCAGCAGTCGTTTTCTCCTAACTCCTTTTCATCCCTTGAGCCTGCGACACAGCCATTCCCAGCCGGAGCCACCGCAATTTCTCCTCACTCATTCTTCATTTCCTACCTACCTACAAGTCCCTCTCGACTGGGCCTTTCATTTCCTCTCCCCCTCTGTCTGACCACTGTATACGTTTCTGGTATTCTCCATTAGCAGCATGTGGCATGTGTAGAGTGTTTATTACGACATCAGACTGGGATGGGTAGTGAAGGAAAGACACTTAGTTGGTTGACAAAAAGCGCGGTAGGTCTACTATGGCGGAGGAGAGAAAGAACTTCAATCACACGTGTCTGTATATGCCTCCAAGTCAGTCTACTGTAATCACGGGTCCCCACGGAGGAGCCTATGATAACACAAAATTAGAGATAGGATTCATAGAAAAAGAGAGATAGAGAGATGTAGAGAAGAGGACGTACGATCCTAGCAGTGCAGGTTTTATTTGCAGCGACCACACAGCCCGTTCGGGGGACAGGCAAAGACAGACGAGTCTGTGCTTCAAGGGATCGCTAGGATAGTCCCACAGCATGAGTTCCCCGTCATAGTGATGAAGTACGGACAGAGGTTCTACGCCGACATCTACATAACAGTAGGCTCCATAGTATCGAGACAAACCAACAGTCAGATATATGGCTCATCACACGGCTTGCGTGCAGCAAAGGCGGGTCAGCTAGATGTAGAGGGCTCGGATGTGAACACACAAAGCGAGTCCTTCAAGTACTTTATACGACCACAAAAGGGACACATACTGGTTAGGCCAGTAGGCAATGGGAAGACGGAGCCAGTACGAGGCACAATGGGCATCAGTTGGGTAAAAACCAAACACGGATGACAAGAGAACGCCAGCATCTCACCCACAGGCCAGAGGGTAGATATAGTACAGGGACGGGATCTGATAGAGCTGATGGAGGAGGCGTCGCAGTGGGAGAGATGGACTTTCATGCCATGTTTAAAAGCGGACGTGACTCATGTGCTCAAGAGCTCTACGAACGAGGCAATATGAGCATAGTGTCCGTGTGTAGATTGTGCCATGCGATAGATTGATGCTGTGACTGCGGTTATAAAGGAGAGGGCGTAGTTAGCGTGAGGATGACGTACGACTCCATGGCATTTGATATGATTTCCGCTTGCATCAGTCGTACATGCAACAGGTACTACTTGGAGCACGTCTAGGCTAGTTGGAGATTAAAACCCCCACGTGGGAGTAAGCATTCAGCGCTGCCTGCGAACAGTCTCTTTGTAACATAGCAGACATCTCTGTAGCTACGATACTGCTATATGCCAGGGGAAGCTCGTTCTCGTCTACTACAGGCTCGGTATATACACCGTCTCTCCCCATTTGACTACGGCCAGGTCTGCAGATGTCCTTGTCATCTCAACGCCTCCCTTCTTTACTATACCCTGACCGACTTCTATACCGGAGTACGAGTAGTAGCATCCTATGAAGGGTACACTTACCTGGGCCAGCATATCTATACATTACATCAAATAGCGAGAACTAAAGCAGGCTATGGTAGATTTGACCACTGCCTGTGTGTTATTGGTGCACGTGTGGTCCCCCATGAGGTTCTGTAGCCTGCAGTTTAGAATGTGGTACCTCTTGGTGCGTCGCCTGAGCTGCTGAATGACACTTGTGAAAGATCTAGGTGACTTGTCGTATCTAGCACCCACCCTTCTACAGAGTATCTTGCACTTGACCTCATCAAGTTCCACAAGTATACAAGAACAGTCTGGCGGCTTATCGTAGGCTTCTGAAGACTGTCCGGTACCTGGACCTACGTCCAGTACTATATTGTGTGAGGGGAGGTACTTTGCTGCAGTGCTGTGTAAGGAGATACTCAAGTTGCTGGACCACCCCCACAAAGCATTTCTCACCATGGAGTCGGGCGCGCCTGTGTTGAAGGAGGACAGGATTACCTCTATTGCCGAGTTGTCATTGGCTATTGCCCTGTCTATCCTCTTGATGATGCCATGCAGACAACTCTAGGCACTTCCAGTGTAAACCGCACTTCTACTATGTCGTCCTCGATGAACTCGGTGTCCCCTCTCAGTTTCATCAAGGAAGAACCCTCTTTAGACACAAGTATGTTACCAGACGGCACCTTCAGCTCCATAGACTTGATGTCCTTTATCTTCTTCATATCGGTACCCCTGTAGCTATGGCCACCATCCCGTCTACGGGTTATGGGGCTCTAGACGAGTAGACCATGGCATCCGACAGTTTGGACAAGAATGGCCTCACGTAAACTATCCTGAGATATGGCTCGACTACGCTTATCGCTTTCATCTTTTCCAACATCCAATCCACACTTCTGTTGTGTGGCGAGAGAGTAAGTGGGCCTTCGATGAGTACGTCTATCAGGATGGCTGGGAAACCCACTATCACCTCGACATCGATGGCCATGGAGTTGCCTGCCTCTGGGGGCACTGTGACACGTTCGTCCATGTGGAAGGACTGTACCCTGTAGTTTTCGAGCCTCCTACAGTAGAACCAGACCACACCCGACTTAACCAGCCACATGCGTTCTCCGTCGGGTTTGGAGCTGAACAGATGGTCCACGTCCGAAGCACCTAGTGTATCGTATGCTCTTGAGTTGACGTTTAATATAGAACCCAATGATGCTGCACTCACGTCCTGCGAAACAGAGTAAGGACAAAAGCCCTCAGTATATACGTACTTCACCGCAGTCAGGCCACCGACGTCGTCATTCTTGTCTGTCGTCCTGCAGAACGTGTATGCACCTCCATCTACTATGACCATATCACTGCCTAGTTCAGAGTATGCGAAGTCAGAGTACTCTACGCTTCCACAGGTCTCACTGATCCCTACATGTACGTCCTCAGCTAGCACGTTAAGTGACAACCTGGTCTTGGAAATAGTGTGGATAGGAATGCCCCTTCATATATCAGAGGTGTACACCTTGAATAGCCTGTCGGACCCACTAAGAACATGCGATAAAAAGCAGCTGGTCAGCTCGCCCACTTTCACAGGAGGAGACTTGGTTTACCAATAGCTCAGGCGAAAGAACGCGAATTATGCGCGAGTTGGTCAGCTTGGTATCTAGGGCTATGAGAGTGTACTCCGTACCTACAAGCATCTCGGTAATCAGGTCGTGGCTCTGCACGAGGGTAGTCTTGGCATGATGGCTCTTCAGCATAGATTACTGAATGCACGCGCAGAGTTCTGACACTCCCCTAATACATGGATTCCCTGCCTGGTCGTCTACCTCGTGAAATGACACGGTTTCGAAAGATGACCGTGTGGCCACACCTATGGTCCTATCAGGCTGTTGGAGGATACAGGAGGTAGTTATCTTTGCGAGCCTGGACATCACCAAGGTGCTTAAGAACCCCTTTTCGGATTAAACCTTGCCATAATGGTGGATCAAGCTATCAATGAATGACCACGCGTCCTCGACACATGATGCGCGAGAGACTAAGGACTTGCTGGCACGCATGATGCCGCAGGTGTCCCAAGAATGGCGAAATCGCTATCACAGATTTCCGAGACATCGCGTCCCAATGTTATGACATTGAGCTTTGTCAGCGCAAAAGAGAAGATGGGATTCAGCACAAAGTCGTATTACTGCAGCGAGTCATCATGTCAGGAGCCACATAAACCGACAATCCCTACCGACATGTCGCGACATCGCAGATTCGCGGCGTTAGAGTACCATCCAAGGGCATTTCAACCGGTGGTTCAGCATATCTAGAGCAAGTTGTATCCATAAGCACCAAACCTGCAACCAGCTCACGCTCGCGCGACGGAAGCAATGCGATAGGTGGCAATGGGTCTAGTCAGAGGTAGTTCTGTATCTTGCCCTTGCTTTTTCGTGGAAAGGTCTACGTCTGGCCTACGTGTTAGTAGCGAGTCAATTGTCACCAAAACAATTGAGACATTCCTCAATAAATAACTATTCTTATACATAAGCTGAAATAGGCAGACTTTCGCCTGTGAGCGTCTCGTTCAAGAGACATGGCGTAGGCCAAGATTCAAAGTATGTATTTGATACTGGCAGGGCTCTTCGTTATATCTGAGACACAAATGTGACGGGATGACTTGCACAAGCAGCAAGAGTGCCAAGCACATAAATATGCCGTATCACAACCTTCAGCACAGCCGTTTGAGTCAATACACAACCACGATGCAGCTAGTAAAGAAGCATCGCATCGTCAAAACGGATATGTCAAAGCACCAAACTAAAGGCCCAAAACCAGAGTCTAGATGTAGCCTGGATGTGACCAAGAACCATAATCAGACGGCTGTTACGGCCTCCCGGTCTCTTCGCCCTGTCCTGACATGGACTTTCTTCTAGAACATATCGTTTCAACGTTCGCGGTGGAAAGGATGAGAGTTCTTGGCACCATACTCATCCTGCCCCCCACATCTAGTGTCTTTTGAGTATTACGAGGCGTAAGGAGGAAAGACGTTGTGGTCGACAGGTCAGCGGCATATGGACACTTGACGAGTGTATCGAAACCGGGGTATCTGCTACTGACTGTTTGACAGTGGGTAGATCACTGACGCCTTATCCCATGCATTATGTCTTTTATGAATTCGATGCCCGACCGAACGTGTAGCCAGATTACCAAGTCATCACCTTCTTTACAGTCATGAGGAACATGGATGACATCGTCTCAAATCGGTACCCCGCCTTAGAAGCTAGGTTGTTCCTCAAAGCTATCACCCAGCGGGCGTCGCCCAGACTCCCGATAGTGGAGAGATAGAACTTTCAATTACGAAGCGTTCTCACCGCTCGTAGCGAAAGTACTTTTGATTTAAACCGAGAATCTGCGATAGTTTAGTCGCGATGAGCCGCGCAGTGCGTTCTTACCAATGCAGTCAACTCTGCTTCATAGTTTGATCTTCTCAAGTCGAAGTTGGTCTGCTTGACATACCGCGACTACTGTGTATACGCGATGGATGTTGGTGACAGGAACCACATCACGTAATTCCACAATTTGAGACTACCGTAGTTGTCGAACAAGATTGTTCGCTTACTGACTAGCAACTCCAGACGAACAACTACAAACAAACACACATGAATAGAAACACCCACATTGACAAAGGTGCCTCGTCTCAGCCTCACCTTATCGTGAGAGAATCCCCAATCTGACGTGGTGACTCCGAGTTTGGAACTTAACTCAATCTTCATCGAATTTCTCCGCCATTATACCAGAGACAACGTTGACCCGGCTCTACCCCAGGTCAACAACAGGTCTTGGGGGAATTCATTTGGTCAAGGCTTGTACACTCGTCTGTCATACACCCTATGCCACCGCCACTTACCTGTGAAATAGGCCAAGATCGTGAGTTTGACCTGAGGAGCAATCGCCAGTTGGTCACATGAGCCAACATAAAAGATCCCCGGAAGCAGCGGATAAACATTTTGAGACTATTTATCCAGAAGGGGTGCAAACTAACCCATAGTTAGTGCGACGATGCTCGCGGCTGTGGGGATACACCATACTGGAACGGTAATCGCATCCTTCAGACCACTTAGCGACTCCCGAAGCGACAACAAGAGGCTCAACAACTCGAAGCAGTAGAATGCGAGGGGTATGATGAGCGACATCGATCTCAAGATGAACATCACTCTACCGGACCCCGCAGCTCCGTCTCCACCGTCAATAGGAGGCTCCTTATCGAACAGCCTTAGTTGGTCGATATATCTTACTTCCGTCTTCTTGGCGCACCCATTGCAAATGGCTCCCCAGAGCAGTTTCAGTTGTAACTAACCATCCAAGCTTTGGGACGGGGACAGAACTATCTCACTCCTGACGAAGTCCACGGCCGAGCAAGAGGTTCAGAAATGGTAACCTTCGCTTCTGGTGTAGGCAAGGTTCATACTCTGCATGGCCATTTACTTGCTACTGGCACGTAAAAACAACATCGAGTTTTACAAGATGATCGTACGTAAGATCCAGCAGCGGCGATCTGAGCATTGAGGCCCGGCGTCAATCACGCAATATGACAAAACACGACTGAACCGATAGCTATTCTAGCACAGCCTGGACGAATTGGCAAGCTCCATCTTCTACGGCGCCCACTTTGGCTGCTTGGTGAAACATATCGCCATCGGCACAACAGCTATCACTACTCACCATGACAAGTTCAAGCAACCATGGTGGTCAGTATGTGGTGGTGTTTAGCCCAAGTGCGATTGACAAGGTATGCGCAGAGGTGATGGCTGAGGGCCTAGCGTCAAGTCTCGAGCCATGAGCTGCACAGATGTAAGGCTCTGATGTCACGACATCTCGAGCAGCCTAACTTTGCACACAACGACTTCCCACCAGCCACTTCAATCAACGAAGGCGATATATCTGGCGTCTTGCCGGTAGCCCGAGCCTCTAGATCGAAGGCTATATTCATTACCTTGTGAAAACGAGGCAGCCGCAGCGGTACCTGTTCTGGCAGGAGACCGCCCCCATGTCCTCCCAACACCAGACCTCCAGCCATGCTCAACTGCCCAAGTTTAACAAGTTGGTATCTATGCCTTGCATCAGTTGATTGGACACTATACTCACGTTCTCTGTCAGGCGTAGGCGCAGCCTCGTGCTAATGGTAAGTAATCCCCTCCGAAGACTGAAGTGCCTCAGTGGTCGATGGTAGAGTATTGGATCCCCCTTCATGTCGGGTATCCACGATCACATATTACTATTCACGACTCCTTAGGAACTGGCTGTTCTTTCGACTTGCCTTTGACCGCTTAATGTAGTCACAGATCGCATTTGGTTGCCACCGGCATTACAGTGATCAACAATATGGTATTATAAAGCAAATCTAATTCCTGCCGCTGGCCGCCAGGTGTTGACACTTGCACATACGACTTGATATCCCCTACCTTTGGACCACTGTGAATATCAATGCCATGCCGTTTCTCTCATCGCGTGTTGTTTATCTCTTCATCTATCTTTCTTTTATCCACAAGACAGCCTTGTGTATTCAAATTCTCATCCACGATCACTTCTTTCCAACCGCCCACTATGGAGAGGTTCAACTTGATTGAAGGGTACCTCGAAGATAATGGGCGCAAGTGCGACATCTGCGGCGACCGTTATATAGGCAGTGAAGCCTTCCTCAAGGCGCACAAAAGAACCCATACCGGTCTCGCAGCCCCTGAAGTACGCATCATCGCAAAGACATATGGATGTGTGGATCACTAACGCAGTCTCAGGCCATCAACGGAGAGACTACCTGGAATGCAAATCATGCTGCCAATTTACGAAACAAGATACGCCCGGACGACGACAAAACACCTCCCGTCATCATCAAGCACGTGCAGGAATTTCTACTTTCGAAACCCGCAAAGGTCCGCCGCTTTGGCGGTCAGTTTGACGCAGGAGTTCTTGCCGGTGAAAAAGTGACAGGCATGGCGGCGTACTTCGATAAGGAGGGAACGCTCAAGAAAAGGTTCAACTGGATGAAGCCCCTGGGGATCGTGAATCCCTTCAACAAACATGTTCAGACTGCGCCCACCCGATCCCGACGACCTTGTACTGTCCGCTTGGGCCCAGCCCATAAGAATACCAGGTGGATGGTTCCCACGGAAGGCGCCTTTGCCGCCATCGATACGAATCTGTACACGCCGAATAAGTTCCCCGGATGGAAGAAACCACGAGGCTGGAATCTCGGCTGGCCCATGGATCCCACATCCATTCCACGGAACTTGCCTCAGTGCAGTCTTTGCAACACTCTGGCCTGCCGATGCATCCTCGAAAAGGTCTCTCAGAGTATTCCCTCGGTCGTCAACGTCGAATTCATGGGCCGTGGCATCGTCGCAACAGTGTCATATGCAGTTGGTGACTTGATCGGCGAACTTATCGGCGAAATCACCCCCCTCCCTGACAAATCAGACAAAGGAAACGGATGGGGAATCACCCTCGGTCGGGGCGATTTAGGCCACGACGAGATGCGCGACGTCTGCGAGATCCAGTGCATCAACTTTGGGAACTGGGTGCGGCTAGTCAACCACTCGTGTGAGCCAAACGTGCAATTTGTCGAGATGCCCATCTCTGGGCGGTGGAGGATCATACTCGAGGTCCTCAAGCCGATTGTGGTTGGGCAGGACGTGGTCACGTCGTATGGGGAGGATTATTTCATGAGAGGGGATATGCGGTGTCTTTGTGGTACGGAGAGTTGCCTTGAGAAGCGGAGGAAATGACTGGATAGTGAGGTGGTGATTGGTGAGATGATACGAGATGGTGTTTTAATGGAGTCCAGACGTATAAGGGAGTTTGACACTTACGTCGCCAGTCTTGCTGATATTCACTGCTATGAGCGGTGTTTTGATTTTGTGGTTTGTCAAACGTGCAGCCTTAGAACTTACGAAATAGATTGTCTGATGCTGATTTTCCACTGCAACTTCACTTCGAAGAGGAGCAGCTGCTCTCAGCCATACACCCGCGCTCTCCCCTACTCAGACACGCAAGTAAATCCTCGGAAGTCCACCAGAGCTGAATCGGCAGATAACGAGACGTGTTAGATCTGGTCTTCACAGCGGCTCGATCATGGCTTTTTCTTTGTTCTAGACGAAAAGGTCGAAGAAAGAACACCCAATTTGTCATTGTGGTAGTAAGGAGGAATCGCAGCAATCCAACCTGACTATTCTTGTGGCGTCCTGGATTCTCAGCATGACTCGCAGCAAAGGGGGTGACGAGATGAACTGTTTGAAGTGGTTAACGAGTTCGAAGACGGACCTTGAGCTGGAATGTATACGCGAATATGATATTTGTGGCATGTCGAGGCTCAGAACAGGGAACAGCTTCCATTGTGTCTGCACCCCTCGCCTGTATGCAAGCCTTAAGATACCCAGTGTATGAAGTGCTACAACAAGTATACCATGCGATGGTGTGCTAGTTAACCCGCTCTTAGTCACGTTCCACCAACCAGCAAAGAAATGCTGGAACACGCTAACTTTGGCCGCCTCAAGTATCCAGCGACAACATACTGAATCGCTCGTCGTATTGGTGGAACCTTGAATGTCATGTTCTCATATCACGTGCTATTCCCAAGCGGGGACCCACCTCAACTTGGATAGATGCATTATCCTGGGTCAAAGCATACCCTGATGCTGAAAGTGGGGCCTTGTCCTGCACGGATTGTCTCTTATACGCAGCCCAAACAGTCTATACCTGTCAAGGTGATGTGTATGGATCAAGTTGGATTAAGCTAGACTATGTCGGTCCGACGTCACGTTGTAGTGCAGGTCACGTACCTTCGGCACCTGACAATACCTACTCCCCTCTAGTTCATATCTAACGCCACAAATTCAAAAGACACGACATCTCCCCTACTGCTCTTAATCACCCGAGACAAAGATTGTGATGGGCGATCTAACACAAGCACCCTTATCAATCATCCAAAAAATGCCAAAAGGGATCAGAATGCAAGCCCAAGTGGCAGTGACAAAGTAGTGCAGGAGGCGGATGCGCATTTCTTGGCGAGCGATCACGGATTGCTAGAGTTTTGACTCCCTCTGGGTAGCTTTGCATTCTGAGTTGTCGTTTTCAGTCCATATCCAATCTTCTTCAAAGAAGGACTGATGACAGGAGGGGGTATGATCATCGATCAACGACCTATGGACCGGTGAAGGAGAATTTGCGACGTCAGATTGAAAACAGTCCTTTGCTGGAATCGCTGTAGCGGTGAAACTGGCCAGCTAGTTTTCTACAAGACTGGCGCCAGTTACAAGGACGTACTGCCTTACGACCCACCTCCTCGCCGTCAGCAACTGTTGTGATTTGGCCTCTATCCACCAAACAGCAACCTCAGGTTTTGATCCAGATTCAGTGAGAGCGCTTGTCGGGATATTATAATCTTCACCTGGCCGAATCAGCAGGCGATGATCGGTTTCTCCGATCAATCATGATATGATAAAGACTAACTCACAACCATGACCCAATGCCAGTTGGTTTTGTGTTGATCGCCGAGTGGACCGTGGCAATGAGAGTCCTCTGTAATAAGTCTAACTAGACGACAGTGGTAGTTTATAGAGTGATTGATGTTTCACCCTGAAAGTTTATGTAGATGAGTGACAGCTTCCGACTTCCAGTAGCCACGTGTGTTGAGAAATGGCACAACACATCTAGGTGCTTCTGCTTATCCTGTAGCACAGTGCGAATGTAGAGTGGCTGATTGAACATTCAGAAAACATGCTTGCAGTCTTCCCTTCAAGGTACCTCATCCCACTGGGGCACCTTCATATTCTTGCAAAAGAGGCTGGGAGAATTCATGTCGTGTCAGTAAGCGTGGGGGTGACATTTATCTCATCAATATTGTAGTGGCTGGCAGCTACTGCATTTATCTACCAGGAGCCGGAAATCTTTACTGGTGTACCTCATACACTCCAGACATATACTCTTCACAAGTGGGGAAGTCACATATGCCTCTATCAATGCGGCTGAGACATGCTCAAGGGAGGTCAGCTGCTAAACGCCACAAGTCATAAAGTGCTGGGTCTTTGGCCTCGGAACTGGAAGACTGTATTATTTGACCCACACGTAAATCTAACAATTGACGACACCCACTCAGGTTGAATACCAATCGGCAACAATTTGTCATGGATATTTCGGATTGATTAATACCCACTAATATTCTCTGTGAACTATCTATTTTAGTGACTGGCAAACATGTTCCTGAAGAAAGCTGTATGACTGGATAACATTGTCGCATTCTGAGACGTGGCTGCATGTTGCTTGCTTTTGCAACACCCGAACACGAGCCTCAGACTACCATGTCTGACTCGATCGAGATTCGACTAATTCTTGCCTGACTGTCGAACCTGGCCAGTTGTAGTTCATGGCAAGCAATGGCATCTGTATTTTTAATCGTGTTTTTGACCTTACTACTGCCAAAGTGCGGTAGAGAAGTAGGTCTCGAGAATGTAGGGGTCTCCAAGGGATTTGACTGTAGTAATATTGAGTTCTTCGCTGCACAGAAACTTTCACAAAGCGCCATGTAGCTGACCGATTGTGATTTTGAAGCTGTGGACACCTTGTCAAAGCCAGTGATTGGTCAGTCTCATCGCCCACCGCGCTGTGATTGGCTTGACCACGTTCATTCCGGGCCGCCCCTCCAGCCCCTACCCTACACCTTCAAGCCCGGACAACGATCTTTAGATGGCCACGAGATGAATCTGATTTGTCGTCGTTGATTACAAACTGAAAGCTCGCCTTACAACCCTACCATCAACAGACTTGCAACTGAGACCATGTTCGTGATATTTGGGCTAAGTAGTGAAAAGGACATGTCTGAGTTCTAATTATTTGGCAATAAATATGAAGACGGCCCCATGGATTAAATGTGCCTTCTTGATTAATTATTTTCCGCATCCGTTATGACGCCTGGGGAAGTCCCCGCGCTTCATTCTGCCGAGTTTATGTGGTTAATGTGCAGTTCTATGTAATGTTGCAGTGAGGTTGATGCTTGAGATTGTTGGTACTCTGGCGTTTATGGCCCGGCCTTCGCACCTGAAGCCACTCTGCCACCTTGGGCCCTACCAATTGGAATTCTTACTTATTTCCTGCAAGGCCATCAGTAACCACCACTTCTGCTTCCAAAACCAGTGTGCGGACGATAAATCAAACTGTTGAGAGAAACGACTTAGAGTGAGAGCACTGGCTTCAGTCTATAACCACTGCGGTAAAGATCTACTAGAACCACTAGCCCATAGCAGTATCTTTCAGCCAGAAATGCAACTAACCCATGTCCGCTACATAGGTGCGTGCAATACGGCAGCAAGGCAAGGTCAAGGACAATTGACGTTGACAAAACAATAATCAGGGTTCAAGGCGTCCATGTAGACAAAGGCAGCGATTCTTATGGCTGAGTTTCGCGACTACAAACAGTTGGTCTAGGAATGCACTGGGCCGACCAAACATGACGACGTTGAGATTTTATTCAACGGCACAGACTTGAAATTTTAAACTGCGAGTGCGATGTATGTCTTGAGACCGCCGAGGTTTGAGGGATTGGCGACGATGATACAGTCCTGAATGTCGAACTCGTCCCGAGTGTTGGTCACGGGTTCATGGGTATCCTCGTTCTCGTCTTGGCTGTCGGTCTCGTTGTACAGCTCCGAGGCGTGTGATTTGGTATATCGGTGTTGTCTTGAATGTCGATATCGCTCTCGTCGTCGATTACGACCACGTCGCGGGTATCAGGGGTCTCGTCGATGTTGGTGCCGTCGCCGATACCATGACTACCATCAGAGTCATTGCGATCGGCCTCAACCTCGCCGGCATTCTCCTCCTCATCGCCGTCCTCCTCCCCGTCGCTGCAAAATCTGACTTCTGTGTCTCGTCTGATAGGGGCTACTTGAGTTAGTTACTACAACGACAACGCAGGCATATGCTCACGGCAGGGCATGCAGGATAAACCGATCCTTGGTCTCATGACATGATGTTGCGCCTGACGCTCACGACGATTGGCAGTCTCTCCACGATACCAAGTAATCAGCCTTGCCTCAACAGGGCAGATGCAGATTGGCGCTACCATGATAATTAAAGATCATCAACATACATTACGTTCAGTATCGGATTATTCTCAGGTACTAGAAGTATCGTTTGGAAAGGTGTTTGTCGGGGGGTTTCCTTCAAGGTCACGACACATGGAACACAATCACCGAGGACAGACTTCAGAGGAATATAGCGTGAGTGCCTTCAGATATCCAAACTTACAGTCTTGGGCTAAGTCAGGATTTCTTCCTGTCGCTAAGAGAGATCTTATCGGAAGATCGAGAACGAAACCTAAATCAAGGGGGAGTAAGGAATGAGCTACAAGGCGGCGAACAGAACAAGTGAGAACTGGTCGATTTCTCGAATGTAACGCTTGCAAATAAAAGGTAGTACGAGATAACATCACCCGATATATTAGAAAAAGCCTAGTCTTTCACGTTTTCATCATTATCATCTCACGCGTGGTCCTCTACGATTGATCCCCGCCGCAGGCCGCGAGCTGGAGCAGCTCGTGCGGGGCATTTGATCCGGACTAGATAAGATAAGAAACACTGCGACAGCTCCACTGCGAAAAGGAGCGCATGGTTCTCACGACAAACTCCATCGACTAAGCCAAAGGATATAGGTCAAAGCTGAGCACAGCCACTATCTAAAGGGCATAGACGCTGGCTGTATCGTTTTACCCCCAGCTATGTGACATCGAGCATTCTATTCATTTTCAATGAGATGCGTGTGTAATCCCCACGAGCAACGGCCAAGTCTATTCCACATCTCTCCCGTAATCTGATTAATCTTCTCGATCATAAGTTTCGCTACGACAGCACAACCTAGATAGACCATTCTTATGAGGACATATGGCTACGCTGAACCGAGCGGTGATTCAGCACCCAACCAACGAGTCAATACTCTCGGCCCAAGCTCAAAAGGAGGAACGGAGCGATTTCTCTTAGCCTGTATACGGTTTATTAGGGCGTGAATTATCATTTCATCAGGGGTCACACGAGGCTGGTAACTATTAACTTACACATCCGCGACAAACTCGCCACGTTTGAACGCGCACTAAAATGTCCTCCCAACATCCGATCCGTGTTTTCTAGCACAAGAAGTTGGACGTCACCAAATTCGAACAAGCGCCGCGCAATGTAACTGCGAGACTCAGTAAGGATAGCAAGGCGTAGGTGACAGGTGCGATATGTATTTGAATCGATCATTCTGACACTCGGCAACTCAACCAGCGATCAATGTCCAAACGATGCAATATCGCTGGGACACGTAAGAGTCTTATCATGGTGATACATACACGCATCCAATATCCAGCAATAATTAGGTGTCCCTGTCAAATGTCTCGATGTATCCGCTGGGGTATGCCGAAACATGGAAGGTAATTCCACCAACGGGAGACAACTCCAGGCCGCTTTTCTGTTCTAGTCTCACTAAAACCTTCGTCGAAGTGAGAAATAGAATTTGTAACGTTCGGTGATGTTCCTGGCTACTGATGAGTTGGCATGACTCTACCGGGGGGCTTGGGGACTCCACCACCGGGACACCTGCAAACACCATATCACTATTCTAATGTTTGCAAAACTTTTGTTGGAGTTCAGGAATAGCATTTTCGATACCTGATAAATCCTTTTGCATCTCTAGCTACTTTATTGGCAGGTTAGCAGCGGCATGCCGGAAGGTGTGGTAGCGGCTCAGCGTGATACCCAAACTTGGCAATTCTGGTGCAATCTGACCAAGACCTCTATCGAAGTATGATTATATCACTTTTATTGTGTGACAGTAGTCTCAACTCTGTAGACTGGGAAGTAGCCATTGGGCAGGGGTCTGCCGGTATGTGGTGTAGCGATCCAGTGTCAGATTGACGCTCAGCACCTATTTCAGAACGTCGATCGAAGTAAAAGACTATTAACTCTGGTAATTGGAAATAGTTCTAAATCTCTGGGTAGTGTATTTGCTGGTTAAAAGGGGTTCGTCTGGCTCCGCTTGGGGTCGTCGGGAGCAACCCACAAGCGCCGCATTTCTCCATCAATGTCGCTGAAACTCTGAACATTGTGAGATATCGTGTCTTGTAAAATATCCCGTAAGTAATGAGTCCTTACGTATGGTATAGGTCGATTGGAAGACGAGTGTCGATACCCTTCTGTGCACTGGGACGACACCTTTTTCATATTTGGAGGAGATTCTCTCCCGTGGGCGACGTGAATGAGAAAGCTGGAACTTGGTCCCAATGCTGTATTATGTACATCCAGGAACGGACTTGTGGCCGGCTCAATGCTGGAGATCAGTAAGAGTGGCATTTTGCCCACGTCGTCAGTAGGTGGCCTTGATGAATGGCATGCTTAACCCGATTGCTGTCAAAGTTCTATTCAACGTTTTATTTCTCGTTCTCAGCGTTGGAAGGATACTTCATTGCTTTTGTGATGGCATTGGTTGTGGTAGAGTAGGACAGCTGGCTGAAGGCTACCATGGCGCGATCGTCGCCTGATGCGCATTCCTGGACTGTTCCAGATGAAATTCGAGTCAGGCAATCGAGATATAAGGTATGATATGGTTGCCTGCTTACTGACTACGGAATGTGGCAGTTGCATTTCGCATGGCCCAGTCACGGGAGAGCCTGTGACAGCGTACCTTTGCACCAATCCCGCCACGGAACCCGTATCGAGCCACGATCGACTGTAGAAAGCTTTGGGGGAGGTATTGTTTGCCTGTGACAAGTCTTGATAGAAGGGCCTTGTAGTGTCCGTCGTACATGTATGCAGCGAACTACCTCTATCGCAACTTTATCAAGCCGCACAGTATTAAGAACTTTGTCGAACGCTGGAGCTTGTACTTCTAGTCTGTCGTAAAGATTTCGTTTGTCTGTCTTTAGGTTTCGTGAAATATTGGCTGGCGGGGTGATTGCATGTCTATAGGGCGAGCAGTCTTTATCACTCCTGTCTAGAGTCACACACCATCGAGTGCTTATTCAAATGCATGGATTAGCTGCTTAAGCGTTTTCCGAAATACCCGTATCTTTATTGTGTTCCTTGGTGAAATGGTTGCACAGTAGCTGATCGTGTCTCTATCGAACGGACGGTCTACGCCACGGCCATCCTTCGTCGTACACTCTCAAGGACTTGAGTGAATACAAAAATTCCCAGTTCCACGCTCTGATAGAGTCTTGATCCGTATATTTATATCTTCAACTCAGCTACGGTCGACTTGCTAATGTCATATTTGTTAGACGAGGATTCCCTACTATTCCAGTCTTAATTCGTACGTTATTTAGAATCTCACTAAACGTTCCTGTACTATACTCAAGTCTTCACTCACGCTCACGTCTTTTCATCGCGTTCCTTGAAGAAATGGTCGCTCTGTGGCTCGCAATATCCAAATGCAGCGGGCTGTCCCTACCACTCCCGCCTCATCTCCGATGTTGTTGAAACTATTGTCGGAGCTAGCGATGGAGAGAAGGAAGCTTAGTTCAGGGATGTGGTTCAGTGCGCTCGATCTCGACGAAATGGTGGCCTGGTGTCCGGTCACATCCTGGTCAGGCGTGTAGTCTATACCACCCTTGCGTTGGGTCGCAGGCTATAATAAGTTTGGTCAACCGTTTGAATTGGATATTAGATTTCAACGATGCCGTAAATGGTATGAACGATTCCGCAGAAGTGTGTTGCAGTAGTGTCGATGTTGTGAGGAATGTTAGGGTTCTCGATACAGACTGTGTCTTCACTTATTGACTCTGACTTTTAAGAGGTTGGGAGGCAAGTGCAGCTTGTGATACTGATTCGAGTGTGTTAAAGTGTGTAAGGACTTTATAGATGTGAACGAGCATTAGTATACTGCAAATAAAGCTGCGGATAGTCATGAATTTTGGAAACAATACGAAAATCGGCAGATCTCATATCTGAAGCATTTCTGTCAGTTATCATCTTTTCTTGGCCTTCTGTAATCAGCGCCGAGAAGGAAAAACGTGATACTGCTGCCATATCAGCCACCTGCGGTACGGCACGTTTTATATAGATATGTAGTGCTGATATTTTGACAATGTGCACTGAACTCGATAAAAGTTCAAACAGGAATGTCGTATTTTGATATGGTAGCGCTGTGAGGACAGATTGCCGTCCAGGGATTGGGTACCGGGCAGTAATGTTCAGCTATAACAAGTCAAACAAGAAATGTAGGGAAAAACCTCCCAATGGCACCAATATCACCAACATGTTCCTAGAATCAGAAAATCACCCTATCAGTTACGTTTTGAACTGTGCCGAATAAGCTATGATTTCTAGGCCAGCTTAGTTATTAAGGTCTAAGCATTGCTAAACCTACCAGCTCTTTCCGAGCCCCTCGGATAACATCATGGCACGATGTAAAGGGAGTCAACAATGTTCCAAGATCTCGACTTCAATTCTAAATCTCTTACGTCACTATGAAAAATAGAACCGGCCAAAGGCCCCAGTATTCCTTGGTCGTTCAACGACTAACGATTGCTCTTATGTCTTGAGAAAGACTGTCACCCTTAGAAAACACTGTCACTGCATCTATCTGAGTTCTGTTAAGTCAATACAGCATTGGCGCAAAGCCGTCTCGAAAGCAATAGATATTGCATTTGCTTTATTTGCACCTGGTAGAGTAAAGTCCTCGGAATACTTCAAGTACTAGTTCCATGACTTCAAAGAGAATCTTGGTGAGGTGGTCGTGAAGTTTCCTCTCATGCATCAGGTCGTCTTTTCACATTATAGTTCGTAGAATTTATCATATTCGAGTTAAGACTTGAGGTTTTTTAATGTTACTCGTTGTACGTCTTGTCCACCTGCGGTTTCATTTGCCAAAGTCCACTGATAGAAGACATAGGAGGAAGCCTCTAGGACCGCGATTACTTATCCTACTTACAAGGCATTGCAAACTTCTACAGCAAGACAAGGGCAAAAGCGGGGATACGAGAACTGCCATGTATTATTGCTTTCTATTGCAGACCTCAGAAGATCGTATGCTGACCTGTCGCTGCTCACCTATCGTCGTCCCGGTAAGTATGAGGTCTCCTGCAAATTGCTCAGTCTTCGTTGACAATGCACCAAAACCTCCATACTGGGAAGTACCACTCAGTAAGTCTCACCTTAAGAACGAGACCATCGCGCTTCAATCCAGAACTGACTGGTTCAAGAACAAAAGAAAATGCAAAGTCAAGCTTTCGACAGAACCCCTCATTGAGAAGAGACACATCATCGCTGCCATGGCGAGTCCCCTTGTACCTGACCAACTGGGAAGTAGCCGCGTGCTCATCACAAATAGAGCCAGTTGTCATCTTCATCATCAACCATCTCCCACTGTCTCAGCTCATCAAGACCGTCTTGAGCAAGCTTCTTCTCCTTGGCCTCCACCAGTCGGTCAAGTGCGCGCAAATGGGCCTCTGCGCGTCTGACTCTCTTGGTAGCATCGCTTTTCAAGAGAGAAAGTCGTTCAACTTCGGCCACAAGCGGATGATTCTCTGTGGCTGAGGTTACGATAGGGCGAAGGCCGACTAAGGCGAACAGACAGCACATGATGGCCACAAGGCCGGCCCAGATCCGCTGCACGGTTGGAAGCTGAGCCTCGTGGCGATGGACTGCAGCGTTTTGAGACAAAAGTTCTCGCAGGGTCGTGGCAGCATTTTCCATATCTCTCTTCGCTTTTTTGATATCGCTCAAACTGCAGATTCGCAGTTGTCGAATCTGGTTGGCACTACAGTTGATGAGAATACCGCAGGCATCGCGCTTCGATATCGGTGCCTCGGTCTTGTTGGAGCGCTACTCCTCGGAGGTCGGCAGACGCAGTCTTCGAGCAGCCATGATATGTATCACAGGAGCGGAGGGTTACGCGACGATATGTTGAAGGAAAACTTGAGAAATTTTTCTCCGCAAGCAGGCGTTTGTTACGTAAGGCTAGGCCATGAGTCATGGCATGCGGTCGGCGGCATTAGAAGAAGCGATGCCAGTAGCCGACAGGTGGAGGCCGATTTGGCAGCAAGTTCGATACCCTTGGAGGAAACAATATGAGCTATGAATACCTGCACTCCATCCACGTATATCTTGTTCAATGCTCCATGTTCAGTGCGGATACCCGTGATTCCTATTGTGCTCCGTGTTCAGAGGGACCTGGCTCAATTATCAAGTCGCCACAAACTGAAAGGATCAGAAGCCTTTCGATCAATCTTCTGAAGTGTTCATCCACCTAGTAGCCTGTTTTTTCTCCTTCTTATCTCCCTCGTCTGAAACCTTCTACTCTTCTTCAGGCTTTGCCAACGAGCATACGGACTCTCCTACCATTGACTTATTATTTATTTCGCTTACTTGTTTGTCACACAATACTGTACATCTTCGCGACCCTTTGTTGAACATCAAGGATGAAGAAAGGATTTTGGCATTGTAAGCCACGCCAAACGGCGACCATATACTCTCGAAGATCCAAGGGCTCCTGGGTCCTTATAGATGGAGTTAACTGTAAGCATTCGGTGCTTCGGAAAGTGGTGCGAAACAGGGCGTGGCGTTGGAAAGGCAATATAGGCGTGTATGAGGTGGCAGTAGTGGAAAGAGATCTGACTTAGATACCGGATCGCTCGCTTCCTATCGTGAATTGTGAGATGTACAAAGCCAGAATTGAAGAGTAATGCTGCGACAAAGAGAACAAGAATGAATCCCAAGTAAATAGTTGCCTAGCTCATTCGTCCAAGTCTGGCGTTGGAGGACTATTGTTGACAGGTGGGGTGTTCGTGAGTCAAATGAGCGCTGGAGTTCGGAGTTGCGGTTTGGTTGAAATTATTTACATTCTGCTGAAGACACCTCCCTGTGTATGAATGTCGAAGAAGGTGTTGAGGAGCATGGGGAGTGTTGGGGTCAGTCTCTCTATTCTGGCCTATGGACCTGGCATAGCAATCGCTGTGGATTGTCAGTACTGTTAATATATAGCCTGGTATCGACGGGCAGATGGATGAGACTAACATATGTCTTGACAAAGACTATCATATAGCCCCGTGAGGCACTTGCGCGTGCTGAATAGACGCTGGTCTGGCATCGTTATGTATAGGGTCGGGATATCAGTCAAAGGATCCATGAGAGATATTGTTAGAGTATCACGCTATTGTAAACGAAAGTGTAAAATTAATTTGGTTTGGTTGCGTCTTGACTGGATAGAATAGGCTGGTCTTGCTGGATGAAGTTGGGGTTGGTTAGATCCGTTGCAAAGTAAAGCAGATGAAGGAATCTTTAAATTCATCTTGACAATCACTGACATTCCTTTAAAGCGATCAATATTACCAACACTGGATAAAGGTCGAACAGAAGTGGCTGTGAAATACGGCAAACTCGAATCTGACATTGTTAAATAAAGTGAGAGTCACAAGAAAACAGACCATTGCATTCCCTTCCAGTTTCATTTCCCCCCTAAAAACACTACTAGGGAACAACTTCGAATACTCAACATCAGAATATATCCTCCCATTAAAGAACTTCTAGGCTTATCATATATTCTCTCCCATTGCTCCACCTACCTGACGATAGCCTTCTATACTTCGTTTAACCTTTTTCTAACAGCCTAGGTCTTCTCTCCATATGTCCCATGCTCGCGCTCCTAGTCCCACGATCGACCCTTTGAGCTCGGCCTCCTTGTCCCTAAGTTTCGTGAAAATCACACGCTTGGTCACAGCTTCCTTATCCAGAAGATTATACGTGTTGATGCCTAAGATCAGTAAGCCACTGCGAGGGTCATCTGAGCCAACAGTTTGCGGCGCAGTGAAAGGCTGAGAAGTCTCGTCTGGGGTATGCTGAGGAGTGCCGGTGCCACCCTGAGTTCCGCTAGGTCTCGTGTGAGCGCTTGCAGGGATAGTGTGAGTAGCCTGACCGTCTCGGAGAGCGGTAGAGGTGATGGACCGTGTGAGAGCAGGCATGATGTCGGGACGAGAGTCTGACGAGCACGTAAGTCAGGGTAGTGACAAAGGGATTGTCAGGGAGAGCAGATTAGGACAAGTGGCGTAAAGCGGTCGTGAGAAAGACGTGTCGTAGAGTGTGCGCGATGTGAGCGGTGACGATGTGCCAATTGGAAAGAGTGGTTCTTCGAGGTCGTGAATGTGAAGGATGAAGGTCTCTCCATACGCGCAGGTGGCTGTAAAACCATTTGGCTTCTTAGCTTAACAGGTGACTTTGATTTGAAGAAAGAGAAGTTGTCATAGACCTGTTTGTTCAGTTCTGATTGAAGAACATCGATGAATTGATATCGATGTCCACGCCGAGCCGGGCTTCTTTTACCCACGAAAACGGCTTTGTGTATTTATTATAGATTAGCCAATTCCGAGGAAAACTGCCTGATGTATAGAGCTACTAAATGTTTCAGGCACCAATGCAGGGTCTCTCGCGCTTGTGTTCAGGCCCCGGGTATGGCAAGATTTTGGTGTGTGCAAGTTCAAGAACGAATCGATAGGCGAGGTTTTTACCTCGGAGAAGTTCCGGCATGCTGGTAATAAGTAAAAAAGTACTCTATTCTCTAAGTCATGTAGAGAAAAACCTTGATTGGCCAAGGTTGAGAACGCTTTGGAGACATGTTTTGGATACTATGACGCCATTATGCGTCGAGAAGAGACTCCGATTTCCCGTTGCAGGAAACTAAGGTTCAGCGATACTGATATTGTAGATCTCGACTGATCGCCTAAGAAGGCTACTCGTATCAAACATTGCGGATTTCTCACCACAGTCTTGCTACGTTCGAAACCTCATAGACTCTCACCAGGGGGCATACAAGAGTAAGAAGCATGTGTAGAGCGCTTCATGCCATCGAAATCTCTATAGAAACTCTTTACGACTATCTTCCGTACCCTTTAGCGACTCCAGCATGGCACTTTTGAGACTTCTTTCGAAGCCTCGGCGAAGAGGAGAGAGAAGCCGGCTTTGAACCCCTCTGTCCCTTTGAGCCCTGATCATTGTTGGAGACTGGAAGGATCAACGGAAGGAATCGAAATGAGTGCTACAATTGTCCGTAATAACGTGGCGAGTAATAGGAGAATCATGAATTGTGTGAAAGCTAGAGCCCAGCTTCTGTGAAGTTATTGGAACGAAGCTTAAGATGTCTCGCAGTCTGCGACGGCTCATTGACATAATTATCTAGCAACGCGGCCATCGTTTAGATAAGTACCCTTCAATGAAGAAGGCAACGGTATTTCTTACTGGTTCGCGGCCTTGGACAGTCCTGCTGGTTCTGAGTGTAGAAAATTGCCATGGTCATAGAGAATGATCGTTGGCATCTAGTATCTGAGTGTGAAAGTTTCATTTAAACCTTGCCTCTTGACAACTTGCAGCCGGCAAACCTTGGTAAAAGAATAGGTTTGAAACCAGTCTGACTGCCCGGACGTTTGGTAGATATGAGGCTTTTGGAAGACCACTTGCATAGTAGCCCCTCTGTAATGAGTCTCTTCGAGTGCCACTGACAACCGATCTTTGTTTGAGACAGGGAACAAAAGAGAGGTTGTGAAGTTCGCTCGGAGTGTACTTTGCCATAGATCCTGGCATGTCGCTTGGTTCAAACGTGTTGGGGGATATCTTGTAGCACAAGTGACTTCGGGGTCTCTTCACGTAATCTGGTCCAGCCACTGCCACGATTGACAATTTAGAAATAGCTGAAGGCTGAGGTCATAGTTGTGGGGTGTACTAAATGAGATTTGGAATCAATTTGAAAACCATAAGCAAATTGTCGAGCAACTTTCTAAGTAACGTCTAAATTTAATCCTGAAAGTTTGCATTGAGGGACGTAGGTATATAGTGCTCAAATGTACATCATCGTAGGACACGACTAACACCACCTGGTGTATTGGATGCTAGTACGCTGGCCTTTGTCCTCTCAGCCCTCAAGTCAGCCAAGATCGTTGGCGAGCCGCTCTGGTGAATCAAAGATGCGCCGAGGGTTACTCTCGAGTCGCGAAAAGATATAAAGTCGCTACAACCTATTATCTGGCTTATAAATGGTAGCTCACTTCTGCACGCGCCGACAGCCATTGACTAACACTCGACAAGCGCTCACGACAGAGCTCACGATACTTGGGCAAACACGTCGACGGAAGTATAGCCAGGGGGGTTACGGCTGGAAATATACAAGAATTCACCCGCACCCGCCGTCGTCTGACAGTAGAACTGATTGTTGACCTGGTCTGCCACAGTATCACAGCCTAGATGATTGCCGTCGTCATCTGTTGGGCACGCAGCTTTGGACGCGATACAAGACAGCTTGCCGCCGACGATTTGACAACTCAGATAGTCGTAGGGTCTATTGGGCCCTGTATTACGGTTCTGGCAGAATGTAATGTTACGGTTGCTAAGGCGGTGGTGGTTGAGTCCTCGGCCTCGACTATCATAGGCGTAGTATCTACAGCGATAGTCGTCTCAGCCTCAGCCGATGTGGTAACTTCCGCAGCCGTCATTGTCTCTACTTCCGATAACGCTGTAGTGTCTGGCGCGAAGGTGATAGATGTTTCAGATGATGCGACAGCGGATGCAGTGGGCTGCGTTGTAAAAACAAGTGAGGTTGAGAGTGCAGTCTCCAAAGATGGATATAAAACCACCATCAGCCAATTTCCAGTCTTATCCTCATCATGCGCTCTTTATCGACTTACTGGAGAACCCAGGCTTGCAAGCACCGGCGAGTGCGGAGTCGGCAACAAGACGCCCGATGGCCACTAGCAAGACCTTGGATCGCATCCAGGGCAACGATGAGAATGCGTAAACGATTGACTGAGGTGAGTTACAGATAAGAACACAGAGGGGACTTTAAACGTGCTCGACCATTTCCTAAGGGGTAGGGGCCGATATATGATAGGCTTGACGGTGCTACACGGCCACATCGAGGCTTGTTCTCCCTGGCACAAATACCAGAAGTGCATTTAGCCAGTAAAGGTCCGGTAAGAACAGTAGCCATAGATGTTTCACTTGGCCTCAAGTGCTAGCTCCTCCAAACGCAAAATCATGGCAGATTTTGCGGTCCACAAGACAAGGTCAAAAATTTGGAGGTATGAGAAGGTGCTAACTTAGAGGGTAACTCTCTTGAAGTCGTCACAATGTATGATGTGTCTCGTACTTCACTGCTTCGAGTTGGGCCGCACAGGATCACTCGATGTACTGTCGCCTTGAGTAACATTGCCATGTTAAACCACACTCAAGATGTTTCGCATCGTTGAAACCTTTTATGCTCTCCATGGTTTCCATATACACCGAGTCTGTGTCGGTCGCTGAGGAGTCGAGGTCGGATCTGTAGTGAGAAGTCTAATTATCATTACGGGTACCGTTGGTATTTGACCTGTGGTCACTCACGGTATCCAGAGCCTGATCAGTTGAGGTTTGACAAAGGTGTTCATGACAATTGTATCTTCTTTAGTGATGGGTAGTTTTTTTCTTACCAAATCTTCGGTCCCAAGACCCACATTCAAAAAAAAAATACTTCACCCACATTGACAGCAGTATTTCATTAGCACAATATCCTTAATAACCATTTCTCCAGCTGATGGGGAATCGAAGAATAGGTCCTGATGAGGCTGAGACATACTTTGGCGTAGTAAAAAACTATGGTAAGCACGCATGGATTTGATTATGAGTTGTTCTCGCTTTATGAAACAAACCTACGTATGTCTAGCTTTTGGTTTATGAAGCATTTCACGTCGGCTCCATCCTTATGTTGGAACCATACCTTGGACTGATGAGAGGCTAAAATTGGGAATCAAGCCGTTGGAGAACCTTCAAGTCAGGATGACTTGTCATCATACCAAATCTACCATTACTATCATCATTCATTCTTGTTCTGTTTCTGGCATTATTATAACCAGGTTTCTCACATCTCTCAACCTCTTTGTCAGTTATCTTCCTACTCAACCGAAACCAGAAGGTTTCATGTCCCTGTTGCCAATACGTGAGCATGCTTGACGAGGTAACCGAGGGCCGGTTGCTGGCGAACTACAGATCTCATTCCATGAAACAGCCGTCATCCATTGTACGGAGAGAGGGACTCACACCACCTAACTCGCAGCATTCCCTCCAGATAACATACTCCGAGGCATAAGTTTAGATGAAAAACGGATGTTACCTTACTTTATGATGCGCTCAGGTATTATTTCCATTCAGAAATGGTAATCCAGAAAGCCACAAGTCATGAGGCACAAACGTTATCCTGGACATGTGAACACATAAATATTACTTGATTCTATTCACCTACGCGGATAAGCCGAGTACTATCGAAGTATCCCCGAAACGCGATCTACTATGCTTGAGACCAGCGTTGGTGGTTCTGTGGAGGAAGACATAATAGGTGCCCCGTGACCCATGACGTGCCACGAAAAAGATACCTAACAAATCTTTCTCGTGTAGGGCGGGATTATCTAATTAATTGGGAGAACACAGATGTACGGCGTTCTTTCCCTTCAAATTGACTTTGGTGGATCCGTGAAGGAATGGTTAAAAGATGTGTAGAGCAACTCAAGCATGACACACTTACAACAAGCCTCTCGTCACTACTATCTTGACGCGGAAACCTTCGATCCGGTCACAAGGCGCCATGAATAGAATTTCTAGCTATTTGAATCAATATTGATAGATCCGCGGAGGAAAAGGCGATATGGACTAAAGAGAATCTTCGAGCGCGGGTGAGAGATGTTATGAACTTGAAGCATGCCAGGAGTAACTGGGCAAATGTTCTTGTCTTGTCTGAGTACAGGGTTAGGTATGGAAAGACTCAAGTCAAACTTAAATAATAACGCGTCAATGTAAGCGAACGACGGGAATCGTGGCAACATCAGCGCTTCTATCAGCACTTTGTAAATGATTGATTTGAGGGTGAATTGAGATGTGCAGGTCGGAAGATCCCTCGTTTGGTCCCCATGCATAGGGCCCCTGATATTAAGCTTGTAATTATATCTCGGATTGTTTGATTCCAGTTGAACTAACGCAAGTCGGTGCAATACATCCAGGAGTATATAAAATGCTTGAAAGATTTGCTCTTAGTGTACCTGTGCTATTGTTCGCGGCTGAGCATGTATTTCGAATTTGGGATGTACCGCCGCGGAAACTATGGTCTGATAGCAAATGGCACCTAGCCGTACCCTGAAGGCTACTTTTAAGTCCCCTGTTTGATCCGCGCAAGTGGCAAAGCTGTTATGTAAGGCTTGATTCAAGTAACGTTTCTAAATATGTGGCCGTTTGCTTTTTGGGGACATCGAAGGTGATGAGCGACAAGGCGGGCTTAGTTTAACCATTACGTAAACTCTATCTATCCTCTCAAAATCTCATTCGAATCCCCCTGTCAATTATTCCAAGTAAATTGCTCTAGTGCGGCTCTCAGGCATTCTGTAACCAGTGGAGAAGTGGCGAATCGGCACAATGTCGCCGCAGACCGTTCCAGCCAACATTTATCAGCATTTGGCTACTTTCTGAACTCTTTTCTGATTACTCTCAATTGATCCGCGAAAGTGACAGATCGATCACGCAAATGCTAGAAGGGAAACGACTCTTCCAGCACGAACCGGTGCGTATCCACCAGTGCCACGAGAATCTTGATTGGGCCGGAATTTATAAATAATTTCAATGTTCTCTAATATAGTAATAAGCCACTTATGAAGTATGAGACCGATGCCGTCAAGACGGGGAGGTAGTCAGTGATCCTTTCTTAGTCCCAGCGGCATTTGCGGATCCTCTCACGCAACGGAAAGCTCGAGTGACATTAATAGAATGGATGAGCAGGAAGAAGACATTTCTTTCATATACTCCCATCCAGCCCGCTCAACAACACAGGGTATCTGGTATCAGGGTGCGGTGCAATTTCACACAAGTCACGACATTGACACTGATATTTGACGCAGCTTGAGAAATACAGTGTGATGAAAAAAAGTGATATGGTGTCGATGTTCAGGTCAAAGCTGTCATATACACCCAGTTGAAGTAAGGATTGGCCAGGATCACGCGATATTCAGTATTGGCCGACATGCAGCCTGAAATGGTAAGTGTCCCAAGTGTCGGGAGCTCAATTGAAAGGCTCGTATCTTCGATCGATCAAATCTGTGGTCACCGTTAACCAAATTTTCAAGTAGTCACTTTTGGAAGATGAACCTCCGATCCCAGATAGATTTCACCGGTATATCGCTCACGCTACCTCGTCGAGATATTGTGTCCAAGACGAGTTACTATTCTAGACTATCTTTGTCTCCATGCTTGCAAGTCTGTTGGGTGCTACCAGTTCTCCCGTGACCATTTACGATCCTTGAGTAGCGTTCTGACGCTGCCGCTAGATCTGACTGGCCAGCTCTGGCGTGCTCTACGGCCGAATAGCTCACCAAGTGACGTGCATTTATAAGCGCTTAAGCTACCCGATCTAGTTCGTTGCGTGTTACGTATCGTCGTTGAAAATATCCGTAAGCAACTATTTTAACTCGTTAACGGGAGGATTGGTGGATATGGTGTCCCATTCCGCGAGCCCGGTGTAGCCCTGACGCCCCGCAAAATTCTAGCCTGGGCTCTATATGATAGTGCGTAGTCAGAATCTGTTATTTAACCTGCAGAGATACCTATCCACTACGTTCCAGCTTCCTACATCACTAGCGCGAGAACAATTATCACATATGATCTTTCCTCGCTAAATTCTCAGCGCGTTATCTCACTCTCGATAGCCACTCCTCCGAAAACCTTCTTAACGCGTCAACAAGCTCCGAACTCCCAACGATGTTCTCGTGGATGTTTTCGAGACTACTCTTGGTGAAAGCAAGTTTATGCGAGATTTCCGGCGCGTATTCTCATCAGTAGTTCTTGAAGCAACCTTCTACGTACAATACTTCCAGAGGGTTCCGAAGCCAGGACCGTTAACAATCACGGCAAAGTGATATTTTTTCCAATATAAGAACGGCATATAGCTCTGACACTGAGTCACCTGAGAATGTGGCTTATGAGGAGATTTTCCCTGGATGACTCTTCGCAGAACTTGTTGATGGGCGATTATGTAGTATGGTGTGGATGATAAGGAGGAGCTGGTGGCAGATGATAAATGTTTCAGAACCGGCTGTTTAATTCGTAGTCTTGGAATAGGTCACTCATCTTGAGAAATCGGCTCTAACCTACTCCTACTCTTATGACTCATTGGACTATTTTGTCTATTGGTTGAGACTCAGGCTGTGCTAGGTCTGCTGGAAATACCCTTTCCGTCCCTGTTTCCAGACGAACTCTGCGGAATCAAATAAGGAGATATTTCTACTTGAAACTGATTTCTCATCACCATTCCTCATATCGAGCATTTTTGTCTCAACGTGTTTCAAGAATGCGAGGTCATATTCACTGACCGGACTGTTCCTACAGAGGAGTAAGTTTGCAAGACAAATGTGCAAGACACATTCGACTAGTATAGGGAGATGCGAGCTAAATCAGTTAGGGATGACAAGTTCGGTAGCTGAGAGGATGAATGTTGGTGGATTCTATTGGTGGCTTTCGTGCTGGCTTGGACAGTTTCGCAACCGGTGGTGGTGGGTTCTAGAGTGGATGCGAATAAGGCCTGTAAGGATTATTATTGTTGTTGTTATTGTTGAACACCTGAACGCATCTGCTGAAAACCCTACCGCGAATTCCTCCAAAATTGACCCCGCTTGCACAGAGGGCCCGGATGCATAACGACAATCCAAGACTGCATCATCCGCGTTCGTATAACCGAGTACCGCCTCGACCGCAACATGACAGATCCTTTTACCAACATTTACATCTCGCATCAAGGCCAAGACTTCAAACCCCCCATTGAAGGCGAGCCAACAGGAGGTTTCACTTGGACCTCCGTTCTCGATAGTGAGACCCGGTTGAGTCTTGCTCCTGACGCTTCCATAAAGGGGTATCGAGTGTCAGTGCCCATTACCCCCTAGCGCGAGCCAATGATCTACATCGCTGCAGTTCAAATCTAATAATTTGCCTCCAAGGGAAGTAATATTACTCCTAAATGCATATCCTGGATACTTTAAAGCATGTTCTCATGATCGGGACAGTTGTGGTGGATTTTGGCGAATTTGCAGCCGTCTGCATATCGGAGCTTAGCTTTGGCGTGTCGGACACAGAGCCAAGACACTTTGTATCTGGTGTAGCTACAGCAAAGACCCCATACGAAGACTTTCAAGATAAAATGAGAAGCAGTTCGCGGGTCAGTCATTAGCGTGATGAAATCCATTAAATAAGCTCTAGCAATAGGCTTTGACCTCAGAGGCTGACTCAAATAGCATTATATCTCAGAGACCAACAGAAAGTCCTTGCTCTTTCCCAGATCAGGCTGACGGGCAATAAGCCTACCATTCTTAGTTGTCGGTGGTAGGAAGCATAAATGACAGGCGAAGCTTGGATCTTCCCCCCAACTACTGCAGACAGTTGGCCATATATAATCAAATCTTCACGAACAGTCCCACATCGCCTAACGCCTTGAAGCCAAATCTTGAAATAACACATCCTGTCTCGTAACGCCATTCGACACCATTCACCGCTGAGCTAGACCGCGAGCGTGGAAACGGCTGGCTACAAGTCATCCAATCAGGCCTCAAGCGGATCCTCACGGCTCGTCATTCATTTAGCTTCACCGTTTGAGATTTTCGTGTTAATTGATTGGTTCTATTATCAGTGCTTGCTGAGCCCGCCAAGGCCCAAGATTACTGTTGTTGTAAATAAAGTATTTCAAACTGGGGAGGGATCACGACTTGAAATAATGAACTGTACCGGTGAATCACTTCGACAATGTCTCATTGGTCTTCATTACACGTTCAACAATTCACACTGTAGTGAATGTTGACTTCGTCAACGGGTCGGTACAGGAACCCATAAACCAAAGACTGACGCCACAAACGCCAACTCAAAATAGTATATCACATATAATATAGAAAATCCCGAAGCATGACATTTTAAAGATCTCATCCAATTCCAGTTTCTATTGTTTAGACCAGAGACGAGCGCAATCGACCTGGCGGGAAAACTGTTCATATGTAACATGGTCTCACCGCTCCGCTTTGGGACTTTCCCACCCCTCAGCGTCTTCACCATTCTAGCTTCTCATACTTCCTGTCCATTGCATGCGAATAACTCTGCACTCAGCCCTGTCCTTTTTTAAATCGCCATTTCTCACCTTTCTCTTATTGCTCGATCAATGGCCGTTCAAGGTTTGTTGGTTTTCCTGCGCATGTCCAGCATCGGCTGCCGACCCGTTCCACCAGCAACAGCTCCCCCATACGTTTTCACGCTCATCTGCTCTTACAACATGCCAAGTAGGGCTCTGCACAGCCATCGACTCATAGCTGTTGGGGTGAAGCGACAAGATCCGAAAACAGCCCAACGACGACGAGATCTCATTATGGGGTTGGACGATGCTTGGCGATCTCGTCGTAGTTAGCTACCAGACGGTATGAGCCCAGAGGAGCCGTCCCTGGATACACTCGAAGCCCTTAAATATATGACGAAAAGGCTACTCTACCACGACGTCGCGCTGCCTGCTCTGGACATTCCTGGCGGTCTTCTTTACGATCGTCCCTTCACGAGGTGGCAAATCGAAATGGTTTAAGAATAGTGCCCGCAGAGGTTTAAGGGAGATTAAGATCAATCGCTACCAGAACATGTCCCTGGAGATCCAAATCGTCCAGCCGTTCGCGTTTATCCACCTCTCCTTACCTCCCTCCATCCAAACCGTCTCGCCAGCACTACGAGTCTGCCCCTTCCCAGGTCTTTTAGCTCGCTGGACAACGCAACCCAGACTGGATGCGAGGTGGCAGACCTTGGAATTCAAACCGGGCCATCTCTCTTCTCATCTCCGTTCATGAATGATACACCTGAGAAGGGACGCGCCCGAGTCGACTTCCTGCCTCTGGAGTTTGGTGCCGATGTCAGTTTTCACTTCGAAGCAGGATCTGACTACAGTGACATTCGCTGTCCAGATGTCGAGTTCAACAGGACCAGTAACGCCGAGGTGATCGATGCTGAGGGCAAGCATATCATGGCAGGTGCCGAGTCCGCTACCCACGACAATAAGCGCCTAAAGATCGAGGAGGACAAGGATCATCACGCTGAGGTCGGCACAGTTGAAACTTCTCTCACTCCCGACAACATGAGTGTCTACTCCAGCTCAAATGACGACGTCTATGATGGTGACGGTGACGAAGATTTGCCTAACGATCGCGCCCGAGACAGACTTCACAATGGACAACGGTTGAACGACCTCTATGTCGAAAACCTGCTCTCTCTCGGCTTTGTTGTCTCAAATCCATTAACGCAGGTTCGGTTATCTTTGTCGCTAGGGCAATGCCTCTCCGTGGCGCAGCCCGGATGAAACAGGCTTATAACTTCATGCTGTTTCTGCCTCTTTGTGTCAATTTACATTTGATCCTCTTTGCTATCTAGACAAACTCGGTCTCTGTAACTTACTACAGCTTAGCGATCAACTACCAACTCCCAGATCTGCAAAGGGATATTGCAGCAGTAGAATCCGGTCTTCTTTTTTACTTCCACTTCAATTTGCAAGCAACTGTTCGATCTGGTCCTATAGATAACCCCCAGCAAACAAACGGAACCGACTCGTGGCGTGGCAATCGTCGTCCATGCGCTTTACATTCATACTTGTCGGCGTTTGACTGACTCTGTACCCTGTGATTTCACCTTGTGGCGCCAAGTCTTGGGCGCTTTGCTCCTTGATGGCGATGTTACTCTGAGCATTTCCCAACCAAAGCACCTTACCGGGCCAACAATGGAGGCTCTGACCGGACCCCAAACATCACCTCGCGCACTGACACCTGCGGAGTTCTTAGCGTTTGACGCGACTCAACAGGAAGTCCACCAACAACGACTTGAAGAGAACTTGGGGATCATCGTTACATTCGTCGAAATATCCCGGTCTCGAATCGCCATCGTTGACGAGGTTATCTCTGTGCTCTCCGCTCTTGTTCTAGAGCAAAAAGTGTCAAAGAACAGAACGTACGACTTGGACTGGCTCTTGTTTTCCCACAAGCATGTCTCAAACCGATTGAAAATGCAGTATAAGGTGTCATACAATAAATCAAGAGGAATAAGCAAAGATTAACATGGCTTACTTCTTGCCATGCTCGGATCGCACGCATGGTGCACCAGTATCAAAGGGACAGAGACGCGTTGGTGGGACTTGTGGGACGGATGGAAGGGTTTGCACACGATATGGCGCTGAGACGAGATGATAGGGATCGCGATTGAAAATTCATTGATCTATGAAGGTTGATCAACAGTTAAGCTTTTGCAAAGATATTATATTATTGTAGTCGTGGACAAATCTCAGATGAAAAGATAGGTTGGATTTATTTGGCACTGGCGTTTATGATTTCTACTTGCTATTGACATTAATGTAACATGATGAAACTGACGTAGTTTCTAAGCAGATCAAGTAAACTAACAGTGGTCGCAATCCGTTTCCATATTCAACGTGCTTGAAAAAGTCAAATGAGTTCTCGAGTACATTTGAGTAAGCGCGATGATGTAGGTAGTAAATGAGGTTTGTGCCGAAGTTAGATACTTAGTTGCTACCTATTCTCACTTTACCGCGGAAGTCATCCCGTACACTCTGAAAGTGTCTGGTGAACGACAACCATCGATCGGTGCTTATTAGGTTGAAATCCAGTATTGTAGAAGGCCTTGAACCATGTGCATCAGTATCGTCAGGCGCAAATGTCTGGCAGTGCAGAAGACAATTGTCTGATCAAATTAGAATGAAACTCATAACTTAGAACCCATGCGTCAGGTAAACTGAAATCGTATGATAGTCACATCTGCTGTGAAAACGCATGTGTGAACTCACCTCGGGGTCAAAATCAGTAGGGATATGATGTCCTATTTTTCGGAGAAGGATGAGCCCGGGTGCAAACTGCAGACTTTGATCTGCAAATGAACGAACTTTGAATATGTCGGTCTAGTCCAATTATAAATAGACACTTTCCTCTGACCGCGTTCTGTAGTTATCCAGTTCGAAGTAGGTTTAGATGACCTATCGCTGTGTAGAGAGCCCAGAGATAGTTCGGTAGCGACTGCTGGTGAACTAAGAACCACTCGTCGCCAATTGTATTATCTTATCGATGAAGTCTATTGAAATAGCCTTTGGTGTAAGATGCGGAGAAACCACACGCTATCGACATACTAGCCTGACATGACCGTCCTCCTAACCCAAATGTCACAGGTCAAGACATGGGACGCAAGGTCTGCCATGGCATGTTAAATCAACGGTGTATAAAGGTGTACCAAGGCTTGCCCTGAATAACACACCCAGAACCTCCCAAATCCTGGAATGTTACATGCCAGCTACCTTTCGATGCATTATATGTCTACTCGCAACACAAATCTCTTACTGTGTGCTGACGGAACCTTGCATCGATCGGTGAGTTCATTGAGAATAGATGATATCTGCCCCAGGTCGCGATTCCACTTGCCCTCCGACCCTCAGTGTGAAATTCACACACTAGGTCTGCACGCATACGATTTCGCAATTCTTTCCATCATGGACGCTGACGAACAAGCAAAATCGATAATACGACCCAAAGAATCTTTTTGCTAGCCGTTCTGTATGTCTCCTGTTACTCTGGCCAGTCATCGTGCATTTCAGATGTCAGCAATTACAATTTCAACCATGCGCGACATTCTCTAGCTTACTTACGCCTCCTTTGAGTATAAGGACTAAATAATTTCTCCAATACTCCACCCTTCTCAGCGACATAAAGCCCAACGCATATACGTCTCTATCGAGAGATTCATTGTACTAATCATTTCTGCTTCTGCGTTTTTCGCCCAGGCTGATTCGTCTTGGAACGCCTTCGCTTCTCGCCTCCAGGCTCCAGATGGGGTCCAGGGCAGAGTAAATACTGCTTAGTACGTTCTTAGAAGGTTGAGAAAGGCTTGAAAAAACGCTGGTCTAATTTGTCGTTAGAAAGTCGTTGATCTCACGTCGTGGGTGGTCGAGGCTCTCCAAAAGCCGATAGGGAATGACAATTTCGAAACTGCAGGCGTGCTATTGGTCTGACACGCATTTAACGAGTAGGCGTGCCTTATTGCATTACCAAAGATGTTTTCTATGACGAAGAGGAGCTTGTTACTTGATGTAGGTCTCTGCGCACGCCTTTACGCCACTATTGCTGAGCCAAACTGAGAAGAAGAGATACGACGTATGGATCACTGCGCCAATCTTCAGGGGTCACTCTTTGAAGATTGCGGTAATGTTGTCTCGTCTACGGTCTTGGGCGAAGGATATTGCGACGCTCTTGGTCGACATTATACCTGTGGAAGCCGATGACAAGATTTGTTTGTGAGATGTGTTCCTGTACAAGACTGAAGGTATAGCAGTACACCCGATGAACCTTTCCTTTGGCAAAAAGAAAGCCAGAAACATCGCTATCTACGTTAGCTTAGTATGGTCTACGTGAAGACTGACCTACGAGTCATAAATAAATTGGGCTGTTTCGACGTATAAGCATCTTGAAAACCCAGAAGAACTTCAGGCCCTCGACAGGATTAAGAGCGAGTCCTTCTCGCCTTCCGTCATGTACTCGTCGCGGTCCTCGTGAGGTTACATGGGTCGACATGGTATCATGGACCTACTGAGAGGTATACTTAACGAGTGAGAGATGACGCGATCTTTGAAATAATGGGTTCACTATAACGCGTGGGTATTGACACTGAGGCTGTGAGTCGAGTTTGAGGTCACGTCGAGAACTGACATGATGGATGGGTGCCCTTCGGTGGATTGGCGTTCCTGAAGGTTGTTGCTGTGATGAATTATGACCTTGTTATGATGCAGACTAGAGGAATGAGGCCATGAGGCAAGAAGCCATGAGTGGTGGAAAAGCAGAATTGAATATGGGAGCATATGTCAGAAGGAGGCAATGCGCGTACCAGCGAGCTGAGTGATTAAAAGAGTTATGATTGCTGTCGGACAGTTCAAGAATAGGCAGAGACCTGAATGTAAACCGCTATGAGCGCTCCTCGGTCTCCAATTCCATTCCTTGAACATGCACTTTGGGCAGTACAAAGAATGGAAGTTTTGTAACCAAGGTTATGGTGGTTCAGAACGTTATTCGCCAGATGTCATGCGAAACGATGTACCTAGAAAGAACACATCAACCCGAATCTAACATAGGACCATCACTGATAGGCTGTCAAACTTCCGTATCTTACTAATTGCAGAAGTAAATACATAATAGTCACTATGGGAACCCTTTTGAGTGATTGAATGATATTAAATATAATGCTTGATAGTGGATCTTGTCTGACATTATTAAGAACTGTATTGCGGAAGAGTCGAGTAAAGATTTTGGTAAACAGGGGTAAATGCTGCCAGCGAAAATGGACCAAATTGAAAGCGTTCGTAATACAAAACAAAAGCCGTCTCATGTTACTCATAGTTACATTACACGGCATCGTCTTATGCGTTGAGTCTTCTCACTTTCATACCCTGCAGTTCCTCGCCGCAATTGGCACCTTTCTCTGTGAGCCCTCACACTTCATCACTACTAGCCAACTTTTGCCAGCGTGTCAACCACACTTGAGTTCACAAGAGCGCGCGGTTGTTCATTACTCTCCGCACCTAATTATGTCCTTCCATCGTCTGTTTTGCTGCCTCCATGTCACTGTTTATCTGCTGAATTCAGATGCGCGAGATTACTTGACAGGTGACTTGAACAGCCTCACGCGCGGTTTTTTCGATCTCACTAACCATCCCCATCGCAGGACCTTCTATCAGCAATTCTAGTAGGCCTAAACTTTTGCTCTCCCGAGATTCCCTCCACGCCCGAACGAAACCCTGCCTCTCCCCTTCCCGGTGTTTACCTCAAGTGCACCGAGTGCCTACAAGAGAATCAGAAGGCCCATAACCCTCGGCCGATCGATGTAGCAGCCTGTGAACGGGCTATAGAGGCCATGAAGCAGATATCAAAGGACAACAGACCGTTTCTAGCGACCACTAGCCCGTGTTCTTCTATTCAAACAGGCATGGGCCTAGCTGCTAGCTTTGAGCTAGGAACGCCATGCCTTTCTCGGCGACAGCGATTGATAACCAGTCCTCTCAACATTCCATTCCAAAAGTCACGTTTCGAGTCACCCACAGAAGAGTAATCCGACGGCCAGTCCAAGACTGAGCAGAAGTCGAACAACAAGTCACATTTCAATATCAGGCAGTCCGCACCAACGGCACACTTAGGCCCAGATAACACGCGGAAAGCTAAAATGGACAAGAAGCGCAACGGCAACGGCCAACTTAGGGATATCATCGGCAAAGTATTAGACCTTTTCCCTAGGCTTGGAGGTCTTAGTCACGCCATACGAGAGCATATATATATTTATAAGACGCTAGTTCGATTACCCAACTGACCTGCATTCAGGAACTTAACACCTCCAGAATACGTCTCGCATCAGCACGCGGTACCCTCGATCAATACAGCAAGTTCAGGCTCATCAGAACACCAAGCCTACCGTGCCCGATAACGATGTCATTCTAATCCGATATAGCCATGCGATAACACTCAATAAGGAGAGCCTCCAGCGGAGGGTTAAACTACATTAAAAACTAGACACCATCGGTGCCTAGAGCATAGATGGTATGGTTAATGAGAAGGTCAACAAGATCGACAAGTCTGCTAATGCCATTTTGTCATTAATAAAAGGTTAGGATTGATCTCGATTAACGAATATACTCAAAGGTCGAGATAGACAGGTTGCAATTTGTTTGCTTAAAAGTGCGTTAAGGTGGCCAGAAACTACTAGACCTATTACTACTCTCTGGCATGCATTGTTAGTGTGCCAGACGTAGACATCTCTAGGGACCCTGAGTAGGGAATGGCATGCATGCGTCTTTTTGGATATTTAAGTTAGATAGACGTACTTGACATTTCCTCTTGGCATGTTGTTAGAGCTAGAGGACGATCAGAAGTGCCGAAAATCTCGGTGTCTTGACAGCGCGGATTCAGTTATTAAATCCATCCTGACGTTTCTTCCATCTATCAGGGATAGTATGCGATAGCTAATGATCGTTGAAGACGGAAGGCTTTGTATTTCAGCGTCATCCATATTCTGGCGCTGTTGAAGAGCCTCGTTTAATATCTTTACGAGATAGAACCATATGGGCTTCTATACACAGGAAGCTATGGACATCCACGGAGAGGAGTCTGGGGAAAAACCGGAGTGAATCATCGAGATAAATCCATGTCGTGATTCTCACTACCTCCTAGCCTCGCGGGAACATTAATAAAGAAACTGCTTGGTATTTCTCTGGTGAATACTATTCGCTGGGGTTTCCCCATCTGATAAATGCAACTATTCCAAACATTTGGCAGTCTGCCCAGCGTCATACATATGGGATTCTCACGGTTTCTTATTACTCCCCAGGCTACAAAGATTGAACAAGACTTGGTAGAGTCTAAGCAACGCAGAGAAGTGTTGTGGCATTATGGTGTGGCGATAGAGAAACTTCGGTGATCGTTTTGTTCTTATTGACAGGCCTCAAGGTTTAGCGCTATGGTCATCGTGTTGCGAAGCGGTTCAAACCCTCGGTGTCTAACTTGTCTAGTTGTCAACTTCCCATTAGGTAGCCACAGAACTTCGCTCACATTTGGCTACATCCTTCTTAATCGCGAATCGTATTGAGCAAGGCCTCGATATTGTCCATAACACTCTCGCTCATGATTGAATAAACCATCTTTCGAACGCCTGTTGTCCGTATCTGGATGCGCACGTCGGTTGTTGTATCTACTATTATCTCTGTGATATTTTGAAGGTTTCTCAGCTCTGAACTGTGACTTCCGACCGGACACTTCTCGAGGCGGAGTTGGATCGTGGAGCGTTTGACAGCCTGATGTATAGCCTGGGTTCTAAGGGTTGAAATTTCTTTTCTTTAGGTGATTGTTGTACATTGATTCGAGCGTCCCGGAGTTGAGGAGAATTTGTCAATAAGGTTTGCGATGCTCCCGTTGGATTCGGGATCTGAGTATAACTATGTTGGTCAGGGGGTAGCCGAGGATCTCGACAAATATGATACGTTTGTTATGCGCGAGGAGCCAAGTAGGTTTGAGACTTGAACTGATGGTGTTATAGGCTTTTGGATTCCTCTGAGATGGGTTTGGGAAGATCAGAAAGTCTCGTGCAGACAAAAATGAGGTATAGAGGTAACGGAAATGTTACGGTGTCTTATGAAACTCCGGGCAAATCGACTAATAGGATTCCACTCGCACTGTCTGAATGCTAGCAAACCATCAGCACGCGGTAAGTAAGGGCTTTGTTCACCTCACACCGCATTCGACAGCATGACCAGTCCTAACAACTGGGTAGGGCCAGGATGATGGAGGCACCATACTGGAGCAGTGAGAAAGGTAGCGGGCTAAAGGTTGAACAACGGGTTAAAGGTTCCTCTTCACTTCCAACCTTCTGCGCTTCTCAAATCAGAATAGAGCGGCTTGAGATGGCCAGTGGTTAGTACGTTGGCAGCAGTCTTGGAGGAACGGGCTGAAGATTCAGAAAATACTTCGTGCCCCATTAACTGGAAATTCTTTTCTATAACTGCCATGGTCAGGCGAGTCTGAAGTCATTGGTGACTGAAATGAGAGGTGTTGATGTTTGAGGACACTTGAGTATCTCATCGGCAAGGTAGTCGAGATTCTTGGCGAAACACGAGAACAACACATGTAAGTGGCACGTGATTGACTCAGGTCAGAGTGATACATTTCCTCATCACTTAGATGGCAAAGTCTCTTCCGTACCAGGATGTCTTCAAGGAGTTGTGGCACCAAGGATGAGAGATGGAACGACTTTGCAAAATAAGAACGGCCCTTGGAGATTTATGGCGCTGAATGATTGAAAGACACATGTTTAGACCGTGGGATTGATGTTGCGAGGGTACGAGGGCGTGCATTATAGACCTGCTCTATATCTTGGGCAATAGTGAAGACCTTTACGCTATGTTGCTCTGTTACCCCGTGTATCTGATGATGGAGATAGGCGGCATTCAGGTTGATCGGATGGTTTGACTGGCAGAGATCAGTGCAGGTAAAGTATAAAAGTTGTTCGGTATCCAGATACTCACGAGTTGAGGCGACCGGCCGCGACCTATTCAGACCGACCCTCCGGCCCGTTCATATGTCTTCCGAGGGTCATGCTCCACATGAGATAACGGTTGAGTACTGACTGTACTTGATACTAGCCCGGCATATGGGTGCTTGCGGATCATGGTTAGCTTCGCTGGAGCGTAAGGGGATTCAGGAAGACACTATATAAACAGTCACGTCAGGCGCTGGGTCGCTCCTTTGGTCATGAGTTAAAAGTGGCCTGAGAGAGCTAGAGGGCGGTTCATATACAATCCCTCTACAACCTGATGCCATCTGATGACTTCGGAGTGAAGATATGGCAAACAGAGAATCATCTCTCATATGGATTGTGGCGAAGGCGTAAACGTATCTGGTATACGCCGTTGTGTAGTGCCAGGCTGGTCTCAGGATGGTCTCATACTGATCTTCGGCCAGCCTGTCTGGAGGGCTTGTTATACTTTTACGTACCTTGGCTGAGCCTGGTATCCGCGTTTCAGGCAATATCAGTCAATGCACAACAAGCAGGGTAGAAAAGACTTATCATGTTTCTCTAAGTATCTATGCATATGGTACTGCTGTAGACACGAGCGCGGTTAGCGGTGGTGGCCAGTTGACCATGCCTAGCCTTATCTTTGCGCAGGATATCGCGAGCTCTTTGCGGGGCAATAGCCTCAAGAGTTCAAAACACTTGGATTACCTTCATTTCTCCTGGGTTTTCATTGAAAGCAAAAATGAGCTGTATGGCGCATCTTAGCAGTGTACCAAAAAAGGCTGGAGGATCCCTTCATGGCAGTCCATTGCACCAGGAGTCCGACTGCGAGATCAATCGACCACTGATCAGCGCTGTAGTGAATAATATGGTGTGCGGAGCATATCAGTTGCATAATCTGGCTGTTGCGACATGGCCGGGAGACACTATTCGTCATCGGGGGAACTTTTCAAGCTTATCCGAGGTCTGACCTCCTGGACCCTTGTGGAAGAGAGCCCTGAAGAATAAGGTTCAAACAGAAGATGGAGACTGCTGTAGGTTATGGGATACTCGCTCGAGATGGTGGCGTTTTGTCGCGTTTGGGTGGGTGAAAGGTGCGGAATGCTTTGGCCAAGCATCAAGGTAAATATTGATTGATGTCCCAAACGAAGCACCTTACTCTGTCAAACTCGGCGGCCATTTATCAGTCACTGTCAGATCCGAAAAACCGCCACTCAGGCTAGATCGACTCACTGGGTGCATTGGCGTTCCAACAGTATCTATTGAAAGGTGCCATAGCGAATTCTCAACAGTCCGGAGGTCTGAAGTTGCGCTGTGAGTAATACCAATGAACCGGTCATGGCGTATCATGTCTGACAACCGCACTTGATTGTCAGTTGCTCGGCCATGGGAAGTTGGTGTTGGGAAGGAAAAAGGCTGACTGCCGTTCTTGCTTGGGAAGAAGAACCTATCAATCTGGAAAGTATTGACCACTACCACAACGCATCGTCCATTCTGTTGGAGGTTTTGACCCTGACTGACAATTCCTTTGCCATCTAGCTTATCATTCCACTTCTACCGAGAGTTTGTCGCTAGGGTCTTTGTGAGGACCAAGGTCAAAGACCTCTTCCTCTGATAATCGTAGCATTTTGACTAGAACACTGAGTCTGCCATGGAAAGGTCTGACAAACTCACCCCTCATTCCTTCATTCAGGTGAACATCCTTTGCTTAGCTCCAGTCAACGGCAACTCTCGTTCCTTCCAGGTCATCAAGGTTGTCCATTTATACCTTGTTCCTTTGGTCCCTGGTCTCCTTCCACTTATGAAATAGGTAAGTATTGAAGGGTTCTTGCAATTTTGATTCTACGTCGTGATCGGATGTAGATTGTTGCTGTGGCGTAGATGAATCGTTGAGAATATTCTCAGGTGTAATGTAATCGAGTTGGACAGGTTACCGGACTTTACGACTGCACCGAGCTGTCGGGAGAAGCTTTTTCGCTCTGCGGGTTGCATCGGATGGAAGTTCGTTTTGTTGCTCGAGGGGGTCCAAGTGGTGCGGTGGACACCTTGCGGCTTCGGAGGGAGCGAGTGTCCCGGGACTCAGACTCTGGGCGGGCGACGTGATGAGGCATGGTCATTGGTTAGATGTCCTACCTCATAATGAGGGCTAGTGAACAGAGACCACGACTAAGGGATGAATGAGAAGATGAGAGACACGTACCAGCAAGAGATCAGAGAGTAAAACGATGGAAGTTACTATCTCATATCAGGACGCGAGTAGTATTCAGAGCGAGAAATGGCTCGGGCTCGAGAAAAGAAGCGTTCGAGACCGTGGAAAATCCTCTGATAAAGGATGTGTTCTCCCTAGAGATAGTGGAGGGGCGGATGGTGAGTTGCATCCAATGTCTAGCAAGGTATGACTTCATGAGATGGCAAATTCAGAAGGTGGAGGTAAAAAGAAAACGTAGATAGATTTACTGACGGGTATTGGCAGTAGAATAAAGGGTAGACCGCCTTGTAGTGCACTGCAGTGCCATGGAGCTGTAGCAGTCCATTAAAATTTGTTATGCCGTGAAGGTCTGACGGTGTTGAGAGGAGTCTGACTGACAGCACAATGACTTTTTGCTGTTCATCTTTAACCGACCAGCCTGAGTATGATCATTTACGAGCTGCGTTTGGAGATATCACGTAGAATCTGGCGATGGTCTTCAGCCGGCCAACATGGTATCATCAGTGGGCTTTTATTGGTGCTGACGTTTCAATATCCTTTACTGGTAGGCACAAGAATTTACAACACATCAGAAGTAGTACATCAGAATTTTATCCTGCGCTTCCCTTAGCTTGCGCGGATTTGAATGAATTTCGGCTGACCGCTGAAGTGCCTGCATTGTCTAAGTGATTACAACGGCACTGAAGGGGTTATCAAATTCTGCCATAACATATTACCAAGATATCGATCCAAGACCAGGACGAACTCAGATTCAAATGTCAAACTTCAAAACACTCTCATATAACTATTTTTCAATTACATGTAATTTGTGCATTACTTCGGACTCTTGATGCTGCGGCGTTGGCGTATCAAGATTGTCTGAGCGCGCGCTCAAAAATTCAGCCAATCGTGGGGTCGTGATCCCCACACAATTCCATCTTGCGAGCCAGTGTTAGATACCCTATAGCTTGGGCCCAGCATAACAACCTACACCACTCCCATACACAGCATGACACGCGTGATGCTGTCGCAAGTTTTGCTATGGCATGCTCTAAGAGGCATGGTGGATTCAGATTCGAAACAGTTCAACACTTCCAAGAACCCCAGTAACAGTACGAGGAGTGGAAGCCGCACCATTTGGAGGGTCCAGAAGAATGACGGAGTTTCCAATTTCAGACATTGAAGATCGGTCTGCTTACCGCATACCGATAATTAGAGAAATGCTTTCCCCAGGACACTAGAGCTGCGAGTCCATGTCTTCACCCCCTGAGTACCGTTCTCCAACGCAATTTTTGTCACATCAAAGGGAACTTACCACCAAGGCAGCTTTACAGCACGAAACCGCAAAGTACTGGATGCGTAAAGGTTACATGCACTCCCCAGCGACGTGTTTCCCTAAGAGTTGGCAAATACTATCGAGAACAGATGATCTGCTTGTATGATGCTTGTTCGGTGTGTTATAGCGTGATTGTTGACTCAGACGTGTCGCGGCTGGAGGTTTGCCAGTGCGCACGAGAACAAGCATAAGCCGTCACGGAATACTGAATGGATAGATTGACTAGCATTTGCAGGCGACAAAGGACGCGGCATCGTTTCGTGCGAGTAGATGGAGTCTCCATAACACCAACAAAACATAGGACATGCGCAAATTGCTTGCTGTATCGAAGCATAGTCATACTCGTTGATTTAGGGGGCGATGTGCTTGACATGCAGAAAGTTTGTTAATTGGTCGTTACGACAGCCAGGAACCGTGTCGCCGAGGGAAATTAGGTCTTGGGTGTGGTATCTATGTTCAATTCAGTAAACTAGTCTTGGCCGCCAAAAGCTTGATTCATATGAAACGAAAGATGTAGGGGTGCGTTGGCCCTGAGGATTGTGGAACCTCCCTCGAATTTCAAATCAAAATGAAAGACAACCTGGCTACCGCTGGCACCCTTCGTCCCACGTACTAGCTCGAAGGAATTGTTATATGGAAGTCTTGAGTAACTCAGTAGAGACTGGACCCCGAAACGATGGGTTTGTGTCAGTTGGTCGCCGTGTAGTGGGGGAGCTCATGGTTGTCGAAGGTTTGAAGAGCGATTCTCATGAGGACAAATTCCTCCAATTGAGTGTGGGGAGAGAAAGCATGTCCAGTGGCTCCGACTACAGTAACACTGTGTATCCGTTGAAATCTCGTAGATGACGGCCCTGACAATGCTATGACAGACGATGAAGTAACGAGCGCTGCTAGAGTTGGCGGCACTCGGATGTCGTGATCAGCTTGGGGCAATGGAGAGACATTGGCCGCTAGAGCTGAGAATGAGTGGGAACTTGTTGGGTCTGATGCTTTCGAGACCTTTGAACGGATGTGTATTTATCTTAAGTGTCGAGTTGTTACCGAGAACGAGCCATGGTAATGTAGGAGCTAACAAGCTTCGACTGAGGGTAATCTGGGCCTGATAGTTGTGGTGCGTTTAGGGTAAGGCCTAATTGAGTTTTATACAATGCCAAACAAAGCTTGCATATGCCGCTTAAGCACCTTGCTTGTTGGAATAGCCTTGTTCAGGATGCATAGATCACAAGACATCAAAACCTACCTTCCACGTCGTTCCTTTGTTCACCCCTTAAGTATCACTCTTGAACACGCCATCCATCGCATCACCTTGCATTTTTGCCTTCTACACCACAATCGCAAACCTTCAACTCAGTTAACATGACTACACAGACATTGTCAGTAGCTCATCCCGCCCACGTCTCGAATCGACGACTCGATATCTCCCCTGCAGGGCTCAAACTTTCCAGCGTATTTCTGTACGTCTATCAGGCGAAGAACATATCACTTCGGCACTGCCTCCAGATTGCCCAGATCCAGCAACATCTTTCCATCAAGAAGCACTATCAGCCGGTAAGCCTGCCGGGGGATTTAATCACATCTCCGCTAACAAGGACCCTGCTGTAGAAGAATCTGCAACGAGAAAAGACGACAGTACCATGGTGAGCGACATGAGACGCCCTGTGCTGAGCGAGGAGAACTACGTGACCAAAGGGTCTGTCTGGAGCCGAACTAGCTTGAGTGGCCGTCATCATCCTTATCAGTAGCGAAAGTAACAATGATAGAGCTATGGCTTACTCCAATGTAATATGGTCGTTTTGGCTTCGTAGTCTTGTCGTGGTCTGGCTCTCGATTGTGACAATATCTAGTCGCTCCGAAACCTATACAAGACACCCAGGTCAGGCGCAATGAATGAGAGCAAAAATGTACCAGTCTAGCGACTCGCTTTCTACGCGCAAGGTCAAGACCTGCAATAGTTGGCGTAGTCAATGGTTGGAAAGCAGCACTTGGATCAACTTCCAAGTATTGATTGACTAGTCAAACTTTGTGAAACCAGATCACGGCTGACAAGTCTGATTCCCGCGGTCTTACCGTCCGTATCGTGTCGCTGATGCTATTGCTCCCCTCACTGAGACATATCCAAACAGCGAAATTGAGACTGCCAACCATAGTGACGTCCATCGCTACCTTAAAATTCGAAGCGGACACTAATACAAGGTTGTAATTGATATGGCTATCCGCACTGACAGAATATTTGTCCATTTGTACTCATTGGTTGCACTGGACGAGTAAAATTTTGATCAGACGCACGATCAACTTGCTCGAACTAAGAAATCGCAATCTTTACATTGCCACAGGCCATGCCGTGAGGCCCCACATCGAGTTGATTTTTGACTACGCGTCAGTATAACACCTCACCCTCCGTTCTATCCTTGCTGGCCTCCAAGTTCAGCAGCTGCACCTCCCGAACTGCTTCCATATGCTTTGTCTTGAGCGAGATTTCATTGTCGCGGTCACCTTTGTCTTTCTTATCAAGACTCTCTTTGTGTCCAGCCTCTGGCCGACTGTGGCTAGGTCTTGGCGGACCCTGTCTCGTAGCCGGTCGAACTTGGGAAGTTTGATCTGGATTTCTCCAACCTTATTGGTGAGTTCCTGGATCTTGTGCTAATAGCCTTGCATCGCTTGGGCGATTGATAGTCTTTTAGCGTCTGCTTCGGCGATGTCGGCCTGGAGCTCGTTGACAGAGGAAGGTATAGTAGTGAAGTGGGTTTCGGCTCCTTGGAGAGCGAGTTGGACTTCAAACGCCATGGGTTGGGCGATTAATATACTTGTTGATCGGGATAAAGCTCTGTCATTGATAGAGGCGATAAGGATGGGGTTAATAAGAGTTTCGGGGCGCGGGAGACTGGGTGCCTGTGACTTGAGAATTTAAGTAAAGAACTAGACGGATGTAAGAGAACTCACTTCAAAATTGCTCTCAACTTGCTGATTTGTCTGACGGGCCTTGTTGTCCGCCTGGTCAATCTCGCCGAAGTTCTCGTCGGTATTCCAGTGGCAGCGGACTTCTAGGCGCTTCGTCGAGTCACGCAATGAGTCTCAACGAAAAGGGCTTTGCTACTTGTTCTGACGTTCTTGATTACGTCAAGGAGCAGGATGTTATGCAGCAAGTTTAGTACTCGCCCGCATGGCCATTCGACGAGGCACCGATGGACCTTTATATTCGTGGGGTGTAAATACGCGTTGGTTAGCGTGTATTTTGACAGGGAGGGAGAACGGGCACCCGAAGCTGCAAGATATCGAGGTTGCGTTGATGATGTAAGGCGCGTGTGTCTCGCAAATGCGGTTGCTCGACGATGGTAAAGCAACAAACCACAGGCGGCGACGGGTGTTGTAACACGTTCATGTCGTTTGTGACTCGTGTAAGTCGAAGATTGGTGACGTAGGCCACCCTGTAACTACCCAACAATATTGAAAGCATGGTCAAGATATCGAGATACAATGAGATATTGACTGCCCACTGGATTCAACTGCGTCGTAAGTCGCCTGACTGATCAGATCTTTGGGGAAAATTAATAAAGATACTCTCCAACATGGTAATCGATTACTTTCCATACAACGAATAAACGCCTCGATTCCATGTAGAAGGAAGACCAAGTTTTAGGAGGTCAAAGGGAGTTTCCTGTCAAGATGAGGTTTGAAATGTTACAGATAATGGACCTCATAACTGAAGAGGAAAACTCGGTCAGCAATTCTGGCAAGTGAACTGAGCATGGGGAAATGACGTAAACAATAACCTCCACATCTGCAACGATACTAGAAGTAGTGGGGAGGGAGGTGGACTTGGACCGCGGATCGCCAATACGCCCTTGTTAGGAAGGAGTCCTGTCACCCTAATCCAGCAACTCAGCTAAAAGGCCGTATTGAGCTATGCTCGATATCCTTAGAAGAAATGGCAGGTCCACAAAGGGTCAGGCGAAGGAGACTGGGAGAAGTGGCCTGATAGAGACGTCTTACTGATGATACTGCGGCCTATCTTGTAGCAATCACGAGGACTAGAACTCAAGTCTTGGTCTATAACACAAAGGTCGATGACTTCAACCGGGACGATGCTCTTGACGACTTGTGACGAAAAGCGAACTCGTCGAACTTGCTAGTTAGATGATATGCCATGGGGCTAAACCTAAGATAATAGACATTTCACAGCAGGAATCCAACACGACGTCCATAATGAGTTTTGAGTGGTACAGCCTGGTGGTATCCTGTGTCTTAATGGTTGCTTGCACGGGTTATCGGTGAAGTATAGCAAAGGCTAACGGCTGCAAAACGGACGGATCGTATAGGTCATTGGAGTGTTATCCCTCATATGTGAATCTGGGAAAGGTTCTATCAGAAGATATCATCAGCTGGCAGTTCCATCTTCCTTTGGCATCAGAGCATGAGGATGGGGGAGTCTTCCAGAGTTTCCAGCAAACAACCGGGCAGAACATCAGCGGATGTGTAACCATGGCTATTACCAGTCATACTAACATTGACGATACTTCTCCAGCCGGGTAGGAGGATTTACCTGGGAGCTGGCTATGCCCGCGCAACTTGTCTCAACTTCGTCAATATTGGCATTGTCGAAACGGTCTATAAAGGTCTTGATGGCCGAGTGGGTCTCAGTCATGTATTTGGTCACATTGTTTTGTCATTGAGAGCGTGTCTCAATGACCGAGTACAGCACCAGAGAAAAGAACAAAATGACTGTTCATGAGATTCGTTCATCCACAACGACCAGAACAATTCTCATATAGTAAATACATACCGCTTCTAAATGAGCTTCAGATTTGCAAAATGCTCTACCATATTCCTGGGGATTCTCATCTGTTGATAGTTCCGATTCATGCCTAGTACTGCTAACAACTAAGTCACCGCAATGATACAAGAAGTAGAACTGGGAGCGACCAGTAACGACAAAGGTGTTCGTCAAGAGCGGCATAAAGACGCTATCGATATACTAAAGAAGTTACTTATGACCTAGTAAGTCAACGCCTACAGCGTCGCCAGGGATCATAATCGCAAGAACCTTGGAGATTTAAATGACCTTGAATCACCACATGAGAATCAAATGTGTCAAGTTGACTAGGACATCACCTCCCCGATAAGGAAGTATCTCCAGTATAGAGAGAAAAAGCGGTCACTTGGGCGAAAATAACCCCGTCTACGTCTTGCTAAGACGACCATCACAGCTAGTCGGAAATATATCACCAGAGTAAATTAAGCGCTGAGTGGAAGCTAGAATTGCTCTTTATTTATCTCTACCATTGGAAGTTGAATGCGCTGCATCATCCGCTTTGCAATGATGTAGTGCCAATGCCCAGGATATCCGCTTTAAATGTTGGCCAGTAATCCTCAATCATCCACTTCCGCAAACGCTGTAATGTCAAAACCAAGGCATAGATACCAATCTCGGAATCTGTGCCACCAAGCCTGACCTCCTCCAACAGCCATGACTTGTTGTTTGAATCGAGGACACTGGCCACGAAGCGCCACTCATGGCCTTGGACAATTATCCCTGGAAGAAACTCGATCGTCCTCGTTGTTGTGGCCGGGCCGTATCTCAAACTGCGCCACTGAGCAGAGTGCCACGTACTGATCTGCAATGTAGCAGAGTCGCCTTCCATGTGAGGACGCTTAGTCTCGATGGACAGCGCGATCGGCCGTTGACAAAGGTCTCTGGAACTGTCGGTATGGTTGATGGATCTGCCAGGACGTGTTGAGGATGTGGTCTCGATGGCTTTCTCTTCGTCGCTGCCTCGCTCTGGTTCGTAGAGGACACAGAAGTCGACCATCTTTGCGGGGGCATCCTTCGGTTTGAAATCGGCGATAATTTGAGCAGACTGGGCCCAGCGAAAGTCGACTAGGCCTTTACTCTTGAAACGACCGGTCCGAAAGATGTGTTCCAGGATGGGCGCGTGAACATCGCCATTCCACGACAACTCGCTCTCGCGGTTGAAGCGGCAATCTTTGGCACGTTGGTAAAGATGTCGCACCCACTCGAAATCTGGAAGTTGAGTACTTGTTTCCTGTGGTGGTTCGCTTCGATCAAAGGAATACACCGGAATTCTAGCACCAGCTTCCTTCCACTTTGCCTCCAGCGTGATTGGCAAGATACCAGAACACTGGCTAATGGTGTCAAGCTCCTCCCACAGGGCCTTGAGTTTGGGCGGACACATATTGCTTCGGAGGCTGTCTGTATTGAAGCCGGTCTCGGCCAACTCGGCGTTGCGCATCTGGCGTGTCGGGGACGTTCGATTGCTGACAGGCTTGGGTTTCTTGAGACGTGGGATTGAGCCTGATGTGATGGAGCTGCTGGATACTTGTGACGAAGACGTTTGCGAGTGCGCTCGGCCGAACGGGACAGAAAACGGCTCCCATTCGAGACTCGAGTGTACAGGATCGTCCTGGGGTCGAGAGGGTCGTGGTGTTGTGTCGTCTTGCAAGTTCAAGACATTGGCGTCTTGCTCGTCATCCTCCCGAAACCTCTTCTTTGTAGAGGCATTCGGGGTCGACGGATTCATATCGTGTTTTGACGACACTACAGGCTCAGAGATTGGTGGCGATGGCAGCTTATCAGAGCGAACATCGAGCTTCCGCCGTTTATTTCGATGCCTGACCTGCTGTTCGGCGGCAACTAAAGAAGGCAGAAAACTACAGGGAATAAGAGGAATTTCGTCAAGCCAGCTAGACACTGCCTCCTTGGTTCGGTACATGGTACAGTTATTGGAAAGTAATGGGAATTACAGCGTGATAATACGAATGTGATGTCGAAAGTGGGGAGGATGGACTGTTTATTTCTAATGTGGGGTTACGCTGTCCAAGATGGTTGTCACAACAACGCCGTTCCATCGGATGGTCGGCTCAACGTTATTCCGACATCAGATCTAGTCTCCTTTCAACACAGCTGATTAACCTCAAACAATTGATAATTATAAAACAACAACATAAAGCAAAATACTTTATAAGTTTAGAGTAAATAACAGACGATTAAATTTTCAATTTTTTCTCATGTTAAACAAAGGACTAGATAATAATCTGGTCGATATTAACCACCGAATTCAACAAGTGTTATTCTAAAAGCGAACACTTAGGGATACGTGGCTTATAATAGTCCCAAGCAAGACCTATAAAGTCTATCAAAAGAACATTAGATATCTCATGGGTCTCTATGATATACAGTTTATTTGTCGTTCTCTTATGGGTCTCAAATCGTGGATACAGCCATGGGTTGAAGGACCTGCTCTGTGAACGAGTACATACCTCTTCATATCGAGAGCCCATTAGTGTACCGGACCGTGACCCTTAGATCAGGGAAACACCAATACAATGACGGCTCTTGACTAGGCTCGCCGGATACGTAATCGATAGAAGACCAAGCTCAAGCGAGACGACCTCATAAAACCAGACTGCCGGCCGAAGCGATAGTTAATATTATTAAGACCTGGATCAATATAAGAGGATGTCAGAAAGGAATAGAGTGATCAACAGCCCTACGACGACAATGATCTGAAATATTGCAGTGCTAGTGGCTATTATGATACAGCGCAATTCGGAGCTCTCTTTGCGCTTGTTTGTGTCTAAACGCCGGTCACTTGTTGTTTTCTTTGATGAGGAAACCCTCTGACGATACCAAGATCATTGTATCTATTACCAGTCAAGTTCATCCGTGGCTATTGTATTTCATCTTTGGTTCCAACCATCGGCTCCCTTAACGTTTCGTAAGCTCAGCATCCACATCACGGCGACGGCACCTTGTCAGAACAGGCTGATCCGGGTTATCGCGTTTGTTTATAGAGGTTGACATTTCGCTATGTAATCGAGTTTACAGACGGTCAGTGCAGTGCGAAATGAGTTCAAAAACTGCAGAAACATAGTATTAGATATTTTGAAATGCGAGAAGGCTTACGAAAAATAAATCTAACATAACAATGTCGGGTTCACTGGCGAAAGTCTATAAGACTTGAGAGAAAAGACCCCTTGAATCGTGACGGCTCTGCCTCTCTAGTTGCACCTACAGCCCAGAGCCATATGTCGTCGTGAAACACAGGTCGGAGCTATGAACGAAAGGCTGTTGCGTTTATAAGAGTAACTTACTCGAAGGTTGCTGGGCCATGTGCATGCAATACTATTACTTGACGATAACTAATACAGGTATAGCTCTATAGTTGCTTTGAACTGTGGGTGGGACTAATACCAGTTGGTAGGCCTGTAACTCTGCTATGATCCTCCTCACTACCATTGCTATCAGCCAGAGCAAAATGTATTGAATATCAAAATAGGCTACAAATAATAAGTTTATTGCCGATACTATTAACTATAGTAACCTCAACTGCCCGCTCAACCATACGAAGAGTTACTATTGCTTTTCTCATCCACTTTCAATCCTGCCTTTTCTACTGATTCCAGAGTCTGCAAGCCAAATAGTGGGACAAAGTGAAGACTTTTAACACTTGGCACCAAGACTATTAATCCGGCAAGAATGGTAGAAATAAGAAAGCCATGGCTAGTGCTAGCTCAGTCCGGCTGATTGGCATGATTAGGTGTGCTGGGGTCCTCCCTCCTACTTTACACATTTGTTAAGTCTATGGTTTGGAAGCCTGCTGGTATCATACTTGTATAAATTCGTTTACGTGAATTCTCATTCTATTCGTAAAGGTAGAAGTGTTCACGGCAGGGTGTAGGGCTTTTAGCACTAACTTACTGCCATTGGCAACACACCTAGTGAACCAGCATCGATCATTTAAAAAAGCCAGCTGAAAAAGGAATTGTCAGATTTAGTGCCTATTACTGTCTCGTCCACGTGGTGATATTTCAATATGTGTGTCAGCATTAGCATGACTTCGGCGCCAACATGGATCATACTGAATTAATAACTCATGGGCACACAGAAGCTAAGCAGGGCGTTAACACAACAGATGTGAGTATGCTATTACGACCTGTATAACGTAGACCTTATTATCCCCTCATAATGTTTATGGCGGTTGTAATGACTTTGATGTCGATGTTATTAAGCCTTCCCAATTTGGCTATGTCCTCGGCAAGGCACTCGTGTTTAATCCGCACTTCTCTAACGGCGTCATACATACTGGCTCATCTTCTTACTCAAGTCAGATCAAGGTATACAAGGCAATTGAAACCCCACCTCTCGTCAAGGTCAAAGGTTCAACCGACCACTCTCCTTCAGAACCTGTACTGCCTCGGCCGCGATGGCGCTCATGAGTAGTTATATCCAATCGAAACTCAGTATCCTGCACGTCTGCGTAAATAGTGGCCATGAGCAGGAAATAAATCATGCTTTGCTGCAGGGAAGGTAAAATACTTGATGAAGCAGACTGGCCACACACTTAGGTCCCAGGAGCACTTGATCTTCAACCGAAAAGGCGACATGAGCTGTATATATCTGAAAACTGTAGCGTTCAACAGCATGATCCCTTTCGCTTATTGTCGTCTTCGAGTCGCCTCGCGCTAAGCCTCAAAGTAGCGAGTATATAGTAGGAGGAGGACGTGGGGCTCGCGGGATGGAGGCCCAGACAACTCCATGGCGCGTGATTATAGGAGAGTCAGATGACAGACATTAAAGCGTAGAGTTAAGTTGGGAGCGGTGAGAAAATGAGGATGGGATCGTGAGACGGCAAGTGGGAGAGAACAAAGCTGCTTATTGGCGAAAAGGAGAGCCAGATTTGAAGCGATAAAAGAGTGATAAGGATGATGATGAGAAATTGGGAGGCGGTGGTAATGATGTGCGGAGAGGAAACGCGGGATCCTAAACGACAATGCAGAGGAAAGATCACAAGCCCTTCGTCATAGGCGGAAACAGGATTCTCATGTAAGGAGTTCATTTGCTGAATGAGTATCGATCTCATCCAAACCCTCATTTCTGCGGCCTGTCCGCAAAGTCGGACTGCCACTCCCGCCATGATCGAACAAACTGCCAGGAGTGTCTCGGATGAAGTCACGTGAGAACCTGCTATCATCTCGGTCGCTTGGGAAGAAGCGTTCCGCATGTAATCTTTTAAGTTCTGTCAAGCCCAGGTAGGAAAACGGGCTTTATTGTTGATCCGGGAGGCTTTCTAATTAAGCGATGCTGTCTTGGATGTCTGGCAAGGTACTCCAAGTTAGCTTTATGAATTACTGTATTTAAGGGGATTCTGGTCGTAAATAGTCCCTAGGAAAAGGAGAAAAGCTAACTAGATTATGAACGGTTGAGGTTAAGTTGAGTACGAATAAGTAGAGAATATATTTCTTTACAGCATAGCTGGATGAAGCTAACCAGGTCACAGGGTGAGAGTAATGACTCACTGTTGTAGTTCCATCCTTCGGCATTTTTCATTCACACTAGTAACGCTTTTCACTTAAGCAGCAAATTAGGATTTATCCTCTTAGCATACATAACTAACACATGTCTCACAAGTGGGTGATATGCCACAATGCCCTTATGACTGGTCATTCTAGAGTTCTTAGCTGATCATTCCAATTAAATATGGATACTGTAGTTTCCTCCTAGCAGAAGCGGCGGATGGTCATCCTTTCCGCCTCCCTGCAAGCCACACTACTTCTCTCTTCTCCATGCGGCTTTGTTATAATGCAGGGGATGATTTAGAGCAAAAGGTCACCGAGAGGGCAGTCGAGCAACTTACAGGAACGGTCATAATGAGGAGAGTAAGTTAGCACTTTACAGACCTAGAACAATTTAACAATTGTGCGGAGAAGTATTCTCATCTAAGTAGTGATCTGACTTCTTGTGCAGCTGTGGAAATGTATGAGATGTCACATCTCGGAACAAACAGAACGCAGCAGTACTTACACAGTGGTAGCGCCAGCTAACATAATGGCCAGATCTCGCGATAGCTAGGCGACCAAAAAGCTACAATAACTCTCGCATCCCTAATTTCCATCTCATTCCCATCTTACTACGGGATAATGCTATGGTCGAGTTCAAAGTCCTTATTGTAGGCGCAGGCCTGAATGGTCTCCTGGCAGGCCTCGTTCTTCAGCGTGCAGGGATCGACTTTATTGTACTCGAAATGCGGAACGACACAGATCTGAACTAGGGATCTTCTGTTTGCCTCTAGCCGCAGAGCGTCAGACTTCTAAACCAGCTTGGTCTCCTGCAAGAAGCCAACGAGCTTTGCCTACCTATTCAGAAGAAATCTAATCTCAAACGCGACGGTACTGTTATGTCCTAGAGTGGGATGATTGAAAATATTGGTGTCCAGTAAGTTAATTCTGACGTCAGAGGTGTTAACTTGGATCCTTACCCTGTAGTAGTCACGGTCACCCCTGGGTGCTTTTTTAGCGAAGAACACTAATTCAACTGCTAAAGAGTCATATCCCAACTCATCGTGCCCTGCAAAGAAAGATACTTCTTCCTCGTGCACCAAAGGTTAAATAATCCAAGACATAAAACACAACGCCTTACTGTTAAGATAGAAAAGAGCTAGTTAGTAAGGATAGAAAAGCATTCTTAGCTCCAGGCGTCACACTAGAGCAAGTTTAGGCAGGAAAGACGTGAAAATATTCTACGCCGCTTAAGCAGGGTATTACGAGGAATTGGTCTCGAGATCGAGTTTTATTACTTGGGGATGCCGCCCACAAGATGACCCCAAATATCGGGTTCGGGCTCGACACTAGGTGGCAGTCTATGGTAGTTCTGGCAAAAATGCTAAAGCCCTGCCGGCAGAACATCCATATCTGTATACCGCAGACCTTAGCAAACTCTTAGTAGAATTCCACCGAACTAGCCGAACGCAGGTCAGAAGGAACAAGTAATTATCAGCGTTGGCGACACGACTCAGTATTTAGGATTCGCTGTTATGGAGATTTATAGACCAGTATGTACTGCCATACATTAATGATGACGATATGCTGGCAACATATTTCTGCTCTTGGACAGTTAGGAAATCTGTTACTTTAAACTTCTTACCAGAGCCGAATTTCAATGAAGGTATTATCAAATGGGACAAGAAGACTGTGGTTAAATAAAGGTTACTGAATGGGCGGTATATTATCTCTCAATCTGTCGTTCTACTATCATTGACTGTACAGCAACCTTCACAGCTTGACGTTGTTGAATGCGCTTATGAGCGTTGTTGTATTTGAAACTATCTGCGCATCCTCGAAAATACCATCCTAGAAGACCTTCATGCCAAGGAAGCTTGACGTTCTACGGGAAAGGTTACTGCATAGCCAACTACAAATCTGTCTCGGCCGCTACAGCTTTTGGAATCCGAGGTATCTACAAGCATGGCCACAAACAGCAGCGACATAATACATCCGCAACTAATGACCTCGACTTCAGCAATATACAATAGGAAATCAACTTCGATACGCCCTCATAGCCGCAGGAAGCTCAATCGGATGGTTGTCGTACTTCTGACATTATCAGAAACATTTGTACCCTGACTCTACGACTTCTGTTCTAACCGCCAGCTACAATTATGGTATCTAGCATCGCTTCCTCGCCACAACAACCCAGGCCAGTTACATTTCGAGTTGCTCAGGAGCTGATTATCAATGTAGGCCCAGTACCTAGAACACCGCTCGGCAAATCCCCTTGCCTCTGAGTTTCGCCATTAGGTACGCACGGAGCGACAACGATTTAGGTGTAGTGAACCCTTGGCAGCTTTGGTGACTTCATAACTCGATCTCATTCTTACCAGACACTGGTTACTGAGACTTTGGCCGTCTAGAGTCTCTGACCTCGAATGTGGATGCTGTGTTGACCAGAAGCTGGAAACCCTGATCACTTCTCCTGAGAATGCCGGTGTTCGAGATGGGCCAACCCAGTAGCTAAGTCCGTGTTCAAGAGGTACTGGACCGGGCGAGATGAGTCAATTAGGCGTGTCTTGGTCACATTGCGCACTTAGTTACTCCTAATGTTGGGATTAGGACTGAGCGGAGATGAAATATTATGAAGGAGTGGAAAGACTAACTTACCTCTGCTGATTTTATCTAATAAAGGGGTAGAAGATCCCAGAATTACGTTATAGATCCAGCTAAATTCATGGTGTCTAATTGGAGGGACTATAAGACCCAGGGGCTGAAGTACAGCGGTGGGTTATCTTTAACCAATATCAGTTGCTAGATAATTCCAACTCAAATCTGACAGCTTACATTAATCGGAGCGCAAGAATTACTGCTTGCTCGCTCAAACTCACATATAACAGCACCCCATCCCAACATCTCCTATTAACAACTCTCTTCGTGCTGCCACTCAGGGATGACCAGAAGCTCGACTTCCTGTGGAGCATAGGTAGGTCTCTCACAGACCCAGTGGAGAGCCCGTTCGTGATCATATTCTGGGGGCCCAACTGTGAAGAGGGCAAGAGCTTGTTAGCCATAAACATCGGTAGGATCTTCGGTAGCGGCGCCAAATGGACCGTGACGGACCTCATCGGCAAGGGTCCCAAGTGGCCTGACCCAGACGTCGTGATAGACCTAGACGAGCAGAGACTCATTATATGTGACGAGTGCGATGTCGAGGAGGACATGACCTACAACAACATAAAGAGATGGACTTCCAACGCCCCCGTCCAAGCCAAGGGGATATCGGCATACCTATCGCAGACGATCATCGAAATCACTAAATAACTAGGGTTCTCGAAGACAACCTCAATTAATAACAGCATCGGTAGGAGATTCATAGTCTACGGGATGGCCAAGAGGCTGGGCAAACTCAAGGCATTCCCCAAGGACGCCATCGCCAACAGAGTGAGGATGCAGTTCATATCGATGGACTTTTCCATGTCCAGCTGCTACGAGAGAGCCCCCGTGTCGCTCGAGATGGCGCTCGAGTCCGAGTTCAAGAAGAGCGTCAACCACATCACTGCGGGCATCTTCATAGACCCCGACGCCATTGACTCGGACTGTAGACGGGCTACTGGAATCTTTGCCACGAGAACAGGTGTGTCCATCGAGAAGTTGGCCGGGACGTTCGCCGCCAGGTCCGCGAGGTTGGTATGACTGGGGCAAGGGGATCATCGACCCTGATGTCGGTCGTGAAAATTGTGTAGAGCGTGTAAAACCAGATGTCCGTGTAGCAGTAGTCCTGCCAAGGATGTTAGCATTGCTGTGGCAGCCTCAAGGTCGATCCGTACCTCCAAGAACATAACACTCGGATGCGTATCAGACGATTGTGATGTGTGTTGCGCACTCGTATGTGATGATATAGACGCACGTCTACACCAACACTACCAGCATGATAAGCGACAACAACAAGAACGCCGGCGGGAGGACCGCCAAGACGCTCAACAAGAGATCCAGTGCTCCAACGGCCTCAGATGGAGGATCGAGTGTGTTCGGCATCACTCTGGACGCGACCAGGGACGAGTCCTCGACCCTTTAGAAGTTGACCGAGCAGAAGGTCGATACCACCGCCGACAGTAACAAGGGGGGTAAGGAGGACAAGAAGGCGGCCGCTAGGTAGAGGAAGCTCGAGGCCTTGAGGAAGAAGACCGAGGATGCGAAGTTAAAGGCTGCCACCGAGGCGACGGAGAGGATGACCTTGTTTGACTCGACCCAAGCGTCGTCCTGGGAGCTCACGGGGAGCCACACCCTCGGGGCCATGAAGTCGGACAACGGTTCGATAATCATCTCGGGCAGGAACAAAGGCGCCGAGCAGGACGAGCCGGAGTGGACTGAGGAACAGAAGAATGCCATCGCGATCGCTAAGACCAACGAGTTAACCGTCAGACCCTTAAACAACACCAGAGTCAGCATGATAGACAACAACATGGAGTTCGGCGGTAGGGATGAGAGTGGCGCTATTGTGCCTGCCGAGAAGGCCTACACGTCGTCCTTGGACCCAAGCCAGTACATCATCGGCATCGGACCGGAGACGTTCGACGTTACTGGGTCGGCTAGGTTCTACGCGGACATCGACATAGTCCAGAGTAATGGCTTCTAGCTATGCAACAAGTGGACGTCGGAGGGGATCGTTATCGAGGGCGTGGCTCCCAGCGTTCTCATGCAGCAGAAACACCAGCGGACATGGGATCGGCCATCACTTCTCCAAAGTTGGTCTATCCGCCTACGCGTTCGGCCCTCTATTATGTACCCGCCAAGGTTTTGTACAGGGGTCTGTATCCGTACGAGCAGGACATCCTCCCACCGATAGCCACCTCGTTGGCCTACTCCTCGATCAAATACTCCAGGGTAACCCCCAGCGTTCAGGTGCTAAGCCAGGCAATGGTAACGGTCTTGAAGGCTGGGAACGATAGGAAGAAGTCCAAGCCCGGGATGGACAGCGTGAATAATAAGACGTGCGAATTCAGACTCGTGTCTAAGTACACCGAGATACCTAGATGCTCGTACTTGTATTCCGTGGTCGGTATATCGATCATCAACTGCGTGGTGGTTCCCTCGGTCAACACAGCCAAGAAGGTGAGATGCGCCTCCTTATTCTCAGAGTGGCTCAGACGCATGATCGAGATCCACGACACGTTCGGATTCAGGATGAACATCCTCGCCATGAGCGAGCTGGCGGCTGACTCTATCAGGAACACATTCAGCGCCCTTAGAGGGAGCAACAGAAAGGCCAGCTACGTCGGGACCAATAGCCCAGCCATGATCTCGTATATGAACGTGAACAAGTTCGTATCGGCGTGCTCTTTGAACAACTTCATCGCGACCATCGAGTCCAGGGCGTACGAGCTGACGCCGGTAATCGACTACTCGCTGCCGACCATCGAGTGCCAGTAGAAGGTATACCCAACCGACGTCTTGTACAGTGCCATGACGGAGCAGGCGGTCGGACCACTAGCAAAGGCCCTTGCAGGTCACGCAGTTGAGGAACTACTTTTTCGTTCGAGATCATATCCAAGAGCTTCAACCAAACGGTCCAGGACAGGGACTTCTATATGAACAAGAACTCGATCATAGCCCAGATAAACGACGTGACCGGGAAGAGCAAGTCGCAGCTAGCATATAGACAAAGGGGCTCAACTTGCCGATCAGAGGGCTGTTGTTCTTCCTCACCATGGTCTTGATCACGGGGTCTATGTGCTTGCCGTCAGTGGTGGTCGCCGACGGCTGGTCGATCTAGTTGCTAGAAGTCACCTCGACGTCGTAGAAGATGAAGACCGACGCCAGGGGCTTGACGGTGCTCCTCAGCCTCTCCATAATCTCGAAGGTAGTCGTGAGCGTAGTACATATTGTACCCGGCCCTAAGGGTCATGGCCTTGTACTCGGAGGAGGCCAATGACGAGGAACATCCGGGCTTGGAGCAGGTCACAAACCTGAAGTCGTCGGTTTTAGTCACGCTCGGCGGCGGCATTTAGGTGTTGTCGGTGGCCAGTCTCATCGTGGTGCTAACTCTAGACCCTTGTCCTTTCGGACCCGGGGTTACTTGTGGTCCTGTAGTTCACCATGGTGTTGGTTCTCTTCCAGATCTAGTCATGAAATACAAGGTGGCGACTCACACAGTGTTGTACCGAAACTAGCCCCGGCGCTCTGAGCTAACGGTCTCTATGCCCACGTAGCTATACGTGTAGATGAACTGGACTGGTCTAAGGAGTTCAGACACCACTTCAAGACCATGTCGGACGAGAAGATAATCGACGATATCCTCGGGTTCGGTTAAGACTATGATGCCCTCAGTCAAGACAACGACGGAAGGGAGGACACGTTCACGTACGCCGATAGTGATGGCGAGCTCGCTTACCTAAAGGAGACTATTATATTAATGTAGACATCCATTGAGTCCCAGGACAAGAGAATCTTGAGGCTAGAGGTCGACCTTGAGAGAGTTACGTCGGGTGCACTCGATAAGAGACGCCAACTCGCGGCTACTATCCCCAAGCCGTACGCCATGAGGCTTATTAACCCAACAAGCTCCAGGAGGAGGATCATAGAACACCATTACCAGGAGCGAGGGTACCACTACGGCTAATAAAAACGCCGAGACCGAATCGTTCAGCAACTTAAGCATGGCCAGGAGTGACACATTCGCACGGGTACTATCGGACCACATAAATAGGATATAGCGTTCTTATCGGTCCAGACTCCCAAGTCAATAACGTTCAAGAATAACTCGGCAACGTCGTCTAGTGGGTATGACAGTAAGCTGAGTCTGTGGGAGACGGTGTTTGCGTCTCTGATGGTGTCGTTTATGAAGAGGTTTATAATAGCCACGGGGGAGGCAGGCCAAGTAATCGACAGGCTGGTATTGATGAAGAGTTATACCAGGATAGTTGGTAACCTCTACCACAGGTCCAAGTTCGCTGGGTTGCCGGCCGTCTAGAGTCACGAGGTCGTCCTCCTGTCGAACGTGGTCAAGAGGCCCTCCAAGAACGACATGCCCAAGAGTAGTCCAAAGACCTGGGCGAGCGAGAACCGAATCTGACGGGAACTCCTGTATGTCCGTCATAGAGAGCGTAGTGACCGCCGCCAAGATCGTACCAGAAGCCATGCTGCACCCCGTGTCGAGACAGATAATGGCCATAGAGCAGCCAGTAGTTATTAAAGGAGCCGGGTCCCACGTACGCCATCCCGTCCGAAACGTGGACGACATTGAAATCGGTATAACTTTATTGGGAATCCATACCTGCACGGGTACCCGTGCAAATATTATAATACAGGTACCTGTGTAATTATTACGTAATATATCTTAAAGACTTAATAACTTCTTAAATAAAATAAATAAAAGTTCCTATTAAGTAGTATTAAAGACTTAATAACTTCTTAAATAAAATAAATAAAGATTCTAGTTAAGTAGTATTTTATATTAGACTTTGTAAAGGACTTTTCTATCTATAGAACTTATTTTATAACCTTATAATATATAAATAAATAAATAGATAGAAATATTATATATTCTATTTATTTTTATATATTTTATAAATATATTTAAAAGTTAGATATATTTTATATTAAAAGTGAGATTATTTAGTAAAGAAAAAGGTTATATTTTAGTATGTTTATACTTATATATTTTATTAATATACTTTAGAAATATAATATAAATCTAAGTATATAGTTATTAATAATAGCTTAAGAGTTATAAGAAAGGGTTTTATAGTACTATATAATAAACCTAAATATATATTAAATATATAAGAAATTAAACTAGCTTTATAGTATTTATTATAAAGATTAAAATATTATAGTTTTTTTAAAGGATTCTAAAGACTGGCTAAACCTCGGCTGAAAGTCTACTTACTAGTCCTCTTTAGGTATAGGAAGCTTAAATAATATAATAATATAATAAGTATATAGGTATCTATATAGGTATGGATTTCTAACTTTATTTAGCTATTTATATTAATCCTTATTTAGGGGTTTCTATATTAATAGTTATAGTAATAATATTAATAATAGTAATAGTATATTATAAGTATCAAGACTATTCTTATATTTTTTATTTATATTTAAAGTAATTTTAATAGTTTTAATATTCTTTTCTATTAAGAGGTATTTATTTATTATTTAAATTACTATAAATTTAATATTCTTTATTACTTTTTTACTATTATTAAGTTATTTCTTTTTATTTATAAATACTTTATTTTTCTTAAGGCCTTTATCTTTAGTATATTTTACTTTTTATATTATAAAGTTAATATTCTTTAGTTTAATATAAATACTTTATTAATTTATATTAAGTTTAGTAATACCTTTAAAAAAGAGACCTAGCTATTATAATTAAATCTATAGAAATACTAATAATATAAATCCCTATACAAACTAAAAAGTAATAATAATTTAAATTTAATAAGATTACTTATTATATTAATTATAATTTTATTTCTTAATAATATAAAAACCTTTATTAAGGTTATTTTTTCCTTTTAATATTTTATTTAATTAACCTATTTAAAATAAAATAAAGATTATAATTATTAAATAATTTATTAAGTTTATAAATTAAGATAACTATTTTATTTATAATTAGATTAATAAAGCTAACCTTAATTATAAATAAGATATTAATTAATACCTTAACCTTTATACCTTTTTATAAAGACTTTTAGTTAATTAATAATAATAATATAACTAAGGTCTATAATAAGGAATTTTAATATAACTAAAAGGTATTTCTTAAGGTAATTAATAAGGACCTTAATAGATATTAATAGCTATAGTATTTACTTTATAAAAGTAAGGTATATTATATTATTAAGGTAAATATTAAGTTTATATATTAAGAAATTAAGGTTATATTTATTATTCTTAATTATAAAGGCTTTTAATTATCTTACCTTTTTATTTATAATAATAATTATTTATATAAAAAGATATAACTTAAAATAAAGATATTCTTTTTAATTATTTTAAAAAGGGATTTAAATTATTAAGCCTAATTAATATATTAATAAGGATAAAGACTACCTTCTTTAATATATTAAATAAAAATAATATAAGTTTTATAATAAGTAAATATAATAAAAAGCTAATAGACTTAATAATAATAATAAAATCGGTTTAGGGATTTAAGTAATTATTAAAGTTAGAGTTATAGAAGGATAATTTATATATATTACTAGTTAAGATAGAGTTTTTTATTAAAGCTTAAAAAGTCCTAAAATGATGAATTAAGTTACTTTAGTTATAGGGCAAGAAACTACTATAATTAATTAAGTAAGATTATATAACTTAATAGACCCTTTTTATAATAAATAATTAAGAAAAGAAAGGTAATTAATAGTAATTTAATAGTAATATAATTAAGATTAAAAGTAATATTAGTTTTTAAAAGGATATTAAATTATTTTAATTAAATATATAGATATTTTAATAAGAAAAGTCTTAATATAAATTAAAAAGTAAGGATATTTTAATTTTAATTATTTTATACTTTATAATATTTATAATTATATTATTTTAATCTTAATTATATTATTATTAAATTACTATTAATTACCTTTTTTATTTTATTTACTTACTATAAAGAGGGGCTATTAAGTTATATAATTATTATAGGCCCTAGGATTATTATTTATTACTTTAATAAATACCTCTTAGCTATACTAAAATTCCCCTCTATAGGCCCTAATTACGTCGCTATTATTAACTAGCTAAAGGTCCTTATAGAAAGGCATAAAGGTTAGGGCATTAATTAATATCTTAGTTATAATTAAGGTTAGCTTTATTAATCTAGTTATAACGGTTAGGTTAACTTATAGGCTTGGCAGGTTATTTAATAATTACGATTTTTATCTTATTTTAAATAGGTTAATTAAAGTAAAGTATAGAGAGGGAAAAGTAGCCTTAGTAAGGGTTTTTATACTATTAAGAAATAGAGTTATAGTTAATATAATAAGTAACCTTATTAAATTTAAGTTATTATTACTTGTCGGTCTATATAGAGACTTTTATTATTAATATTTTTATAGATTTAATTAAAATAGCTAGATCTTTTTTTTTTTAAAGGTATTACTAAGTTTAATATAAATTAAGTTATATAATCTTAGTTAATTAATTATAATAGCTTTTTCCCTTAGACTAAAGAACTTTTTAACCTTTAATAAGAAACTCTATTTTATATATATAAATTTTCGTTTTATATTAATTAAATTCCCTAATTTAATTTATTATTATAATTAAGTTTATTAATTATTTCTTATATTTACCTTTTATTAAGTTTATATTATTTTTATTTAATATATTAAAAAAAGTAATCTTTTTTATTATTAAAGGCCTAATTATATTATATAATTTAAATTTCTTTTTAAAATAGTTAAGAAATAATATCTTTATTACAAACTATATCTTTTTATATAAATATTTATAATTAATAATAAATAGGTTATATAATTAAAGGACTTTATAATTAAAAATAATAAATATAACCTTAGCTTTTTAATTTATAGGCTTTTTTTTATCTTTTTCTTTTTACTTTAACCTTTGACTTTATTAAGCCTAGGCTTTCTAAATCTCTTAATAATATTAATAATAAAAATAACCTCTTTTAAGGTTAGAAACTTAATATAATTAGGATATTAAATATTATATATAATAACTAAACTTTAATTAAATAAATATATATATTACATAGCTATATATATAAAAGCTAGCTTCCTTTATATCCTTAATTTAATCTATACTATAAGCTAGTTAATTAACCTTTATAACTATAGTTAGTTAATTAATCCCTACCCTTCGGTCTATATTACTAACCTCTTTTATAGTTATTACTATAATAAATACTATCTAAGTAATAAATATTTACTATAATATAAGCCTTACCCTAACCTATAAGATTATTTAAAAAGCTATTAATAATTACTATAATAGGTAAGAACTTAACCTACTTAAAGATAAGGCTAGAGATCTTTAGCTTAATTTAAAGTAAGATTTTAATAGCTATTTTATATTACCTCCCTATAATAAATAGGATAATTATAGCTTAATTAAATTAATTACCTTTAACTATAAGCTTTTAATACTTTATATTTTAAGGCTTAGTAAGGAAAACTATACTTAAAAGTATATATTAAATTAAATATAAAAGGTAAAAAAATAACTTAAATACCTAAAAAGCCTAGAAAATAGGCTTATAAAAAGGCTAGTCCTTAAGACTAATAGCTTTTATATTAAGGTATTTAAGTTAAAATATATAGCTTAATATAATAGCTTAAAAAGGCAGGTTATAAAGGTAATTAAGGTCTTTAAGAAAGATCCGTAAAGCTAGAATAATAGAAATTATATATAAGGTATTAAGGGGCTAGGGTAGAAAGGTAGAAGGTTAAAATGTATTAAAGGAATACGTATTTAGAGTTAAAGTTAAAGTTAAGTCAGCCTAAAGTTAAAGGTAGCTTCGGGCCGAGGAATTAAATCAGATTATATAACCCTTATTAAAATCCTACTATACCTACTTCCGTAACGTAATACGTAATATTATTAATAATATTATTAACTGGGGTTATAGGCTTTATACTTACCTTAATAATATATTATTATTTAATCTTATTAAATAGGTTTTATAACTTATTATAGGCCTTAAGATTATTATTTATTATTTTAATAAATACCTTTTAATTATATTAAAATTCCTCTTTAAAGGCCTTAACAATATTATTATTATTAACTAGTTAAAGGTCTTTATAAAAGGTAGATATAAAGGTTAGGGTATTAATTAATATTTTAATTATAACTAAGGTTAGTTTTATTAATTTAATTATAATAATTAAGTTAATTTATAAATTTAATAGGTTATATAGTATTTATAATCTTTATTTTATTTTAGGTACGTTAATTAAAATAAAGTATAAAAAAAGAAAAGTAACTTTAATAAGGGTTTTAAGATTATTAAGAAATAAAGTTATAATTAATATAGTAAGTAACCTTATTAAATTTAAATTATTATTACTTTTTAGTTTATATAAATACCTTTATTATTAATATTTTTATAGACTTAATTAAAATAGTTAGATTTCTTTTTTTATAGGTATTACTAGACTTAATATAAAT